CTAACATGTTTGTTACTATTTGACTGCGGGTCTCATTAGTTTGATCTGGTTCGGAGCGAACTGAACCGTTGCACACACTACAAGAAAAAAGGCTTTTTGCAACGAACATAATTGGTCGCTAAAAATTTAAAATTGGTTATTAAAACATTTTCACAACCAAAAAGTTTTGGTAGCAGAAGTGGTCGCTATAGCCGCGTTACGAATTCCTACCGCAACCAAAATTATGATTGGTAGCGAAAAGTAAAGCTATCGCAACCAATTTTGTCAATGGTAAAAAATCTTGATTTTTTTGCGACCATCTTAAATTGGTTGTCATTGTTCACAATATTGGTTGAGGAATGTCAATGATTGGTCGCCATAAATACTAATGACAACCAATTTATTTGACTATTAGTAACCAACAATATCATTATAACGACCAATATTTTTGGTTGTGAAAGTTTAACACAACCATAAAATTTGGTTGTGAAAAACACATATGCCAACCAATTATATCATTTTATACTACTAATTATTTTTGTTATAGAATTGTTAGACAACAATAAAATTTGGTTGTAAATAATTCCTATGCCAACCAATAGTATTATTTTAGGTGACTAATTTTTATGGTGATGAAAGTTTAACACAACCATATAATTTGGTTGCGAACAAGGCAAGAGCCTAACAAATAAATAATTTCATATAAATAGTTTTGTCCGTGAAAGATTCTCGGTCATGTCACATGTGATCCATTTAATCAGAAAAATTAAATTGAATTATAATAAAATACCATATTTTATATATAACAAAGTTGGTACATAATGTTATAAGCCACAAATTACAAATATATTGTGACTGAAACCTTCAAAGCCCCTCAGTTCCATACAATGCACATTATCTCAAGGATAAAGGGATGAGCGAATCTCCAAGATCTCCAACACTTGAAATTTAAACCATACTGTCTGAGCATAAAAGGATGAGCTAAGATGAACCAAAAAAGAAAACAGACGCAAGCATCAAGACTAAACACTCATACGAGAGACAGAAGATCGTAATCTAGCAAGCGATAGCCACCTGAGTTTCTGACTGTCTTCTGGAAATAGGTTGACATTTTTAGTCAACTGCACGAAGAAAACAACATAAGTTATAGCACATCAAAAGGCCTGTCATACATTTTAGTACCTCAACTTCCATAAACACATACTGTCTGAAATTTATGCATTCTGGTATCCTTCTTATAGCTAATCGGCATTATTTTACAATTTGATAACAAAAAAAAAACACATCTAAACCATATCTGAATTTGACATAGCTCATAGAAAATTAAAAATAGGAAACAGACGGATTCGACTTAGCTCATCTTATAAAGAATCAGAAATCGAATCCTACCTAAAGTTACCTTCTGAGAATCGACGAGGAAGAATGATTGAACGAAGTGACCAAACTTTTTCCTTGCTCCAGAACCACTTCCTCAGGAAACTGGAGCAGCCGGATCGGGATTGGTAGCTGAGTGTGGCCGAACAAAGCAATCGGGGGGAATTGAGATGCTATCAGAAACAGAGATGCGTCTAAATTCTAAGATGCAAATGAAAATGTGACTAGGGCCCTTGAAAAGCAAGGAAATGAGGTTGATAATCTTCAAAAACACATTATTGAACCCGATTAAGACTAAACTGAATCCTGAATCCTATATGGTAACTGCAAGGTTCTACCAAACAATTTGCTAAGAAGACACACCATTTCTAGAATTATTAGCATTCATGGGATTACAAAGTACAGTTTGCTGCAACCAAGAAAGTTCTTTCACGATGCTAACAAACGTCTTTTTGCATTCATTTTCACCCTCAACATAATGTTTTTACCACACTGTACCATTTTGGGACCAGCGCATATCAATTTACCTCATTAGATGAAGCTTATTCTAAACCATAGAAAGAACATTTAAATTGAATATTATCTATTTTCATATTTTCAACATTTTGGTAAAGATAAAGGATTGAATAGTTTAAGTATATAACTAACCTGGCCTAAAGTTGGAATTGATATGATGCTCAACATAACATCTTGCAAGTCCTTTGGAAACTTGTCTTGTACCAAAGAAGAGTCTGCCAAAAGAGCAGGGTTTTAAAGTAAGCCTCGAAGGGTTCGTATACTGAGTTTAAACTTAGATTGTTGGTTGTGTATGAGTCAATACTTTACGAACACAAAATTCCAAGTGACCTGAGGTCTTCAGCTGTAAATCAACAGCTTCCCTCTTACAATATGATGAACAAATAAAAAAATGCTCCAAACTCAATCTAATTACGCACCAAACAATAATGGATGGGTAACTTCAAGAATGAGAATCCCTTTAAAGCACATCAACTTCAAGAGAAGCAAAGACAAGAAAGAAACTTACTCTTAAAATTTGTCAGCATCAGGGGATTGAGTCACCAGCACCAAGCCACCAACCACTACTTTATTTCCTTGCACTACCCTGTTTGTGGAATGTAATGATCAGTAGAAAAAGGTGATCTCGTTACCATAGATAAGACATTAAACCATAGGAGTAACATTCCCCCCGAGATTATCAATGACCAAGTTGACATAAACATTCAAACTAATACTAATACTCTCATCATTAAACGCAATTTGGTTAAATAGGTTTAGAAAGGAGCAGTCCTAAACAAATTTGAAATATCTGAAAGTAACAATATGATTCACTTTAAATGCATCATAAAAATCCATAATAAATAAATACCTTAATCTTGTGAACCTCTTGTAGCATTTTTCATTTCTCTATTACTCCCAGTCCTTCTTGCTTAAGTGATTACATCTGTGAGATTCTGACTACAATATTATGCAAGTACTCTACAATAAAATTTTCTTACATTTATGTCTATAATCATCTCATATCCCAATCCAAAATCAGTAGCTTTCTCAAGCAAAGATGTTATTGTAGGATGTATTACTACCTCGGGAGAAGAGCATCATAATCAAACAAACCTAGAAATGCGGCAGCCATTATAAGTCCTTCAGTAACTCAATTCTAAGTGAAGTTTGTCAGGCTACAATATTTTCTGGTACTTATACATTAACACTTACCAGGAGAGCTTACGGGAGCTGACTTCTGGCCTTGGTGTACAGCTCATTCACAGTCTCCACTTCTAACCATCTAGGCTGCTCCTACAAGGGAAACAAAAGTGATGGCGTTCAGATTATACAGAATTTAAGCATTGTCAATTTAGGTTCCCAGTTATGACAACATTTGACGCTCTAGATTGATTACCCTCAAAGTGAAAATGCCAAACACATATGACCAATCTGCCATTGTCTCCTAGTGACATCTCTGAAGGGGTGAGATTGATAATAAAGAGCTCATAGAGATCCATCCCAGAAACTAATATTACCATCCCCAAGAGATACACATCTGGTTACCATCATACAAAATAAAAAATGCAAATATATACCCAGCAACACAGCATACTGAATGTGCTAACTCCTTTTCTCCAGCAGCCTATGTAAACCAACCAGGCTATTCTTAAAGGCGTCAACATTTCATTTTCTTGCTTATCTTTTCCCGTTTTGCCTGCAAGAATGCCAAAACAGTGTACCTTCATTCAGTATAGAATTCCCATGTTCATAGCTTAATTGCTCAGAACCATAAAAGTGGAATGCACGTTGTGGTTCTATATAGAGACCAATATTATTAGCAAATTAAAGAAGAAGAAACTAACCAACATCCATCAGTTTGTTTTTTGGGGGTTTTTCAAAGATCAACGACTAATAAGTTCCATAACAATCTTCCCAAAGAACTGTCTTTAAACAGTCCAGCCACAGGTAACATACTCTCTGCTAGCCATCATCACCTGCCATAGAACCCCAACTCACTTATTCTTGACCAAATAAGGGAATATGAGCACATCTCCTTCCATGAACCCCTCTCCCTAATGTTTACCCAAACAGTTGTCGAGCAAAGATTGAAATTAGAAACTAAGAAAGTTGAAAAACGAACAAGAGAAGAATCAATTCAAAGCTGGTAGAACTGATCGGTACCTTGACGTGATTTCGTCTAAGGCAACCTCTGGATATATCCAGCAGCAGCTCGTCAGTAGGTTCTCCGTCGACATACTTCATCTGGCATCCTGTAAAACTTCAATGCAAAACTCACTGCCAGCGCCTCTTCTCGCTCGCAACCTAGCGACTCCCGGCTTAGTCGACGAGTTTGAAGCCTGTTGCCGTGACACTGAACTTTAGTCGGAGATGCTCTTCACTTCCCCTCTGCTATCGTCCGACACTGCCGTGATCTTCACCAACTCCCGTTCAAGCGTTCGGCCACCGCGTAGAGGAGATTTACCAACAACCTCCAATTTTGACTGAAATTCCAAAAATCTAGCTCAGTGAAGAGAGAAATAGAGAGGAGAACATAGAGGAGAATAGTTGGGATTACTTGAATGAATCGAAATCTGAAAGGAGTCCGAATCTTACACACGAATACGAGTAGAATGATTGGGATTACTTGTCGAACCAAGAGGAGAACATAGAGGAGAAGATGAAATCCGACCTATTGCGGCGATAGAACTCGAGATCAAAATCTGAGCTGGCGAGGGATTGACTCCATGGCTAGGGATTGGAGCCGAGGTGCAAGTTCCGAGTTAGGAAGAGCTTCAGCAAATCAAAGCTAGATTGCTTCCAGATCGACAAGGAGGAAGATCGCCGCCACTGCTGGAGGCGGTGAGTCCATCGATGATTTTTTCGAAGGACTCAAGACGCGACATATCGTTTGATAAATGGAGAATTCGATGGAAAGTGAGGAGCTGAAATTTATTTGGGGAATCGATTTTACTTAGTATCTATGAATTCAAAGTAGCACAGAGGGAATCCAGGCGAAGAAAAGGACGAGTAGAAGTTAGGCTCTCGGTAGAAAGGGATGGAGGGGAGAGAGAGAGAGAGAGGAAAATAGAGTACAGTTGGAGCACAGAGCGTGTTATTCATTTGAGCAATTAAACACGGCAGGTTCCAAATTTTAAGGGTAGATAAATATAGTACCTTAACTTTTATTTAACATCAATACAATCACAACCAAATTAATTAGTTGCAGGAAACTTTTTATTGCATTTGCAACCAAATTATTTTGTTGGGAAAAGTAAAGATGATTTTGCTACCAAAATTATTTGGTTGGAAATAGTAAAATTCTTTTAGCTACCAAATTATTTGGTTTCCTCAAGTTTTATTTGGTTATCAATACTTTGATTTTAATAGACGACCAATTTATTAATATTTTTGTTACCAAAATATAATTGGTGGTATATAGTTGCCTTTTCGCAACCAATTTTAATTTGGTTGTAAGGGTTTTGGTTGCAAAAACTAGTTTTTGTTGTAGTGACACCCCTAATGACTTGAGATGAAATCCAAAATTATAAATTGGTTAGATGTCGAGACTCGTTAAACACAAATCCAACAATAAAAGCCGGTCTTTACGCAACATATTACTTCATATGATCTTTTAGGCCCAGTCATCATTTTGTTACAATGTCAAAATACTCAACAAATAATATTGAGAATTCCTACCATACATTGAAGTAGGGTGACTATATATTTCATTGCATAAAATACATTATTTATGAACTGCTATATGTAATATATATGTTTGTCTTACATAATAATTATAGAACACTATGTTAAATAAACTACAAAGTTATTACGAACAATATGATTTTTTCAATGTTTTAAAGCATTGATGTTTTAGTTTTTGCCTTAATAATACAACTTGAATTTATACCTTTAACGCTATGGTACAACTTTAGGTTATACTTATATTTTTTATAAAATTCCTTTATGATACAAACTAAAGTTGTAACTTTATGTTATTATACAATTTGAAGTTGTACCATAATATAAATGTAAAATTTTTTTAATTGTTAATAAGTAATAATTGATGGAGTCGACCTTTTAATTTGACACTTTTTTCCTGTGGTGCTACTCCAACAACCTGTGAAAAGAGAAAAGTTCAAAATCAATATATAAATTAACCTACACTTGGATTAACGGTATGAAAGGAGAAGAAAGCCACGGTGGATGGGGTCAGGCAAGAAAAGAGGGGATTCATTCTCTGGATTGAATTAAAGGGTGCAGTGCAGTCCACAACCAAAATTGCGCTGCACCAGAGGAGAAAATTACTTTTGTACCCCGCCTGGAAACGCGGCAGAGATCAAAAGTGCTTTCGTGGCAAAAGCATATAATATATGGTTTAAATTTAGATTTTAGATTAGATTAGAGATTTCATCGCGAAATACGAAGTGAAATAAAACAAATGGATTGTATGAAAAGGATAGACCATCCATAATACTTACACTCTACATGCAGATACAATTTTTTTTTTTAATTTTATATAGGAGGCCCTGTAAATTAGACAACCATGAGAAAGGTGATATATTAGTACGAAAGCACAACATCAATAGTAGTAATTTTTTCATCGGTTACATATGATTCTTGTACATCTAGTTTTAGGGTCACTAAAACAGATAAAAAAGAAAAAGAATCAACAAACAAAAACACATACAAATATGAATATATCCATAACTTACCCTCTTCAGCACAGTTGAAGGAATCAGGATTTTCTCTTTATTATTTACCTTACTTAAACCTGATCTACTTCCCTCCATCGCCATTGTTAACCTCTCTAGTTAGCTTAACTAGCTAGGTAAAAAGAAAAAAAAACTTATCATCACGCCTTCCCCCAAAACCCCATCTTTTCGTTAAGTTCTGGCTCGAACCAGCGGCGATTGAGGGATCGGCGACCTCGGAGACATAATAAATTCGTCGTAAATCCTGCCGGAGAAGCTCAATTTCAAGCTGCTCTGCGCGCAGAGCTTCCTCGCCGGCTTCATCGCCTCCTTGTGCTTCGCCACAAAAGCCCTAATCCTCCCCAGCGCCACCTCCATCGTCTCGTCGTCCATGTTCGCGAAGCAGACCCGGAACCAACCCGGCTCCGAGCAGTGGAACGAACTCCCCGGCGAGACATTCAGCTTCACCTCGTTGATTATCACCCGCCACAGCGCCGTCTCCGCCTCCACGCTCTGCTCCTTCAGCAGCCGCCGCAGATCCATCCACACGAAAAGCCCAGCGTTGCTGGATCTCAGGCACCGGATCCCGACCCGGCCCAACCCGCCCGTAAAAGCCCCGTGCCGCTCCGCCAGCCTGGCCCGGTTCGCCCCGAGAAACTCCTCCACGAACTCCTGGTCGGACAGCATGGACCCGATCATGTGCTGGGTCTGGGCCGAGACAAGCCCAAAGCTCGACATCTTCCGCGCGCAGTTCATCACGACGTCGTTGTAGGAGTAGACTATCCCCACCCGCAGGCCCGGGAAGCCCATGTCCTTGGATAGGCTGTAGACTATGTGGATCAGGTCCAGGTTGAGCCCGTTGCGGCCGCTCTTCCGGTCCTCGTCGACGATCTCGGCGATGCTGACGTAGTCGGGCTTGCCGAAGACGGTGGCGGAGTAGATCTCGTCGCAGATCAGGTGAATGTTGTTCTCGTTGGTGAAGGCGGCGATGTTCCTCAATGTGTCGCCGTCGAGAATCGTCCCCAGCGGGTTGGATGGGTTGGTCAGCAGCAGTCCCTTGACTCGAATGTTGTTAAGCTTCGCCATCTCGTAGGCGGCTTCCAGATCCTCCATCCTCAGCTTGAAGTTGTTCGCGCTGTCGCATTCGATCGGCACGAGCTGGACTCCCGTCCTCCACCTCAAATCGCGATCGAACCTATTAAACAATACGACAACCAGATTAAGCAAACATTGTTATGTAATGTAGACTCCGATGAAACATGGACCGTGACATAGTACGCGGTCACACCATCTCTAATTCAGAGTAGGGACATTGGATATGACTTTTGTTGCATGGTTGGGTGGATTTTTCAGGGAAAATTTTAGAGAATGTCGTCCACTGCCCAACTAGTTCATGTGGAGCTAAACAGCTAAGCAACCCACCAATAATTCAGGCTGGACCAGCAAACCAACAAGTAAATATGGGTAGAACCCTAAATACCAAGCAAAAATATAAGTTCTGATGCCGACTTATTTACAAAACAAGTGTCCATCTTTCTGACTTTGGAGTAAGCCTTGTTATTGAATGGTTTTAACAGTGGGAGATGGCATTGTCGAATGGTTGCGTATTGGTGGCCCGACAAGAATAAATATATGGGTGAGTGTGTTAGGTCAATTTGTCTGCCCCGTGGATGAAGGCGGAGAAGAAAAGTTTTAAGTAATAATGAAGACTCCAGAGGACCCAAAAAGTCAAGTTCTGGCTCCAATTAGACCGATTCAACTTATGAAGATGATGGTGATGGTGATGAACTGTTCTGTCAAAATAATGTAATTCGGGTATTTTCCCAATTTTAGTAAGAACGTCAACTCTTGGTAAAAAAAGGGTAGTAAGGAGTAATTACCCTGGGTAGTATGGGGTGGGCACAAGCAGAGCTTCGCCGGGATCCGCCAAGCAGAAAGCGACGGTCTCATGAGCTCCGGTGGCTCCACCCGCCATCACGATTCTATCAGGGTCGAAGCTCACTCTGTCTCCCCTCACTTTCCCCATAAACTTCGCCACCGCCTGCAGATCCATAATCAATTAACCAAACCCCATTAGTAAAAAGGGAAGCAGAAACAGGGGAGAAGGAAATTGAAAACAGGGGAGGAGGAAGAAGAAGAAGAAGAGAAGGTTCTAATTACATTTCGGAACTGCGGCAATCCATGGTAGTCCTGAAAGATGGCTACGTCCTTGAACCCGGCGACGCCTTCGGGGGTGCAAATGGAGGCAGCAGGGTTTTTCTTGAGCCATTCTTCAACCTTGTCGAAGCAGAGCTGGTTTTCGGCGAGACCCATTTGGATTACGCCGTCGGGGTTATTCTGGTGGTGGTAGGGGTCGCTGTCGTAGGCCTTCCAGCCGTCGAAGTAGGAGCTGTTCTCTCCGTGGCCGTCGCCGATGGCCATCCTTGAGAGCAACTGATTGTTCAGCTTGAACACCATTTTTGTTTTCTGGACAGGGGAGAAAGATGGGGGAAAACAGAGCAGAGGGACTCTGTAGTTATATGTTGTGGAATGAAGGTGGAGAAGGACGTAATTGCTTGCGCTGCTAATTGAGTAGTGCGGTTTGGGTTTGGTTTTGTTGTTTGTTTGGTGAATGGGAAATTGATTTGAGGTTATGGTGGTGGCAGCTGCTGGATGTGGTATTTATAGTGCTAATGGTGGCGGGGGGACCTTCATTTTGGTTGGATCATATAGTAATGGCAATGGTGATTGGTGAACCTTCCTGTGAAACAACCTTTTCTATTCTCATGAGAGACATTGGGTGAGTTTTGGTAGGCGAGATTATACATTATGGATGTTGTAATTGTTGATTTGAATTTCATCAATGACCAAAAAGTGGGATTAGTGGTATAAAATTCAATTTTGGACTCTTCAAACAACTCTAATTTGATTGGGTAATTTGGATAATGATGTGATATTTGGGTGTTTTATAACTTAATTTCTTTTATTTTGATATGTCAATTTAACTAAAGTCATGATATTTCGAAAGATGGAAGTCATCATACTCTAGTAATTGACCTTTTTGTGTTTGGTTTCTTACATTGTGTTTGGTTGATAGTAGAAGTATAAATCTATTTGACTTGTCCAATCTCAATTTTCCAATTCCTCTAGGCATGAGTGTATTCAATATGAGAACCTTTCCTTGATATATAGTTAAAGATGAGGGTGGAAGAAATGAAGAATTACTCCAAAAAAGAATTTGGTATGAGACTACTAAAGTTGAATGTGAAATTTTGTCATGTTCATATTATATTACAATCTTAGAGGTTAAAATTCTAAAATTTGCCAAATTATTGTATAGTTTTTCGATAAACAATATAAACCATCAATATAATTTTGTCTAAACAAGCCCTTATGCTACTGAGAAGTGTTTAAGTTTAAATTTTGTGTTTTGAGAAAGTGATGGTTCAAATGCAAGTGTGTTTGTTGGCAAAACACTTCACTAATATTTTCAAGAAGTACTTGACCCAACACTTAACCAACATTTTCAAGAATTACTCAATGTAAAATTCAATTTAGTCTTTCCATCAAATACAAATATTGTTTTTTTAGTCATGCACCAAAAGGCAATCATGTGAACCAATGTGTAAATATTGATGGTGGGAAAAAATGTGTGGATGAGATGTGTTTTGACTTTAATGAAAGCGGCGATTGTTACTCTGATTTAGACATCTTTACACAGTGTTTCAATGAGGGTATTTGGTATATGAAAAATTTACATTCCATTGTGCTACTTCTATGGAGACTCTTTGAAAACTTCATGACTGGAATCTCGACAATAACTATGCAGGATCCTTTATGGAACGAGAGCTCTGCGATGACAAAGAATAGGGAAGATAAATAAACGAGAAAATGGATATTTAGTGTGTTGATTTTTGACTGTCCTCTTTGGAAAACCGCCTCAAACTTTTATTTGAAGAACTGACCAACTACTCTCTCTTCTCCCTGAAAATGTATCCAACGCAGCATCTAGGCGAGTCGGTTGTGTCTCCCAATAATAGTCTTTAAACACGTCATTATGTTATGTCACAGTGACCATCCCATCTAGGATGACCACTAAGTCAACATTGGTTTGTTACCTCAAGATTGGATGGTGTGAATGGTATTCATAGGTCATATGACACCATCCACTTATAAGTTGGATGATGTACATCGATGATGTGAATGGTATTCATAGGTCATTGACTGTCCATCACACACATGGATGATAACCATAAGACTCGATCATACCAATACCATCCACTTAGGATTTGAAGGGTTACAATGTTGTAACATGGATGGTAACCATCAGACTGGATGGTCACCATCTCTCATGTTACTTGAAAACTAACCATCAAATCTTCCCTTTGGACGGGTAGCTTTCAGATAAAAAAGGGATATGGTGACCACAAAAATAATGACATAACCCAATAATTATCACGGTTTGTCATGTATGAACTTGACTATTTAAAACAACTCAGTTGTCTAAAGACCACTCTCATGTGTTATTTTAGAGTGACCATTTATTGTGGTGTGAACTGTAGAATATTTATGACAAATATACATTCTTATCAATTATCAATGTAAATGAGTTTTATGAACACTAACGCGGTACAAAGAGTTAACGATTATGGCTTTTATGAGCATGTGACTCTCACCGCAGAGAAGTACAATTGATTGGTAGATTTCCCATAAATGCTAACCGTGTAATTTCCAACCCGTCCTGTTCAAGTTTCTTGATATAGGACGACACATCGTCTCCCCATTTTCTTTGATTGGTCCCCTTTACTTACTCCTTTTATTGCTAACCCAAAGGGGTATTGTACCCTACGCGGGCGAGGAGACCCTCCAAACTTGGGACTGCTGTGCTGTGGATTTCTAATCGATCCCAAAAGAAAAAACTAAAAAAGAATTTTTTTTCAAAAGCAGAACACTAGAACAGTGTAATGGAGAGCAAAGAAACTCGACCGACCAAGTCGCCTTTTCCCCCCTTTCACTACTACAGTGCTACTACTCCACAAGCCTAATTCATTCCCATATTTGTAAAGCGTTTCAGCGAGTTAGGGCTTTTCCAAATTTAGGCGTGGGCGGCATTCGTCGCATTCCTCCAAAGGTGTGATGTTCCTACACGTGGCAATCGATGGATGAATTGGGGGTTGCTTTGGACCTAGTCGTTTCTAGTTTTCTACATGCATCTCAATGCAAGATTTCAGTAGAGTACTGTGGGTGGACATGTTATGTTCCCGTCCACTTTTACACTGGAAGACGGTTCATAATAGGTTTGTTATTCAGGATTTTAACATCTGTCATATCGTTTAGGAGTTAGGTGTAACTGGAGGCTGATTATGTGTCATGTAGGTATATGAGGACTCTCACATTTTGCTTCTTTTCTATCTTGGTGTTTGTCACAATGAGGCTGATTATGTGTCATATAGGTATATGAGGCCTCTCACATTTTACTTCTTTTCTATCGGAGGTGTTTATGTCACAAAATTGGAAGGAAAGAACATAGATTGAATGAATCACTCTTTTTAAAGTGTTATTTGTCTTCACTACTAGCTTGTTGGTAGGATAAAGTTAATCAACTCAAGAGTTCCTTCAATCTAAGTTTGAAAGCAACAATCTTGTAGACTTTTGTGATTGAGAAGGAAACAGAAAGAAGAAGACGAACGTTGGGGGGTGAAATTCTGACCGTAAATCGTATTTTATTGTGAACAAATGACTATTCCCTTCTGAAGGGTTGCTTCGTTTCACAATACTCGAAATTAATTAATTATCCATAATTAATTAAATAGCCAAAAGTTCAATTCCAAATGCGTAGTGTGATTTAATATGACGAATTAAATTGCACATACTTTATCCAAAAGCTAACTAACCACTTTGTATAATAAAGTAAAGTGACACTACAGGAAAAAATGATACAACAACGGTTATTTCAACCTTTGGCAGCGGTTTTAACCGTTGGGAAAGAGTTTACACTGGTGGGCAGAACCGTCGCAGAGCCGCTGTTGTAACGGTCGTCAGGAAAGGATTTGCAGTGGTTCTTGCACCCGCCGGGGGTAACGTTTGTGACGGTATTTTGCAGCAGTTGTGGCCGCTTCTTTGGAATCCTTCGGCCGAGTGTCATATGACGATTTAGCGCCGGTTGCTTGCTGCAGTAAAAACCGCTGCTGTGTCTTTGGCGCCAATGGTGATTTCACGTGGATCTTATACCACACTCTAACACATCGCCTCAAACGAAAGTCAACTCACGAGCTTGAAGTTTGCACAAGCCCACTTTACCTTGTGCTTTAATCAACTGTTAATATTGGGAGTCGTGAAGATTCGAGCACACGAACAGTAGGTCAAACCAACTCTAATACCATGTTATAAACCAGTTGGTCCCAATAACTCGAATTGTTGGGGAAAAATTATGATAGATCTTATACCACACTCTAACAGATACTCTACTCTAGCTCTCTCGTGATCGATTTAGTGAATCACTAATGTGCGAACAATACTTCAAATTTGAGATGATTTGTTCGGTTTGCACTAGTAGGGAGGAAACACATTGACACTCTGTCGTTTGGAATCACTTTTTTTCTCCTTAAACAGAATTTGTTTGAAATCACTTGTTAGAGTCTTTAATTTGGAGCAATCAGAATTAACATTTCGTCAAGTTTAGTAGGGAAATTGCTACAACAATTCACTATTGATCAATTATCTCTATCAGCTACAACTTTTAACTATTGAAATAACCAATCAACAGTATAATTTATAGCTGAAAAGTAAAACTGCAACCCCCATTCAAAATTTCCTGCCCATAGAGTGATTTTAGGAAGCTGATGTGGCAGAGTGTTAAGCCGGAAAAAAAGAGTCCCGCCTGATTTCAGAACCAAAAAACTCTCCACTATCCACTTTTTTCTCCTTCCAGGCCCACGTTCTCATTTAATTTGTATAAAAAACTCTCCACTACCCACTTTTTTCTCCTTCTAGGCCCACGTTCTCATTTAATTTGTATTTTTTATTTCCGATTTCCCTTCCTTCCACTCTTTCACCTCATTCGAATAAGTTTCTTGGCCTTCAGAAAACCAAACATTGACTCAATCATCTGGTTCTTTTATGTGCTTGCATCTACCTTTGATTTCCGTTCTCTAAGCATTAGATCGGTATTGGTTTTGCCCTAAGTTATTCTTCCTCTTTCAGATTTCTGTTTGTTGTTGTCGCTGCTTTTAAGTTTTAGGGATTCGGGTTCTGGGTTTTTTTTTCTAGGGATTCGGTTGCAAAGATTCATCTCCCTTACCTTTGGTTCATTCCGTTTTCTTTATTCTCTCTTACCTTCCTCGCTTCATTCTGTTGATTGGATTCTCTAGAGATCAAAAGGGGATTTTTGATTTTTCCCTTTCTCTTGAAAGTAACAAAGCTGCTTATTTTAAATTCCACTTCGCTTAGACTGTCTTCCAGAGAGCAGCCGACTGCCGATTTTGAGCTGAGTTTTTCCGGGCCGCAGAGAAAGAAGAGGAAAGAAAGAGACGTTCGGCGGCGGCAGCCAGGTACTTCGTCCGGGTCGTTTTCCGGGTCAGTAAACCGAAGGGCCGGCTATAAACTACCGCTGGCCTGGCGGGGGGAAAGGAAAGCGTAAACCATAAGGCCTCGGGGATCCATTTCTCTCGCCAGCCCATACTTCAGAGGCCCAGCCTACTTGAGTCCAGAACCAGCCCATCGCCGACGAAATTTGGCGCGCCGTCCCCCACCCGTCACCACGTATGAGACATAATCAATTTACTTTCTGATGTTAACTCTGTTGCAGGTAAATGTCGAAATCCAACTTGATCAGTAAGATTTTCTCTCATATGTTTATAGGTTAATTAATCTAATGAGACTCGCTATGATCTGATAATGTACTTTCAGCTCTAATCACTAAAGAAGTATAAAGTAGGCGGTATTGATAAGCATGCTCCACTGGTTAGTGTATTGGTTCTACCAGGCTTTTTTCCTGTTATTACATAAGATCATTGGACAGTTTTATCTCACTCCATTAGTTTGTTTTATTGTTCTTCATTTGCATTGTATTTGTATTGTGACATTAGAGTTGGAATCCATTTGTGCTAAAAGTACAAAGCGTAAACTGCATAATTGAAAGAAGGGATAAGCTTGGTATAGTTAGAAGAACTAGAATTGGTAAGCACTTATAGTGCTTTTCTTATTGCCAGCTTGCTTCTTTTTCAAACTTCTCTTTGGATATGGTTTTTATGGATGCCTTTGAATTATATTTGTGTTGGCCATTACATTGTTGTCTTTCTCGCTCTTCCTTTGCATCCCCAAGCTTGGAAGCCATTCTGTTATATGTGTTTTGTTCATCAATTTTGAATTATGCCTTATATAGTTATATTTTTCTTCGACTGTTATGTTTGTGTGGTGTGTTGTATGTGTCATTAACTCGCACAAAGTTATAATTGGTGAGGAGTTCAACTTCTGTTGTAATAATTAATTAATTTAATGAATGGCAGCTGCAAAATTTACTGGAATAGGTGCATCATTTACCACGATCTCTATTTCAGATTGCATCAGGTTATTGGAGAATTTAATATGGATAGTGCAAATGTCATCCCATCTGCCCAACCACAGATTTATCGATCGTCTGTACCATGTGAGTGTCATGGTTTAGCACGCAACTGCTTCAATGCAAACTGACATTAATATTTTCCCTTGAATCTCATTTGTTTAGGGAAACGTCGAGCAGTGTTTATTCATCCTGAAGATCAGTACCAACGCTGTGTTTTATCTGCTGAAGAGGAAGAAGCATTTGAGAGAGGTGTGTTATCTGTGTTTTAATTTTTCTAATTAGTTCATCTATTCAATGAGTAATACATGGTTTTATATTTAAATTCTGCAGAAGAAGCTGCCTTACAATTCCAACTCTCTCAACTTCGGCGAATACTATCCCAAGTCGCCCGTAAGAGAAGACATCATATTTTGAAACAGAAGGTTCATAGGAGGGGCTTGCCTTTTGAACACCAAGGTTGTTGTTTGCTAAATTTTGTAGCAAGTCTTACAAATTAGGCTATTCTAGATTGTTGAATCTTTATTTATTTCTTTAATATCGTATGTGTTTTGGTGTTGTTCATAGTTTTGGAGCCGGAGTTTAGATTTCTATTACAAAAGCAAAGTCGATTACTTCGACGTATTCATCTGCATAGAAAGAGACGTGGTCGAAGTTTCTTTCCTACAGAAGTCAATCAAAGTATGTGGATTCTAATGGCCACTATTATACATGAAATGGTTCATCTCTATTTTGGTTTAGTTTTTGTACATTGGATATATGTTTTTGTGTTCTGGTCAACATATTTTGTTTCCTATTTTGGTTTTAGAACATATAATGTACCCATTTATGCCATGCATATAATTTAGTGATGTACGCTTCATGTCACCTTATGCAAATAGTGGATTGTTTTTAGATGTTGATGTGTCAACGACAAATTTGTGTGTTATGAACAAACTTTGGTGTTTCCTGAAATTTGACTTATTCTTACTTAAAATGAGCGGTATACCAATCTATCTTGCCTTGAGAACATTTATTTTAATAATTGTGTTTACTGTAGCGCACCTAAATCGGCTTCACAGTTTCTCAATCTCATTCAATTTATGAATTACTGTGACAAAATTTTATTAATATTACTTATCTATTGCACTAGGTCTTCCGTTGGTTGAATTTTTTGATATTGGTCCACCTTCATGTACGTGTCAACATTGTGGAGCAGTTATGTGGCGGTTCGAGAGTACTTTATCCACACGGAATGATGTGTTGCCTGCATTTCCTTTATGTTGCAAACATGGTAAAGTGAAATTGCCTCCCCGCAGAGATGTGCCCGAATTTCTTAAAACTCTACTTGAAGGGGATACACCATTAGCGCGTCACTTTCGTACTAACATCAGAGCCTATAATGGGGTTTTTTGCTTTATTTCTCTCGGAGGTAAAGTCAATCACTCTATTAATGATGGTCGTGGAGTTTATGTATATTCAATCGGTGGTCAGATTTATCATCGAATACGATGTTTGGTTCCTGGTGATGGGGATAGTCCGAAATTTGCACAGCTTTACATTCACGATTCAGATAACGAGGTGCAGAATCGTATGGACTTTTACTCCACTGATCCTGCCAAGAATCCGTTGCACAGTGTATTGTTGAAGGCCTCCAGCATATGTTTGATGACAATAATATCTTGGTACGTACATTTCGTTCTGCGCAAGATAGGATACAAAACTCTGGTGTCCAGGAGCTTCAACTGAAACTATTGGCTAAGCGTGAAATTAATAGTAGAGAATATGATTTGCCCTCTGCGAATGAGATTGCAACATTGATTGTAGATGAAACAGGAGAGCAATCATTTTCTCCAGATATAATTGTTCAACAGAAGGGTTCAGAAATGGAAAGGATTAGCGTATATCATCCAAGTCTGATGGCATTACAATATCCAATTTTATTCCCATATGGCGAGGATGGGTGGCATCCCTGCATTAGCTATAGTCACAGTATCTCTAATATCAGTGTTGGAGATAAAATGATAACCCAGTGTGATTTCTATGCATATCGTCTTCAAACCCGTCTCCAGGAGTCGAATTCTCTGTTATTATCTGGTAAATTGTTTCAACAATATATGGTGAATGCATTTGCGTTAATTGAGGCTGAACGCTTAGACTGGATGCGTACCCATCAGTCGAAGCTAAGAGGACACTACTACAAGGATTTGTTGAATTCTTATTTGCGAGGGGATAGTGATATCAAGCTTTCTGGGAAGCCAGTTATTTTAGCTGCCTCACACACTGGTAGTCCAAGATACAAGTATGAGAATTTTCAGGATGCGATGGCTATTTGCAAGTGGATTGGTTATCCTGATTTGTTTATAACATTCACTTGCAATTCTAACTGGCCAGAGATACAGTTAATGATTGATTTGATTAGAAGGTACAGGGGCAAAGATCCTGACCGGGCTGACATCACCGCCAGAGTTTTCAAAATCAAGCTTGATGAGTTTATGTTAGAGATTCGCGAGAAACAAATATTTGGGAAAATCAATGCATGTATGTGTGCTTATTCATTTGTTATTTATCTATTAATGTTCATCCATTACTCTCTTACCTCATTGAACTAATATTCCTTTTCCACTATTTGCATCTTGTTGTACAGATGTCAAAGCAATTGAATGGCAAAAGCGGGGTCTCCCTCATGCACACATATTGCTTTTTTTGGCCTCGGAGAATAAATTCCATGGTCCTGCAGCTATTGATTCCATAATATGTGCTGAAATTCTGGATCCTGATCTTGATCCTGAACTGTATGCAGTTGTCACAAGTTCAATGATGCATGACCCGTGTGGTACAGTACGTCCTAATAATGCGTGCATGAAGAATGGGAAATGTAGTAAGCATTACCCCCAAGGAATACTCTTCTCAAACAACTATTGATGAAACTGGGTTTGCTAAATATCGTCGGCGGAACAATGGTAGAGTTTTCAACTGTGGCGGCGTTGATCTGGATAATCGATGGGTTGTACCCTACAATCGATATTTGTTACTACGATTTGGAGCGCATATCAATATTGAATATTGTAACAAGACAAGGTATGGCTGAAGTAAATCGTATTTATCTATATGACGTTGTTGTTTCCTTTATTATATTACCAAACTCAGATTCTTAATGACAGGCTATATGTATATTTATATGCTACACTCATTATTAACTTTATGCATGCATATGAATTATGATTTAATTTCCAAAGATGAATAAAAACCAAACCAATATTTGTGCGATTTCTCTTTTTTTTAGTTATTTTATAAACCCAGTGTTATCTTATTGGTGTGACTTCTTGCCGCAACTCTGTAATTTTTGTAATATTTTTTGGTGTGTTTTCCTTCATTTTTTTTTTTGCCCCTTGGATAAGCTATTGTGATCCATTTGTTGCCTTTTGTTCTCTGTACTTTGATTTCTTATTTAATACAAGTCACATTTAAGAAAAAATGTAATACAACTTTTTCCTACTTCCCTATCTAATATCTACAACTTGGTTTTATTTGATGTTTCTATAGGGCTGTGAAATATTTGTTTAAGTACATCAACAAACCCGAGGATCGTGCAATGGTCACTGTAGCTGCACAACAAACAGCTTCGGCTATGGATGGTCGGAATCGTGGAACTACGGTTGTGCAAATCGATGAGATAAAGGCATTCATGGATGCCCGTTACATCACATCGGGAGAAGCATGTTGGAGAATTTTTAGGTTTGATATATACACTCACTCTCCAACAGTACTGCGTATGTCCTGTCATTTGCCTGGTGAGAATACAGTGTATTCAAATGTTGATTCTAACGTGGAGGAAGCGGTTGAGTCTAGCAGTTCCCAAACCTCAATGTTGTTAGCATGGATGGATCTCAATCTTCAGTCAATGGATGCACGGAAATATACCTTTGCGGAGATGCCACAATATTATGTATGGAATAAAAAAATACAAGAAGTGGTAGCAGCGAAAAAAGGTACCTGCATTGCTAGATTATATTACTGCTACCCATCCGCAAAGGAGCGATACTATTTGCGAATGCTATTGCATGTTGTTAGGGGTTGTTGTTCTTATGATGATATTAGAACAGTGAATGGGGTGGTATATGAAACATTCCAAAAAGCATGTTATGCTCGGGGACTGTTATCAGGAGATTCTGAATGGAATGATTGTGTCCAAGAAGCTTCGCACTGGGCTTCTGGTTATAAACTTAGAAAACTTTTTGTCACAATTCTTATTCATTGTCAGGTGGCTGATGTGACTTCTTTTTGGTTAAAGAATTGGGAATTACTAAGTGAAGGCATTTTGCATTCACGACGTAGAGAGATGAATTTACCCCAGTTGAATTTGTCGGAGGATGAAATTAAGGAGTTGTGCCTTATTCATATTGACAAATTGATGGAGAGATTTTCGAAGTCATTAGCAGATTTCCCTGGGTTGCCTGTTCCCGATCAGTGTTTGCGTTCACATACGGTAAACATGCTGATAGATATGGAGATGAATTATGGACCCGATGACTTAGACTGTTCTGAGGATTGACATAGTAGACCGTTGAATGGAGAACAACAAATTGCTTACGATATGGTATTACATTCTGTTTATACCAATGAGGGTAAATGCTTTTTTGTGGATGGATTTGGGGGTACTGGTAAGACATTTCTGTGGCGAGCAATTTGTGAGCAATTAAGATTTGAGAAGAGGATAGTATTATGTGTTGCTTCATCTGGTATTGCTGCACTGCTCATGGTCGGTGGAAGAACTGCACACTCAAGATTTCACATTCCCCTGGATTGTGATACAAAATCAACTTGCAATATTGAGCAAGGTTCTGAGGTGGCTGAATTGATTCTCAATGCTTCACTTATTATCTGGGATGAGGCACCGATGGCTCATAAACACAACATAGAGGCCCTAGATAGGACATTGAGGGATATTTTCCGAGTTAAGCATGTTGATTCTGAGTTGAAGCCTTTTGGAGGTATGACTATTGTGTTTGGAGGTGATTTCCGACAGACGTTACCTATCATCACGAAGGATACACGGACTGAAATTGTTAATTCTTCCATAAAGAGATCTTATTTGTGGCGGTCTATGACAGTATTGAAGCTAACCGAGAACATGCGATTAAAATTGCCTCATTCTGAAGCATCGGCCAGGTTAGCAATCTCTTTATGGAAGAATTAACAATTTTTGGAGAATCAATTATCCCGATACCTCTACTTCCCCGTCGCAGTGATCCAATTCCTGATATTGTTGCTGAAATATATGGTCAGTTACTCTCCACTGAAAATATGTCAACCTATTTGGTTGAGCGAGCTATCTTAGCCCCTCATAATGACACTGTTGCGGCCATTAACAATTATGTATTGGGTCTATTTCCTGGTGAAGAAGTTTCTTATTTTAGTTCGGATTCGCTAGAGATTGATGCCAAGAATCAGCATGTTGAAGAAGGGGACTACACAGTTGAATTCTTGAACTCTTTAAAGATTGGGAATTTTCTGGAACATGAGTTGAAATTGAAGTTGGGGTGCCCTGTTATTCTGCTTCGAAATCTGGATCAGAGTACTGGGCTTTGCAATGGAACTTGGATGATCGTTAAGAGATTAGGTAAGTGGTTTATTGAGGTCCAAATTTTGACCGGGACACATGTTGGTGATACAGTTTTCTTACCACGCCTAAGTCTATCGGTCCACTACAAGAGCTTAAATTTCACTCTGGTTCGAAGGCAATATCCAATTGCACTGTCATATGCAATGACAATTAACAAGAGTCAAGGTCAAACATTAAATCACGTTGGCATCTGCTTGCAAAGACAAGTATTTTCCCATGGACAGTTGTATGTTGCTATGTCTCGAGTTACGTCGGAAAGGGGACTCAAGATTCTTAGCTGTGACTCTCAAGGTAAACCGATGAAGACTATGCAGAACATTGTGTTCACTGAGATTTTTGAGTAGTGGTTTATTGATGTATTATGTTTTATTCGATTTGAGGACTAAGACTGTCAAATTTATCGGGTCGTTACAATTTGAATCTTGGGTTCTCAATTTGTCCAAATTATTTTCCTGTTTTTAACAGCCAATTATATGAAATGTGATTTATGCACACTACTTTATATTTAATTGTACCTCAATTTACTCTACCAAAGGGTATGCGAGTGTGACCGTTATATTGCAATACGAAGAAGAACTTCCATAGTCGCAGCTGAACTAAACTAAATTAACACCACAACCCAGCCCACAAAACAACCCAAGCATGGTTCAGTTAAATAAAATATAGTAAGAGAGGGAATGCGCAGCCGGATTTGTTGAAACTAAATGGCCAACCTATTCCCATAAAAAAAAGGCCAACCTACACTACCTTGGGCGGATCCTTCTCCACTCCCCCACCTCCTCTACTGCCCAGTATCCGATTTTTTTGGATCTTCTATGAGGTGAAGGCTGTCGCATTTCAAGCCATGATTTCTTTATTAAATACATTCATTATGATTTTCATTTCATGTTAATTAGTGGTGGTGTGGGCCGGGCCGGCCGGGTTGGCGTATCAAATAATAATTAGCAACTTTGAGAGGCAATTTTGGACAAGAATTGTTGACACAGTCGCAATTAGCAATGTTGTTAAAACGGAACCGGACATCGATCCGGATTAGTAAAGGGTTCAAGGTTTATCAAATAACCAGTGGTTAATCGATATTAAAAATCGATCATAAACCGGTGTTGACTTACTTGGTAGACTTAACAATTATTTTTTTTTACAATTATTGTTTCACTTATTAGAGATAAAAGAATAAAGTGAGAATTATTAAAACTGAAAAAACATAATTTGGGCGGCTGCTAGGTCTTTTTTGGGAAAAGTGAACTGATTTTTCTTTTCTTTATATTTTATTCTGTACTTACCTTCTTTTGTTTTTGAATTTTTAATTGCAACAAAATAAAAGGAAGGCGCATGTTTGATTTTAAGAAGGTGGGTCGTTCCCTAAAAAAAAAAAAAAAGAAGGTGGGTCGTGAGTTCCGTGACACACCCGCCTCTTGAACTCTAAATGGCCAACCTTCTCCACTCCCCCACGAGGCCACAAATCCTTCTCCACTCCCCCACTATCCCACTTTCCACACACACACGTACTCCACTGCATGCGGCCAAGTAAATCACGTGTGTAGAATCACTTTCTCTCCTTTATATAATGGAGATACCACTTTCTCTCATGTTACAATTTCCGTTTACTACTTCCCATACAAAACACTTCGGTTCCATTGACCGTGCGAATTGCATTCAATATGGCGGGCCTGCCTCAATTCAATCAGTAAGTACTGCTCATGCATCCAACAAATACTACATCATGTAATTTCGATTCTTTTTCACTACTTAATGCCAAAACTTACAGTCCAATATATAGGCTTCCCCATGGTTTTATTGCTAATCTGCAATATGATGATGCTCTTGAAATTTGTGAGCGTGCCGACACCATCGATCTCATTATGTTGCAAGTGGATGTCGAAAATCAGGTAACTAAACAAATAAATTTCTTTTTAATCGTACGCCTTTTGTGGCATGCTGCATTTTATCGATTTGCTTTGACAATATTCGTTTCTGTGTTTACATCAGGGCCCCTCTTTTTTGTTATCCGGACGTGTAACGAATTTGACGACGTCCTGGTCCCCTGCATCCAGAATCCATTTCGTCCACCTCACAATTGAGGACGAATTCATTGGTGTTGACATTGTCTTCCCGTCATCACAGTTACGAACGATTGTTGAATCTGTATTCAGTCATGCAGATGTTGTCAATGCTGACTACATGGCCCTTCTGAACATGCTTGGAGAACAGACATTTGAAGTCATGGTCACAGTCGGTCCCTGGAACGATGCATTTGGTTATTGTGAACTTGTGTTGGTGAAATTATTTTTGCCTTTGTTGAATTGAGTACCATGTCATGAACAATGAGACAATGTATTGAGTTTTCTTATTTTGGACTTGCATGTTATTTGTCGTAATACTCAACTAGATTAGATTTGTGATTAGTAAAATTTCATGTAAGTATTTTTATTGTGATTAGCTAATCTTCAAATGTATTTATAACTTATTATGAATGTTCATTCATATTACATGTTCATTCATATTACATGTTCGTCTTCAACGAATTGCAAAATTGCAACAATCTTGTGATAATATAAAACAAGACTCATTTCTCGACACTATCATTATAGATATTGTAACTCCATTTCCTTAAACAAATGCGGCCAACGGGCCGGGCTATAGGCTAGTTAATATATAAGATACAAAGTTGGCCACGGTCGTAGAATGGATTATCTAAGTTACGTATTGGCCGTATTGATTTGACTCTAAGATATTAACTAGTGTAGGATACTTAACGAACCTAATCACAAACATGCCGCAAATCATTTCCTAATGCAGTTATTTACTAGTTAGTACCCATTTATCTAACAAAAAATATCTTAGACGATGTTAACGAACCTAATCATAAAACATGCCGCAATCAAGCCTTCTTGGACACTAACAAGACACGAGTTCAACTGGTTTTCACACTTGCCAACAACAGGTTTTTATATACATTTACGTACGCAGCTTCACTTAAAACCATGAGATATAGATGCAGAAGTTGAGCTCAAGAAGCTAAGTTATTGAGACTTTGGAACAAAAGATCGATTTCCGGTAAATGAATTAAGGAAAGGTGTTCCCTTCCAATTAAGGAATGCCGACATTGAAAACTGATTAGAGCTTAGGGAGCTCTCAATCAATACCTACCTGTAACTGTAAGTACTGTAATCAATAACTAATCAAAGCATTAATACGGGAGAATCTCTGTTGACAAATAATCATGCATGCACCCATGAATTAGTTGAGCGCCACTCGTCAATTGTCCTTGTGATAATCCTTTAGAAATAAAACTACAGATGGAAAGCAACTCTTGCGTTCTTATGGAAACTCTCATCAAACCGGAAAAGAGAAAGAACGCAGAGAAGATTGATCATAAATAATTGACAACACAAAATGTGAGGCGAGCACGTCTTTGGGTTTGAGTAATCAATTACAGCAATACATAATTATGCTAATTATATATTGATGTTTATCCGATGATCACAATGTCAACGAGTTCTATTTCAGTTCGGCCAATTATTATGTCGATCTTTAATTTCAGGCATGTAATTAGTGTTATTGGGGGGAGAAAGTTGACGGGAGGGCAGCGTTTTGTCAAAATATAAATTGATTAAGGGGGACGTGTGTTTACTGGTTTGGGTTTAGTGTTTGTTAAACCATACGAAGTCATTGACTGATAAAAAATGTACTTCTGAATGAAAATAGTTTGATTTTTTAGTTAATCCTAGTGTTCTGGCTTTGCTTGAGGGCATAACCGTTTCCTTTAGCTGTAAATCTACTTTTGTGTCTTTCAATTGAGGCATTTGGGTAGTTTCAAATTTCTTTGGAACATCTCATTTTCTTCCATTTAAACGCAATAGGACAAGTTATGGCAACGACATTACAAGGGGTTTGCCCTGTGGCAATTAAGGGCAAAACGGGTATAAAAATAAATATTTATTAAATTTTTTTGGATTTTTTTTTTGTGAATTACAAATACATATTAATTTCAATTTTATTTTTATCTTCGTCTTTCTCATTTAACATTTCTCTGGTGAGGAGGTCATCATCGTGCTGGTCGATGGTAGGTCGACATCGTGCTTTGCGGGTGAGGAGGACAACGACATGTTGGTCGATGGAGGCATCTTTGCAGGCGAGGAGGGCGGCGTCATGCTGGCGGAGGAAGGTAATAACGGTGGAGTTGGTCGGAGGAGGGTGAAGGGGAGGTCAACAGACTAGTGGTGGTGGGTGGGGAGGAAGAGGGATAGAGAACTAGTGAGAGAGATGATGATTTGTTAGGGTTTAGCGAGAGAGATATGGAAAGCTATATTTTAATGGTAGTAATCATATAAGGCTATCTATTTTGTTTTCAAAATTATCTTGAGAGCAATTTTGACCTTCAATTTAATAAAAAAAGGGGGGAAATGAACAATATAGAGTTAGGTTATCACAATTAATCTATCCCCACAACAACATTCTTCAACAACTTCCTGATATCTGGATGGTCAATCCCAGGGGCAGAGTCAAGATTTCTACACCGGGTGGGCCGAAAATAATTAAATGTAAATAAAAATATTATTTTCAAAGTATACAACGTTCTTTGAAATCATTGAAAAATAACACAAAGTAGCATCTAAACTAAATGTTTTGCTACCTTTCTTTCAATATAGTCTAAAAATCATTGAAATCAATCAAATAAAACAAAATGTGAGGTAGTGGTGAAATGAACATGGGTGCTTCACACTAAAGTCGTAGGGGCCCGGACTAGTTCGGGTGGGCAGGGGGCACCCTACCATTCAAGTAGCTCCGCCCCTGGTCAATCCTACTTGAGTTAGAAACATATGTGTTGAGGACAGTTTATGGTTAGATATGTCGGAAGAGATATGATACTTAGAATCATTAACGTTCAAACGGAGGTCAACTATGGTATACGTGTGATTTATTCTACTACCAGTCACTGGACCAAAACAAAGTTGTAATAATTATCAACTTCCTAACTGGCCACATTTTTTTCTCTCTCCTTGATTAGCAGATTAATGATCCAATAAAATGAAGACAATAGTATTACAAAGCTTCCCACATCACAAAACGTTCATTAACTTTGAAGACTAGAATCTCATAGCAAGTGCAAGTTGACCTAGCGAGCTAGATTGCTCGCGAAAATCAGTACATCTGTATTACAAATTTTGAGTAATCGGTGGGAGAACGAGAACATAGATTCAGGGTCGAACAACTCGACTGAGATTCCATTCCATCCCAGCACCTTTTGTCGGAAGAACAGATTCCATCCATCCCACCTATATTTTACTAAAAAACAAAGGATTTACGAATATAATAATTTTCCATTACGTTCTTCCTTTTTCTTTTGTGGTCAAACAATGAAACAAAATGAAAAGTCATACCCTGACTTGTATCCCTCCCCGCATAATAATTCCTTGACCACCATTTTTTTAATAAATTGACCTCAATTCTTGCCAAAAGGGTAGTTCTTTTTAATAATAAAAAGGGTAATTATTTTATTATTTCATTTTGTTGATGATCGAGGAGTTTTTCTGTTCCACTTAGGACTTAGAGAAACAAATCAAAATGAAAAAAAAAAGGTCCCAGAGAGGTGGAGGCCCTTTTCAGAGGTTTGATTTGGTCTTTAGAGCATGTGGGTGGCTGGAGCTTTGGGACAAGAAGCCCAACAATGCTTTGGTCTTCTAATAAGATCTTGTTAAAGCAAATGGAATCGTTGAAGCCTTCGAGAGGGCCAAATTATTGGACTCTGATGGTTTGTTTTACTTTGTAATTCTAATTAGGGTTGAATTCCTTCCTCCCCTTTCGTTTTGTCAACAGTCGTCATTGCGGGATCTGTTCCCCACGTACGTTAGAGTTGGAGGTTTAGGTTTGTTTGCAATCTGGTTTAGGGTTTTTGCCTTGTTTTAAAATGAGCGGAAGGGTATTTCAATGGAATGTTGATGAAAGCATGTATCTGAAGCCATGAGTTCATGCAAATGAATTCAAATTCGAATGAACTGATCGAGCGATAGACAACAACCCAATCATCCTACTTTTTAAAAGGTCTCAAATTGATTGAAAGTTGAAACATGGACTTGCCCGTCGATCCCATCGAGCAGCCTAAAGATACATTCATGTGGGTAATCGATGGGTTAGGTAGATTTCATCCACCCAGCTGGGCCTACCTGCATAGATGCATGCGGGTTGCACGTAAAGCGACTCACCATATTCGATCCACATTTTAGAAATTGATGGTATTTGATGGCTTGATCGGTCAAAAGGACGAGTTGGCAGGTGATACTGATCAAACGCATTATCGATTCTAAAAAAACCAAAATCTAAGTTACCAACATTTTAAAACTCATGCATCAATCAGGTACCACCAACCTCAAGAACAAAGTGAAATATAGTGTTTGTTGTATCCATTCTTACATTGTTAAAGTCATAAACATATACATACGCCATTGAATGAAGCAACAAGAATTCAAACATAATTCAAACATCTATTAACACAATCGAAAGCCTAAGTTTAATATGCTTTTTATCCTCTAATTTCTAGTAAAGGAGTAAATAATCCAATGGAATGCAAGTTGTAAAATTACCATTACTCGTTAATCCACCATAATCTAATGAAATCTAGATGAGTATAAACAATGTTAATCCTAATCAAACCCACATTTCCTGGACCTTTGAGCAGGTAGATCGGTCATAACAATATGGGTCAACCTCGCCCAACTAACCATCTCTATCTATGACCACCATTTAACGTAAAATCAAATATTTGACCCACAACACAATTACTTGCAATACAAACTACTCAAATCCAGTCCAATTATTATCAAAGGACGTACTAATTTGGGTCATGAGAGAATCCCAGTAACCGATCTATCACCATCAGGCCAGCCCATCGATATGACTTCCATTCTTCACATTTGATTCTTAGTGTCAACCTTTTCCAGTCTCCAACTTTGAGAATGTTTTTCTTCATCCCAACAAATATGAATATATATGCCGCCATGGACTGCAACAATGGAATTTGCATTATTGATTCTCGAGTGGGTTTCCGTTGAATCCATCCAGTAAGTACTCCTCCCTTAGTTTTCCCCTTTTTACTGTCTCAGTAGTGATGTCGCAAAGCCGCCTGACCAACATCCCTTGGGAAAAACCAAAATTGTCAGTTCAAAGCTTTGAACATGAAAATGATCAACTTCTCTTCTTGACTGCAAATTTTTACAGCTGGTTTTAGTTGCTGGGTTTAAATTGTGGTTTTGTATAGAGTTCAAGACCAAGATGGAAAATAATAAATATAGAACATGAATCATGTGCCCAGGTACAACAACTGTAGTTGAACTTTCAAATGGTCATGTAACCATTCTGGGATTCCAATGATATGTTGTGCACGCAGGAGTTGGACTGAAATTTCTACAATCTGGTTTAGAAAGATATATATGCCAAACATATTCATAAGGATCGAGAGAGGAAAAGTCATGGGAAATTTCCATCCTGAACTACTGGTTTTGTGACCATGGAAGTTATCTTCAGTATCAATTTCTTGGTTTCGTTGCATTGATTAGTATTTTTCCCCTTGCTAATTAGTTTTATTTTGGAAATCATATAGGAATATGCTTTATAGAAAAAGTCAATTGTAGGGTATTTTGCACTAAAATTATAGTTTAATGATGGTTCAAGTGTTTCATACAACTAAAATTGTTATCAGATTTGGGTTCGTATTCGGTATTTCTGGTCCACGGAGAAATCTCGATGCTAAAAGATTTTTTTGTGATAAACGTAATTATTTTTATTGTTATATGCTACTTATCGGTTTCAAACCTGTGAAACTAAGGTTGAAAACTAGTGGTAGATAGTAGATAGTACTACACTCATTTGTAAGTGGATCGATTAGCTATCGACTACAACATATAATTAGTTATGGACTATGGAATTTGGTCACTATGTAGTACGTACCGTAAATCTCCTGGACTGAATTAATCTTATGGATTATCTATGGGGAAAAAGAACTACTAAGGGTTTCCAAAGACTAAATTTTGTGTTCCGATGTTGTTTTCTCACTTTCGTTTGCAGGTTGCTGAGTGGGATGACATACCTACCAACCGAGGTGTATGTCGTTACTCAGGGGGCTCAGGGGCCAGGGGCCGAGAGGATGTTCCGTTGGGTGAGTTTGTGTTGTTTGTGGATGGAGCTACGACGCCTGGTTCTCATGGAGCGGGGGGTTGGGCTCTTAAGGACCCCACGGGTATGGTGGTGGCATCATCGACAGCATTGTATGTAGGGATATCAGAGACGGCTCTTGTGGAACTTCTTGCCTTCCGGGATGCGCTTCGATGGTGTTTGGCGTACGGGTGGCATTCGATGATGCTCTTGAGGAAGATTCGGGATGGTGAGGTAGCTAATGTCCACCGGGGTACGCTTTTGGAAGAGATTCGATACGAGACTTGTTCCAGGAGTTTCGGGTTATTTTTGTGGGTCGGGATTTTAACAGGGTTGCCCATTTGGTGGTAAGAAAAGCCCTTTTGTTGTCCTCTTCTTTGGTGGGGTTCAATTTTGTTTTTTGGTTGTTTTCAGCTATGTGACTCTTTTGTATATGACTGTTTTCTCGATAATACGAGTGATCTTTTGGAGGAAAAATTCCATTGGGCTTTCCGTAAGATTATGTGGAAGTTCTGCTTGGGCAAGAGGTAGATGGAAGGCTTGTGCCTTACGCAAAAGGGTGTTGAACGCTGTGCTCGGTCGCTGGATCTCTAAATAATCCTTTTGGGCCTTGGGCCTAGGGCCTAATTGGTTCTAATTCAACTGGCCTACGACAGGCCAACTCGTACCACGGATGCTGAGTTTGTGGGGCAGTCGATTTCGCAGCATGGAGCTTGAAGATCAACCAGTCCACAGATGACAGAACCAGTCCAGTCGATTGAGAAAAACTTCAGTCTTGCTCATACGAAACGCCACAGGTTTAGAAAGATTTCTCATGTTACTTTCAGGAAGAAGGTTTTTCTGTATCACCTCAGGAAGAAGTTTCGAAATACACTGGGAACTCGATTTCGAGTAGAATCTTTTGCAAAGGAAGCTACACAATGCTCCTCTTATACTCTATAATCTTAAAAAAGATCTTACAAGACAACTATGAACGCAAAAGAGATTATTGATTCGACTGCTAGAAGGTATTGTTTGTCAAAGCTTACAACATGCTAAAGAAGAAGTACAACAATTTCCATGTTTTAGGGATCGGCAGCTATAATGGAGTTTGGCAACATCACTTCTTCATTAGGAGAACGACGGTATGGGCTGCAATACTTCTGTTCTCCCCCAGACTGTCGACCTTCTCGTGGGTTTTGGCCTTCAAGTTCACAGCAGCTGGGTCTGCTCCTAGCAGTTCACACAAGTTGGCCCTGATGGCTTCTTTGAACGGGCTCAGTTTCGGTCGTTGAAGGATCAAGGTGGCATCCAAGTTTCCAATCTCATAACCGGCCTCGTGCATCAGTCTCACCTGAGATAGAGGCACGAAATGGAGGGGTAAGGCTTTCTTTTGTAATGTGGATCTATCTGTGCCTAGTATGCTTCACACAACAGCTAAAACCATGATGCATAGCAAATATGTGAAGCAGCCACCAAAGTAGCCATTGCTCCATATCCGACTTCAAACGTTTGCAAACCAACCCAACAAGACTTCACTTGAGATGGATAATAATGTTTCCCTAACTTGATTTATGTAACTATAATGTCATTCTAATCAGAAGTTCTGTGACGATTATGAAGTATAACGAAAAATGCACAAACATGCCTGATTGCCAAGAAAACTCGAAGACTATTTAACGTCAGATACACAGTCAGGATATGATGATATGTGTCTCGAATTTAGCTTTGTAGCTCTTAAAAACACATTGAAAGCGCATCGTGAAGGGGACGCAGGAGCACTTATATCTACTGCGACGACAATTCAACAACAGGCCATGGGTTTATGAATCTCCGTCGCTCATTCTAACTTCAAGAACTCTAAGTCAATCAAAATCTTTCAAGCTGTGGTTGCAGCATATCATAACAACATAGAAATCCAACAACTTTTAAGGCCATGAAGATAAAGCCTCATCTTCTCTAACTTGGCTACTACATTTTACAGCACAAACAGATTTGATTATAAATTAAGAGCAACGTTAGAGCAGCAGCTGAAATGACACTGAATCGCCTCCCTCACTAGTCACAAGATAACAGTTAATAAGCAGTTCAAGGGAAAATATTAGTGTTAAGAAGTCCAAAAGATGTGTCCCTGATTTACAAATTTTAGCTCATTCTTTTATCCAATAGCAAGTAGCAAGTATCTCAAACAGGTTATGATCAGAACAATCATTCGCAAAGCATCAATCTTATGTTTTCCTCGAACACCTAGATTCTCAGACAACGTATACTGATCTATTACTAGTTCCCTAACCATGGAAATACCGTCTCTGCTTTCCAGATTTCAGCTCCTTCTTTTCTCCAATAGCAAGTATCTCAAACAGGTTATGATTGGAACAATCATCTGTAAAGCATCAATCTTATGTTTTCCTCAAACACCTAGATTCTCAGACAACGTATACTGATCTATTACTAGTTCCCTAAACATGGATGTAGTGTGATGAAACCCAGATAAGGTGACTAATCAATGCATATTTTGAGCCATGAAGAAATCCACGATTAACCAAAATCAAGAATCGGAAAGACTCACAGCTTCTTTGATGAAAACAGAAGAAGCAGCTCCCTTCCACTTAGGATCATTATCAGGGAATATCTGCCCAATATCAGGCAGACTCAGTGCTCCCAATATCGCATCCACAACGCAGTGCAGCAATACATCTCCTGCAACAAAACGATAGAAAACAAAATTTGGTTCTGAATTCCAACTACGGTTCTAAAAACTTTGCTTAAACACCCAGAGCCAAGACCAATCCCCAATCCTCAAACTTCCCACGAACCACTTCAATCACTCGAAGCTGAATCTCCTATCCAATTAAAAACCTGGGAGTTCCTCAAGTAGATGAAAACAGATAATAAATCTCATTTACCGTCGGAGTGAGCCTCACAGCCTCTCTCGTGAGGAATGTTAATCCCGCCGATGATCAAAGGGTAGCCAGGCTCCAGCCGGTGGAGATCGAACCCATGTCCCACTCTAAAAGGCAGAGCCTTGGAAGCTTTGCCGGAGGTTGTAGCCCCATCGACCTGTTGAACTGCGCTGGGCGGCGCAGCCGTCGCCGTCACGGAAAGTCTGGCTGGTCTCCGGCCGGCAGAGAGAAAATGATGATGCGTCGAAGGCAGGGAGCAAGTCCGACCCTGTAACGAAGGAGGAGTTTTTTTCTTAGTGGAGGAGATTGAAGCAGATGCGCAGAAATTGGTGGCCGCGGCCATGGCCATTGGGGAAATTGATTTGCTCGGCTGTTGGTTGCAGACAACGAACAGCAGCTACCAACAAGTGAGCCCTATCAATTTTCAATCTATATATTGTGCGTCTTTTTTTGTCTGGACAGCAATTTATAATACGGGAAAAGGATCATGGCGTGGGCGGCATATTTAGAAGGTTGGATTCTGGTAATGTGAGTTTCGTCCTGTTCGGCTAATCGCTGAGGAATGGCGCAGTAGTAAAACTTCTTATATTTGTTTATTTGAAATTTTAGTGAATTGAGGGCAGATTATTAAACTGTTGTTTAGTCATTTTGTCATTAGAAAACAGGTCTTAATGACTGATTTACAAGGCGTGGTTGGTGGGCAAAAAAAGATTATCATCAAGTATTTTCTTCTAATGTGTTCTCTTTTCCAAAAAAAAAAAAAAAAGATTAGGGAGGATGGATTACGTTAAAATATAGAACAAAGGAACAGGGTGTGCGGGCCGCCTTATTGGGCCTTGACTCCCAAGTCAAAATTGTCAGCGCCATCGCCTCGCTTATTTGGCCTTGAGATTGAAATCCAGTAATTTCTTATGTGCCAAATGCCAAATGTAGTTTGCAGAGCGAAATACGGGAATGAAATGTGACATTGTGTTTTTTTATCGCTTGGATGACTAGTTTTGGCAGCTAAATGAAATGTAACAAACGTCACAACTTTTTGAATAATTTTGTATAATCAAATTCAAATCGAGAATTGTATTATAGTTTTTGGGCGCGGTGAGTTCAAATCATTTTCATTCCACGTTATATCATTCTCATTCGACCTTATAGAAAAAAGTGTATTCGAACAACGCAATTACATCACATGAAATTACACATTGCACGAACCTTTGGATTACATACATTTTCAGAATGCATTGTAAAAGATTCTAAGATTGTCAAATATTTACAAATGCCTAAGAAAATTGTAGATCATACAAACACAATCCATTTGTTTGTTATGGACTGGCTTTTGACATTGGACTTAAAGAGGATATTCTCTCGCCTGTCCAATATGCTGCGGTGTGTGCATCAGAAGACTCAAAACTCTCCATTTTATTCATTTGTCAGTCCTCCGTCTGATCAAAGAATATGAGATCATATTCTCTTTTCTACTATCTGTCCATATGAGCCTGCCAAACTTCGCACCGATCTTATGTATCATTTCGTAACCCCCTGAGAAAGGAACTGAAGCTTAATCTTAGGGGGGCAATCCAAACGTACGAGGTGAAATACGAGAAGCTTCCCATGTACTGCTTCTCATGTGGAGTAGTAGGGCACCCAAAACTTAACTGTCCTAATCCCCCACCGAATGGAAAGGATATGGTCGGGCCTGATCTGAGAGTAAACATATCTAAAACAAAACCATGGCAGAGTAGACTAGAAAGGGAAGAAGAGGGAGAGTTGTGGCAGGCATTAAGGTCGAAATTCGATCGAGAAGCGGTCACATCCAGAATGCAGATTGAAGAGACAGAGCATAGGAAAAGAATGAAGGAAGATAGGGTGGATGCAATAGATAAAATAGTGCTCCTACAAAGGGAGGTACAAGAACTGGTGCACACTCAACCCGCAAAGCAGAACCAAACTGTTAATGGAAAAGATCAAGAGAAGGGGAGTGGGGAGAAGGTAGCAGAGGTGATGACCCATCAAGTGGAAAGCGCAGAAGGAAACACCCTTTTGAGTATAACCGATCTTGAGTTCAAACAAGGAACAAAGACAGACAAGGAGAAATCAGGGAAGAATCTTAAACAGTGGAAACGACAACATAGGGAAATCCCAAGTCAAAAGACAAAGGAGCAAAGTCCTTTAACTCCCCAAAAACGAGATGATGCGAGTAATCCAAAGGAGGCAGTTGATGTCTCCCCAAGCAAAAAACAAAAGACTGAGGAAACTCAACTTACCGTGGATGGCGAAGTGGCGGACCCTGCACATATGCAGGGCCGCCCAGCCCAATGAATATTCTAAGCTATAATTGTCGGGGTTTGGGGAGTCCCCTGGCAATTAGAAGGGTGGGGCAGCTGCTTCATCGTCAAAACCCCATAATTGTCTTCTTGATGGAGACAAAAAAAAACAGACAGGGGAATGGGAAGAAGTAATGAAAGAGCTGGGATGGGAGTCAGGGTATGGTATTAGCTCAGTTGGCAGGGCTGGAGGGCTGCTTATGTTATGGAAAAGTGACCTGGAAGTAGTGGTCAAAACTAAATCCTCCAACCACATTGATGTGAGGGTAAATGATGGAGGCTATATATGGCGACTAACTGGAATTTATGGATGGCCAGAACAAGGACAGAAGTTTAGAACATGTGAGCTGCTTAAGGAATTGAAAGACTTGACGGACCTGCCATGGCTGGTGTGTGGGGATTTTAATTTGATTCAAGGATATGAGGAAAAGAATGGTTTGAATTTACCTAATGTGCAAGAAATGGAGATGTTTAATGAAGCACTCTTGGATTGCAACTTGGAAGACCTAGGTTTTTATGGAAAACCATTTACGTGGGCCAATAATCATACTGATGATACTTTTCTGGAGGAACGGCTGGACAGGATGGTGGCTAATTTGGAATGGCAGGAATACTACCCACATGCTAGGGTTCATCATCTTCGACGATGTGGGTCTGACCATTCCCCCATAATGCTAAAAACCAAGCTGATTGATGATGATATCAGATGGGGATGGAATTTCAGGTTTGAATCTTATTGGCAACAACATACAGATTGCAAACAAGTAATTGCAGGGGGTTGGCAGGAGCTCACAGGAAGATCAGTGATGGAGAAGATTAAGAACTGTGAAGAGAAACTTGTTAGCTGGAGCAAAGGTACTTTCGGCTCGCTCAGCTACAGAAGAAGACAGACAGAGAGAGCCCTTGAGAAGTTGGAGAAAACGAAATCAAATGCTGCAATCAGACGACAACGAAAAGCCCTGGAAAGAGAACTAAATGAGATTCTCATCCAAGAGGAAATTAAGTGGAAACAGCGTTCAAGAGCAGACTGGCTTACTGGGGGAGACAAAAATACTGGTTTTTTCCACAGAAAGGCCTCGGATAGACGAAACCGTAACACCATTAGAAAGTTGAAAGATGACACAGGGTTGTGGCATGAAGGTCAACAGCAAGTTATGAATGTACTCTTACAGTATTACCAACAGCTTTTTTCCTCGGGGGGTAACAGCACGGCAATGAGTATTATACAAGTAATACCACAGAAGGTTACACAGGAAATGAATGATGATCTGTTAAAACCGTTTACCAAGGAAGAAATATGGCAGGCCCTCAGGAAAATGGGGCCTCATAAAGCCCCCGGGGCGGATGGAATGCCAGCTTTGTTTTTTCAGAAAAACTGGGATGTGGTGGGGGATGATGTGACCAATGAACTCCAACAGTATCTAGAACATGGGGAATTTCCACAAACTCTTAACCATACCCTGGTGGTTCTGATACCGAAGAAGAAAACAGTTGAAACACCTATGGATTTCAGGCCTATTAGTTTGTGCAAAGTTCTCTATAAGATCCTATCGAAAGTTTTGGCCAATCGTTTGAAAGGAATGCTAGATGGAATAATCACAGAGTATCAAAGTGCCTTTGTTCCGGGCAGACTGATCACTGACAATGTGATGGTAGCTTTTGAGAGTTTCCATGCTATGAAGGGAAGGACGAAGGGTAAGAAAGGTTTTATGTCGGCAAAGCTTGATATATCGAAAGCCTATGATAGGGTTGAGTGGGGATTTCTTGAAGCTGTTATGAAGAAACTTGGTTTTGCTGACAGATGGGTGAATTTAATCATGAAATGTATCTCTACGGTTTCTTATTCCCTGTTGGTGAATGGCCATCAGACTGAAACCTTCTTTCCCACGAGAGGATTGAGACAAGGGGATCCATTATCACCCTATCTATTCCTCTTTGTGGTAGAAGGCCTCTCGGCCTTGCTCATTAAAGCTGAACAACAGAAAAAGATACAAGGACTGAAAGTAAAAAAAGAAGCCCCCCCATAAATCATCTGCTGTTTGCGGATGATAGTATTCTTTTTGCCCAAGCCACTCGCCCGCAATGTGAGCAAATCAGGGACATTTTACAACTATATGAAGCTGAGTCAGGGCAGAGGGTTAACCTGGAGAAATCTGAATTATCTTTTAGCCCTAATGTTAAGGAAGACAAACAGCAAGAGATGGCAGGAATTCTGGGAATGAGAGTGGTGCCGTTCCATGCTAAGTACCTAGGTCTACCTACTGTGGTGGGGAGACAGAAGAAGGCTGTGTTTAATTATTTGGTTGACAGGGTAAGACAGAAAGTAAAACTCTGGAAAACCAAACTGTTATCTTGTGCTGGCAAGGAAACACTCATTAAGGCAGTAGCTCAAGCACAGATGACATATGCAATGCAAGTTTTTCTCGTTCCTATGGGAGTAGTCCAAGAGGTTCAAAGCTTGCTGGCAAACTTCTGGTGGGGTCAACAGAATAATGAAAGAAGAACTCACTGGCTGAGTTGGAAAGAGCTTTGTAGATCGAAAGAACAAGGGGGACTGGGTTTCAGAGATTTACATGATTTCAATCTTTCACTGTTGGGTAAACAGGTGTGGAATCTCATACAAAAACCGAATTCCCTGGCTGCGAGGATTCTCAAAGCCAAATACTATCCTAGGAGGGATATCCTGGAGGCTGATTTAGGGTACAATCCAAGCTACTTATGGCGTAGTATTCTGGCAGCGAAAGATCTGATAAAACATGGATTGAGATGGAAGATAGGGGATGGCACCAAGGTTGACATATGGCTTGATAGATGGGTGCCAGAAGCTGAAAACTACAAATTGACATCACCTACAGTTCAGTTGGGCTTATCAACCTCGGTTAATGAGTTGTTAGATGTTTCGTCTAGAACCTGGGATACTGAACTAATTCAGATGCACTTCAACCCTACTGACCAGGCCAATATTCTTAAGACACCAATTCCTAGACAACCCTGTGAAGACTCCCGCATCTGGACTTTTGAAACCACAGGGTGTTACTCGGTAGAGTCAGCTTATCTGAAGTGGCGTGAAAGGCAGGAGGAAGCACTGGGGGAGCTATACTCTCCCACAGACTGGAAAAGGATATGGAGGCTATGCATTCCCCCAAAAGTCAAGATTTTCACATGGAAATGGGTTAGAAACATCCTCCCTACTGGAGCTAATCTATTAAGAAGAATTCCGCAACGATGTGACGAATGCCCGTTCTGTGGCATGCCAGAAACCCAGAACCATTTGTTCTTCGACTGTGGGTGGACGAGACGTGTGTGGAGACCTAGCTCACTAAAAGAGGTTTTCGAGAAAGGAGAAAATAGTACCTGTGAAGAATGGATGGCTGCTCTACAGGAATCATTCTCGGATGAGGTGATAAGCAGGTTCCTGGTTTCGATCTGGTTCATTTGGGAAGAAAGAAATTGCCAGTTATGGAACAAGAAAAAGAGAGAAGAATGGGAAGTGATGAATCGGGCGAGTGATTAGCTGGAGGAATACCTGATTTACCAACAGAAAACGGGGGCCGAGACGCAGAAAAGACAGTACAAATGGAAGCCGCCGGAAAATGCAGAGGTGAAGATAAATGTCGATGCGGCGTGTGTGGAAGGCCAGGGGACAGGTTTGGGGGTTGTGGTGAGGGATAAGGAAGGGAATTTCTGTCTGGCAGCAGTGAGGCGGACCAGGAGGCAGTGGAACCCTTTGATGGCGGAGATTCAGGCGATCCGATTCGGGTTGACGATGGCGGAGGAAAGGGGCTTCAGATCGGCGATTATTGAGTCTGACTGTCAGATGGCGATACATTATCTTCACAGCACCAAAGAACTGATTACAGAGGAGGGAGACACGTGTGCAGAGATCCGTGATGTGGCCAGAGCCCTGGGCTCCTTTGTTTTCTCTTTCTCGGGCCGAACTAGTAATGTAGCGGCCCATATAATGGCCCATATACCATGTGATTGGGACCATCAGGAGATTTGGGCCTCAAGGCCTCCTATCTGTCTTCTAGACCAACTTCAGTTAGATACCTGTAATCAGGGCCGGCCTAGAGGGTGTGCTGGCCCGCCCTCCGGCACAGGGCCTCAGAATATTAGGGGCCTCTACTTAGATTCGTTAGTTACCGATCGTATATTGTAGGTTGTATTTTTAGTGTATGATTGATTGATTATAAGTATGATGATGTGTTTAATAGATAATTTTAGCTATAATAACAATTGAAAAAGATCTCATGGAGAATACGAAAATCTGAAAAACAATAGATAATTTTAATTTAAACAATATAGAAAGATATTACATTTTGAATAATGTTATTATAATTATTTTAGTTTTATTATAGTTAAAGGTCGATTTGGACCACGTATAGATTTTGAAATAGGGCCTCCACGATCTAGTAGACAACCCTGCACCCACCTCTCGATCAATTTAGACTATTTTCATTTCTTCATTCAATTTTTGCGCTATATCCATTTTCTCTTCCTTCCAGATTTACTTTCCTCCCTACTAGGGCTGGGAATTCGGTCTTGGTTTCTTGGTCAAACTGGAAACGAGATCGTTTATTCCTGATGTAATCTTTTTTTGAACTTAAGTATTTTTTTACAATTATTTACTAATTTTTAATTTTGATGAATTTATGGGAAAAAAAATTAGGGCCACATTTTAAATTTTCGAACAGGGCCTCCAAATATGCCTGTAATATTTCACACCACTAAAGAAATAATACAGGTTTTGATGATAAAAAAAAAAAAAAAAGAATATGAGATCATAGATAAAACTTTCAGAAGAAAGAAAGATTGGGGTGTCTCTCTCTGCTCTCAGTTTCTCAATCCAGCTGCTGAATCAACAGACCAAAATGCAAACTAAACTATGATTTTGGTCAATCAATCTACCCAAGGACGAAAAAGAGAACAGACTAGAAGAGAGACATTAACCCATGCCATCAGCAGCGAAGTGTTTGTTTGTAACTTTGTATACAGATCTACACGTATACAGCACAACAGTTCCAACTTCCCAGAGCTGACATTCTGCGGGAGTCCTCTCAGCAAACAAACTTCCATACATTTTTGGCACTATGATTAGACTCTCTAGTATGTACATTTTTAAAACTGAGACAAACTTTAGTTGGAGGTAGAAGGCCTTGGCTGCTTGCAGCTGTGTTCTGGTGTAAGGCTCTCAGGGGCAGCTCGCTTCGGTCTCATCTGGAAAGAGAAGGGTAGCAAGCAAGTAGAAAGTGAGCAACGAAAGAAGAAGCTCTGCATGATAGAGGCAGTTTGAAAGAATGTATTTGTGCAAGAAAACGTCGAAGAATGGCAAGTTAGTAATATGACCAACCTTCTCTTCTGCTCTTTGGTAAAAGTTTCTCAGAAGTATGTTCTTAGTTTCAGTGGTTATGACTGCAAGCACGATAGTCGAGGACGCTGGTAAGAAAATATCGAGTTCCACTTATGACAGCAGACAAGTATATCTCTATATAGGATGAGCTAAATCGAGCTTGGTTTTTGTAACTGCCTTGGTAGTACTAACTTTTTCTAACCTAAACCTACTGGCTAGTTCAGAATCCCAGAAACAGATAATACTGGGAAAATGCATGCAGATCAAAGAGAACAGCCAAAGGAAGTAACTTCAACCGTGTTGGACTTGTAAATTCTCTAATATAATCGAATGGCTATAACCCAACATTCAAACAGGTAACTTTAGTAAGATTTATCCTTTGACAAATAGGATAACATCCTCTGATAGACTAGCACCTGAGTCCTAACTCCATCTGACAGAGAGAAAAAAAGATCTGTTGCACATGATGGTATACGTTAATGAGGAAATTCTTTCTCAGGGTTTTGTCTACCTAATCGACGTGAGGCGTTGCTTTGAGAAATCTGAGAAAAGTATATTACTTCTATTATCACTTTCCTATATGCCTTTTAACAGGAATGTTCCATGCATCCTGCTTCCTGAAATGTCAAATGCGAGGCCTACAAATGCAGTCTGAAAAAGTTATCACCGATGACGAAACCGGTTAGATGAAGTACTTGCTATGCATCGCATGTTACTTGAGCAGTCAAGTGCTGAAAGGTCATGTTCTTTATGCAAAAGTGGATACTACCCTAGAGAGAAAACAAAAATAATAAGCAAGTTCAGTACCTTGATCTGGTGGTGGAAGAGTCCGTCCATGGGTAGGATGATAGGTTGCTGGAGTCATTTTCTGCAAATGGATCAGGAAAAAATTCTGTCATAAATATGAGTAAACCGGTCAACTCCCGGATAGGCACATTCTGTGGGCAATACAGCATTTAAATCAGAATGATTGGTTGGTAAAGAAATTCTAAATAGGCTAACCCTGTGCTATTGAATTATTGATATTAAGAAATACAAATGTGTCATAAATTTTTAATCACCTAAAACCTAGAGGTGCCAATTCATCACAAGTAAAGTCATCCCCAGCACTATCCAGTCCCAACTCCCATGAAATAATCTACAATAAAATGCATACCATGACTTGTCAGCAATCTATTCACATGTCTATTCTAGCATGTACCCTGAGCAGGATAAGTAGACAAGCTTTTCATATGTACCCTAGTCCAAATTTTACATAGTGCTGAATCCATGTCAAGCCTACAAATGACACAGACAGCGGTTCAACACTTCAACTAACACATTCGACAACCAAATTCTCTGGATATGTCAGAAAAAAGCATCTGTAACGTGCTATCGACAAAAAATTGACACGTGATAGTTCAATTGAAGTGCCATGCACTATAATTAAATGTTCCTCCATAAAAATTATGGTTCAATCACAACCAAGGGCAACACTTGATAAATGTAATAGACAGTTACAAGAGAACAGAGAAAGCTCATGCCTAGTGGTGATAAAGAGAAGATATGCTGAATAGGCAACCAAGTGAGCTCCACATGTCCAAGTTCGTTTTCTATTTCAACTAAATTTCTTTTTCTTACCAACAGCTGGATTCTCAGCTAGGACATTGTTCTATAAACTCAACTCAGCCTAGTGAACTAAGTGGGCTCGACACTATATTTGAACAGATTGCATTGCTTTAGGATTCCTGCTTATTGATCTCATACATTCAGCGCTCTCACATCTCAATGAACTGTTTGCCTACATCTACTTGTCCTATCAGAATCTGAATGAAATTCTCAAGAATTTTGAGATACACTAATACTTTCCATCCGAAGTACTAACCCTCCAACCCAATTGCAAACAAGGAAACCCAGGATTAGGTTACTAGTAACTCATGCCTACCAAGGTGAGAGTAGCAGAACAAACAATAGTACATTCTCGATCAGCCACAGTTTTCTTCTTCCAAGCAGTTCTTTTAAGAACCCTGAGATTGCACTCGGAAACCTAACCGCACATTAGACCCTAACACCTCAACAAACGCGAAACAAAATTGTTGTCAGAAAAAAGGATAAAAAGATCACGCAGATGCACACACACAAGCTTCCCAGTGAAATCTGAAATTGGACCAAGAACACCATAAAACTAGTTTCAGTTCTTAGCACATGCAGAAAGCTCATCTCTCCCACTTGGGCTGCATTCCAGCAGATCAGCAAAACAAAAGCCAAACACAAGTGAATCTGCTGGAATCAAAACTCTACAGAAGCAATTCCAGTGAAATCAAAGATAGTAATATGGAGCTGCGACTGCCTGGGGCGAAGAGAGTGTGCGCTTACGGATGGAGTCGAAGGATCGGATGGCCGAAGTTGGCTGAAGTTATGTGGGTCAAAAGAAGGCAAGTCGCCAAGCATAGACCCCATGGAATGCTGGATTCGCTTCGCTGGTTGCCCAAATCTAGAGAGAGAGAAAGAGAGACAAGGCAGGCGATGAAGAAGGAGAAGACAATGGGCCGATGGATTCTAGAAATTGGGTCTGGTTTTGGTTGGCAGTTTTGCAGAATTTTTGCATGACAAGGCGCGGTTCGTAAATAAAGGACGAGTCTTTCTCCGAAAGAATGAAGAAAGCTCAGCTGAAAAGTAAATAGGGAAACAAAGAGCCAAGGTTGGACGGACGGACGGACGGACGGACGGACGGACTATAATCCGCCTTCATTTCTGAGGACCTGCCACGGCGTCGTTTGGTTAGGTTGAAGAAGTCGGGTCAACGGGGCCCAGACCCACAACAACCCAACCGAAACCGCGATTCATTGAATCCCGACCGTTAAAGAGAGCATCCCCACCAAGCTCAAGACGTTCATAACACACCTGATTTGCTCCTTTTTTCCTATTCATTCGCCCTAGGTTTCCTTCTCTCGTTCTCCCTGTCAAATTTCTCCTCTTCCGCTTCCTTCCCAACCGTCGGCTGACAGTCTCGGCCGCCGCACGCAGCTGAAGAAGGATACCACGGGAGAGTAAAAGAAAAAAAATGGCCGCTCCCGAAGCCCCTCTCAACTACGTCGGCGTAGCCCGAAAGTCCGCCGCTTTCCGGCTCATGAAACAAATGGTACTGCTGCTGCTTCCATAGCCGCCGACTTTACCCGTCTGTGATTTGCCCTTTTGTATTGAAATAGGGCTAAGGTTTGGTTGTTACGGTTCTTGACGATTTGTTCGTGTGCAGGGATGGGAAGAAGGAGAGGGGCTCGGTAAAGATAAGCAGGGGATCAAGGGACATGTTAGGGTCAAGAACAAGCAGGACACTGCTGGTAATGAAATGTTTTGTTTGGATTGTTCGATTTCTGTTCCTGCTTAGTGCTTTTGTCTCTTTGCCTGTCTGTCTGGTTTGGGAGAGGTTAGAATGGAAAACAAGTGTAATGAAGGTTTAAGCGATGGTGGTTTTCCATTTCCTCTAATGTGTCCCCTTTGTTTGTTTGGATTCTGGGAACTTTCGATGATCACGTATTGATTACTGTTCTGCTTGATTTTCAATGGAATTAGGTGTGGGAGTGGAGAAGCCAAACCCTTGGGCTTTTGATACTACCCAATTCGATAGTATCTTGAAGAGATTGAAAGTGGTATGTAATATGTTGTTGATTTGCTTGGGCTATGCCTTTGCAATTGCTCTTATGATGTGTCTTCGCTGTACTAATTTTCTGGTTTTGTTGTTGACTGACAGCAAGCGGTGCAGAACACTGATGCAGGTATGGTGACAAGAGCAACCTTTTAGTATTAGTCAATAGTTTGACGTGGATTGTTGGTCCGAAAATCATATCTGTCTCTTATTTCAGCTATTGCAAGAGATGACAAAGAAGAGAAACCTGAGGATAAGGCTGTTTCTACAGAGGTTCAAGAACCGGTTGCAAAAGCTACTCGACCACAAGGAAGGTTTGTGTATTTGTTTATTTGACTGTCTATATGGAACTATTGCCTGAATTTTGCAATGATGACGGCTATAAAATAAGTGCTTTTGGGTTTCTCTTGTTGGCCTTCAGATACAAGAAGAGAGAGAGGGGTAAGCTTGTTACCGCCTATTCTTTGAAGGATTTGGAAGGGATTCTTGTAAGCTCAGCGCCTTGGCCAATACTGTAATAGTTAAGATGCATGGTTTCTGTGGATTTCTCATGTCTGCAATTTATGGTACAGGTTAGAAAGACCGAGGAGTCAACAATTCCTGATGAATTGGACTCTGCAGAAGATTCAGCTTCCCAAATCTATAACCCTTCAGGTAACGGCACCAACGTATAATCTGATGGATCTTGCTTTTCAAGATGGTGATCTTCTTGTTACTCAATATTTACCGTCTGCAATCGTTTGATGTTACTTGCATTCCCAATGTACTTGTACTGTTGTTAGGGGAATAATTTTTAATACTTTCTAACAGAGGCTGAGATTGTTGAGCCTCCTCCGGACTGGTGGGGCTACAAAATTGGGTTCGTCTGTGGTGGTCTTCTTGGAGCTCGTTCTACCAAGAAGAAATCATCCAAAAATGGAGATGCTCAAAATCATAAAGAGAGAACTGCTTTCCATGAAGAAGATCAAGAGAACCTCTACAATCTTGTCCAAGTATGCATTATTGAAACTTTTGTCCTAAAAATTCTGTATTCTCTTGCATGCTTATATATGCCAATTTGAATGATCAAGAGGTATGGAACCCATAGTTTTGGAAGATCCGGAGTTTGTTCATCTCTTTCATTGAATGGTAATTTCTTTAACCTGGGTTCTCCATTGATATTCTAGGATAATGCCACGTCTGGGAAACAAGGACTGGGGATTAAGAGCAGGCCAAAGAAGATAGCAGGTGTCCGCTTTCAGGGGAAAAAGAAATCCTTTGGTGGCAGTGAGGATGATGATTCTGCTGATGATGGCGAGGACTCTGCTGAATATGACTCCACAGCAGAGGAACTATGTGATGATGGTGATAAAGATATGGAAACTGTTAACGATAAGATTTCTACTGACTTGGATTCCACAAGGAAAAGGAAATATGATGAGACGCTATCAGGTGTAGAAGGTGAAGTGCAAAAGGTTAACCTGAAAAAGCTGTGTAAACGGCTACTACAGCAGGTATTGTGTTTTAGATTGCTGCATTTTTTTTTAAACTAGACTTGCACAGCTCACATTTTCTGATTTTGTCTGATGGGTTAATTATTACTCCAGGTGCCTGGAGAATCGATGAAGCTAAAAAAGCTTAAGGTTCTTGTTGATGAGCACTCGTCCTCTGCTTTCTCGAACTTCTCTTCGAAAAAAGATGCCCTTGCTCACTTAAAGCAGAAGGTTAGCTAGCTTCTTATGGTCTTTTTGTTCGCATAGTGCTGTTTGATTTTGCCTACGAAAAAAATGTGAACATGTAGTGTTTACCCTATTGTACTTGCAGCTGGAAGGTAGTGGGAAGTTTGCGGTTGATGGTAAGAGAGTAAGTCTCTCTTCGAGAAGCGGCTGAAGAAGTTTTGGTTGATTTTTGTATCTACCGGAGATTGAGATTGTATACCTGAGCTGGATCTTGTCGATGAAGTAATCATGTTTTGCATCAAGGTCTAGGTCATATTAAGTGTTAGTAAAGGAAATTTTGTTGGTCACCCTGCTACATTAGCATTATTTGGTAGTGTAACTCAAATTAAAGAAGGAAAGATGAGTACTTTTCTTCTTTAGATTTGCATTGCAGATCAACTATAGTGAGAAAAGGTTGTCCCGCATTGTACGGAATAAGATGCCAGACGATTATATTATCCATGTATTGAAATCTACTTATTTTGCTATGGTTTGCCAACTGTATGGCTTGAATTCATTAAGAATTTGGTATTGGAGCTAGGGTTCTGCTGTTAACTTACCCGAAAGAGTGCTCTTCTGCTAGATGTAGTTAGCTTGAACAATCTTTTTGGTGATGTACTTTCCTAGGAAATCATAGCCATGATAGAACAGTGCCTCTATTTCTGCTCTCCTCCCGCTCTCAACCATCTGTGCCAATTCCTCTTTGTGTTTTTCCTGAGATGGAGTAGTAGTACTGCATCAACGTTTGATCTTTTACATTGCTATGAAAACTAATAAGGGATGTTGAGACATTGGTATTGGTATTAGCACCTGCAAAAATTCTGAGGACATCAAGCTTTTAGCTATCTGGAGGTCTCGTGGCTTCAATGGAACTAATGATTCTTCAGGTATGAGTTGTAGATCATCTCCTCGCACTCCTAACCACCTCACATTGCATGCTGAAAAAACGTACTGACAAGTTAGATTTTAATGACGGTTAAGGAGGGTCTCTAGGATCACAGACGGCATAAAAGCGCACCATATCTATAAGCTTCCAGGCCCATTCCTACGCTTCCATGCTTGAACGTGCACAGTATTGCTAGTCCAGCTGGATTCCTAATCAGATTGAGACGAAACCATACATGCAATCACTAGATGCCCTTGAATGGCAGACAGCATAGTAAATGAAAGCCACTCATACCAATCAACCAGCGCGAAAATGGGCAACTGAGGGAAAGCCCTGCTCATACGGTGAAGGAGAAATCTGCATCGCCATTGAACAATTTTGAAGCGATCAAACAACTGATAACATGGCAGCAGTCGTAGTGAAAGTCCTGTTGAATTACTTACCTCGTAGCTATATCTGGGTACCCTTTGGCTGTGATAAGAATGCTTGGAATGTGATTGAATATGCGATCCTCGGTCAATCGTTGAAAAATTGCATGCTGCAGAAACCAATCAAGGGAAAAGTTTCAATTATCCATGGAAGAACCCAGAGGCAAAAGTAGAAACTACCTTCTCCACCACGATAATATATCGTGCATCTGATCTCATAATCAGTTTGTCCAGCAAGCTCAAGTCCCCAGAGATGGCATAACCAGAGGAACCACATTCAGAACAATCCACAATTTCCTGGTTTGCCTCCTGTTCCAAATATCCTTCATGAAATTAGAACTCATAAAGAAGGAAGCTGGGAATTCGCTTACTATGTGATATTTGATTCCAAAAGAACCTACCTGCAACAATAATCTCCCAGCAACAACTCCTCGGCTGGAAGCCATTATTCCAAGACTGAAACGGCTGCACCTAAGCAAGGCCACGACATCTGCTTCACAACGTTTCATTCATTCAAATGGAAGCCATAGTAGTCAAATATTATTGATCGCGAGAGGAAACACAGTAGTAGGACCTTGGATTGTCCGATTGACCTGCAGCTGTGATGAGAAGTAATCCGGCGACTCACAGAGAAGCTTGTAAAATAGCTCCCGCTGCGTGACTCGCTTCTCATGACTCAGGATTTGATAGCACAGCTCCATTACCTTCCATACTACAACAGAAGGAGGTTTACTCAATAACTCTGGTAATTGAACAAACTTGACGAATCAGGTCACTAACTAAGGACACCAGCTTCGTTCAGTACCTCTAACAAACGCCTTAGCTGCATTAGCTTTTGTCAACGACCTCACGCTAAGCATATCGGAGAGGAAAATCGAAGAGACGTCGGTTAACATTCCCTGATTCACTCTGCTATTACGCGATTTCCTGGATATCTGTTCTCATTTTTGTTATATAAAATCGATTCAAGAGACTTAGAGTCGGAGGATTCAATTGGTCTAAACTAGAATTTACATAACTGAAAGTTCTAAATAGAGTTTTTGAAGCCGTACCAGAGCTAGGTTGGAGATTGCCGGATCTGGAGAGGTTAAAGCCTTCAGGAAATTGATCACCGCGACTTCTATCCGAGCTCGAACCTTGTGAGAAATTGAAAATCTGGGTAGTTAAGTTGAATCGAAAGGGGGCTTCGTCGAGTGTGTGAATTATTCCACGGTGACGGAGCAGTGATGGCTTACCTCATGAGCAGAGAGGATATCCGCGTAGCAGAGCTGCTGATCGGAGAAGAACGCCATTGATGTTCTGCAGAGGTCGAGTTCCTCCTCCATTTTCTTGCTCTCTCACTCTTTCAAATTTCAATTCGCGAACGAAACGTGAGCGCGCGCTTGCGGAAAGAGTTTGAATGACGGAAGAAGAAGCTTTATATGGCTGAATAGAGGAACTTGTTGGGCCTTCAAGCTCAGTGAGGTGGGCTTCGTGTGGCCTGCTTTCTTGAGCTCAACTCAAGGATCTTGTCAACTTTGCACTCCAAAGATAAATGGAAGATAAATTACAAGGTTGGTCGCTGAGATTACTAAAATATTTTATTCAATTCGTGATCTCTAAAATTAGTTAAGTAGTTCCAATTTGGTCATTGATCGTTGTTAGTCTCCGTTAACATCGTCAATTCGTTAATGTTTTGCTGAAGTGAATAACAAAAGTGCTGATTTATCCTATTTTATCCGCCATATCATAAAATCTGACGCGTCACATCAAACCACTGCATAACCTAACCAAAATCCTAACGACCCCATTTTTTTGGCCATACCTCTCCTCGAGTTCCCCTTGTCTTTCTTCATTGGAACTAAAAAACCATATCCCCAACCTAAAAGCTCCTCTACTCTCCAATTCAATTGAGTTTGCTTGAATTTTCAGGTGTCCAATTGAGCAACTCATTTCGCCTTAAGCATCTTATTTGGTTTATTATTAGGCTTAGACTATGTTTAACATATTTTAAATTAAATGATGCACCTTATTTATGGATTAAACGCTATTTATTTTAAAAATTTCTTCCATTTTACCTTATAAAAAAAAGTTATAATTTTGTGATAATTTAGAATGTATGTTGTAAACTCTACAAACACGCTCAACCACTCATCATTGCAATCACTCAACCCAATATACCTACATGTACATCCTTGGGTGGGACATGGGTAGGCATTCACACGTAGTGAATGGTTTTAAACCTACTCAAATCCGCATAAAACCACTCAGTGCTCACCTCTAACCTGCAATCTTTCATATTGAGAGAATACATGTTAGAATCAGACTGGACATGAGGAAATGGCCTTGTTCATATGGTCATATTTTAAGAGTTCATTTGAATTTTTAATTAGTTAGTATCGGTTTACTGTTACTCTTGAGAAAATGACAATTACCCACCGGATACGGGACATTGACATTTCGGTATTTAGGGTAAGAAGTCAAGATGTCGGTTCATTTTCTATTAGGAGGTTTGTACGTAATAACTAGCTGGCCTGACCAACCAATTTACTGGCAGATATATATATGCACATGCATAATCACTTTTCGTTATCTCTGACTTGGTCAGGTAATCTACCTACGTACATCACTTTCTCTCTTGTTTTAGTCACTAATTACTCTGTTACACCAGCATCACATGAATTAGAAATTTCAGTTTTTTAATGGACAGTATCAAGTCCAAAACTTAGAACTGTGGGGTTTAATTTGAAGGTGGGATTTACGTCCAAATTTTATCTACGTATTATTTAGGTTAAAAATCATATTTTACTTGGTAAAACTTAAAAATTAGACTTAAAAACTGAACCCAGCCCAAAGCTCAGGGTTTGAAATGACCATTTAACTCTACAATAATAAGCAATTAAGTTAATTAACTATGGGATTGCAGTGGCACCCTGCTCACATAAGAAGGACGTAGTGAGAGTGACATAAGCGGAGGAAATTAACAAAATGTTTAAGTGTACGTAATAGACTAATAGTATTTTTTTTTTTTTAAAAAGAACGCGTCAATCAATCAGCCAAGATTAGAACCGCGTGTGCATGGCTGCTTGCCTGAAAATCCATTAGTCAAGGAAAGGAAGACGCTCCCCCGTTTTCTCGCTTAGTCGGCACCTAGCGAGCCGATATATAATTTCCGCCAAGGATAATGAGAATTGGGTGGCAATGTATGGCGACGTGTTAGATAGCAACTTTTCGGCTAAAAGCAAATTGACAACTTGCCCTCAAAAATCAAAATCCACATAATAATAAGGTTGCTTAGTTTCTCGCTTCACTACACGCCAGCCCTCGTACTACTATATTAACTTCTTTTTTTTGTACTAATAATATTAACTGAATATAGTAATAGCCGCAATGGATAACGTGGGTGATTAATTATCGTTTGTGACTAATTATCCCAGCCTCGTAATTAAATTAATATTAACATATAATTTGTCTCCACTTTCCACTTTCCAGCCCAAGTTTTAGGACAAGAAGGGCCGGGCCAGGCCCAGGAAGAAAACAAAAGGCAGAACCAAAAATCCCCCCTCCCACGACTAGTTCAAACCTTGATTACCGTCATCTCAATCTATAGACTCTAGTCTAGCTACTAGTTCCACTCTCCCACGCCTATGCATTTTTCTCAGAACCTTTTTGTTTTGTTCTCATCTTCGTCTGCAGCTGGCCTGCCTCTTGTCTTGCCCACGACCTGGGGTATATAGCCGTAGCCATAGCCCTAGGTGGGCGAGAGATCGAACAAGCTCCGGAAATGAAGAACAAGGAAATATATGAAAGAGGTCGATGCAGTTTGTTATATATAAAGGCGGCCAGAAATGAAAGCCTCAGCTTGCATCAGTTTGACTTTCCAATAATGTATCTTGTAGCATTATTTAAGTAAAATTAAGGTCGTTAATTAATTAATAACCTTGCGTTTTCTCTTTGATGAATGTCGCGTAACAAAACAGTAGATTATATATATGATCATTGAAAGATGGTTGTTGTTGACACTTTCAAACTAGCGGCTGGTTGGTATCTCCAAGTTTTTCTTTGGAGTAATTAAGATAATGCAATTAATCCCTGGGTTTCAGGCAACAAATTAGAAGTACAGCGTCATGATTTGTCTGCATGTGCATGAGCATGACGATTTTTTGGTGCACTCCCATTGGATAATATATATTTGGAAGAAAAACTATTAAATATAATGGGATGGGGGAATCCCAACTTGCATGATTAAGTTCCGAGATGGATATATAAAAATGGAAAATGGTTAACTAATAAATAATTAATTAATTGTATATGAGCGAAAAGGTAGAAGTGGGCTTGATTGATTTCTTTGCAAGTTGTTTGTTTGCCACCGACTGCCCTCCTCTTCCATTCCGATTTCTTTATCTTTGACTATGGATGTTGTTTAATTAAGGGAAAAACATGAGAAAAAGGGAAAGTAAGAGCTCATAAGGGCAACGTGGCTCCTGTAGTTTTTTTTTGTTTTACAGATAATTAAGCAGTAAGCAAAGGGTGCTGCTCTGAATCCTAATGCATGTGATTACTTATTATAAATTATAGCTACAGTTTCCCTTTGTTACAAACCAAAAACCCGTCCTCAGTTTGGATTGCAGGCTGCAACTCGTCTGCATGAAGCCGGAATCGCTAGTAATCGCCGGTCAGCCATACGACGGTGAATTCGTTCCCGAGCCTTGTACACACCACCCGTCACACTATGGGAGCTGGCCATGCCCGAAGTCGTTACCTTAACCGGTCACTACTCCCACTGGGGCTAGGAAGTAAGTCCCACAACCCAAAGCGGCGTATCCGCTTGAGATCATGTCTTTTTAGGGTTATTTTGGATGTACAATTCAATTTCGGAAGTCGTTACCTTAACCGCAAGGAGGGGGATGCCGAAGGCAGGGCTAGTGACTGGAGTGAAGTCGTAACAAGGTAGCCGTACTGGAAGGTATGGCTGGATCACCTCCTTTGTTATGGTTAAACTTTATTATGTTATGTGGCCCTAATAATTTCATTTTCCACCTATGATTGCATGTACAGGCAAACTCCATGAATTCTTCATATAAAAAACGAACTCCATGAATTCTGCATGCATGTCCCTTTTTGATGATGAGATGCAAAATATCAATTTCCATGCTCAATAAAATATTGTATCTAGCTAAACATTATCCAATGGCACTTTATAAAGGATAAAAGCCACTAGCCTAGCAAGCCAGTACTCTCTCATGATGAGGATCAGAAATCAAGATCTTGATGTCATTGCCTTAACCCAAAAGACAAGGGAGTAGAGGTGTGGGTACTTGCACAAAATAGCCCCAAACTAAAAGAAATGGAAGAAGAAACAAACACAAGCAAGTGGGAAGAGTGTAGTTGTGGCTGTCTGCTTCATTCTTCCCAGAGTTGTTTCTTCTTTTGGGGTCTAAGCAATTTGATAAGCTTATGCCCATTTGCATGGAATAGGGTAAGCCCCTAGAAATGTAGGGCGTGCAAGGATGATTGCGGGACCATTCTCTGTGTTATACATATATACATGCCCTCCAAACGAGGAACCCATCACTTTGCTAGCTTCATGCTTTGTTGTTCGATAGTCAAACACTACATATATTTCCAACATCCCCACACTGTCTTTCCTATGTATTGTCTTCAACTCACATTTTGGGATTATATTTTCTTAGCACTAACGCTCAATTATTGTTGAAAAAGGGGGTGAAATTCATTATTGCGTCGATGTATGAGGAATCATACCATCATGTTAGTTTTGTACTATAATTTGTGTAACCTCCTTTGAAAACATGAGATGCTTTAGAATAGATAGGAAAATTTTAGTCAATTGTTTGACTCGCAATGATTAAGTTATTGGTGTAATTTGTTTTCCTTTCTATTTCAGAGAGAATAACTTTAATGTCAATTTTACATAAAACGGTCGACGTTTCTTTCTCATATAACATTTTTTTTTTGAGGGATTCTTTCTCATATAACATTGATATTATGAGATAGTGGTGTTTTACATCCTAATTAATCTTTATAATAAAAAATAGGGTTAATACCTTGAACTATACACATACTTTCTACTTTGGCCCGTAGTATTGGAAATTGCTATTCTGGCCTGAACTATGTAGCAAAGTTTCTCATTTGGCCTGGAGGCCGGTTTGACCGTTAAATCAGACGGTCAAACTTGTTGACCGTTAGTCAATGCCCACCTCACCTTCCACGTCAGCTTTGAGGACATAATTTTTTTTTTATTTCTGATTTTTGTTTTCTTGTCATTTGCTAAAAATGGGTCCTTTTTCGTTCTTTTAATTAATTTTTTTATTTATTATTTTTATTAATCGAAAGAAAACAAAATTCAGAAATTAAAAAAAAAATTATGTCCTCAAAGCGGACGTGGCAGGTGAGGTGGACATTGACTAACGGTCAACAAGTTTGACCGTCTAATTTGACGGTCAAACCCGCCTCCAGGCCAAATGAGGAAGTTTGTTACATAGTTCAGGCCAGAATAGCAATTTTCAATACCACGGACCAAAGTAGAAAGTATGTGTATAGTTCAGGCCAAATTAAGGTATTAACCCTAAAAAATATCATGTCAAACAGTACCCTTTAACTATTAAACGAGAAGCTACTCAAGCTCTTGTATGACATACAATGTTTCTCAATATGATTTGTAATGTCGGTTAGTTTGATGATTATAGTAAAGATTCCATATTTAACATGAATAAACATTGGGATGCTTGCTGTTTGTAGTCACATTTGCGGGTATGATTTGTAATGTTTCTCCGATATATATATGGTTTATAGTGCAAGTTGTTTTTATGATTTGTAATTATTAAATATGTTATTATTGAATATTAATATATTATGCTGATCATGATTTATAGCCTTTGTATAGATGATATATAGTGTTGTTTAGTTTAACTTGTAAGTTTTTTCTCAACCTGAGTTACAATGTCAATCTAATCCATATAATGTATGATTATTACTAACTTAGACTTAGAGTTTCTGAACTGGAAAAACCCATCATGCATAATAGAGCTACAAGGTTATTTGGTTTGGTACAATTCTTTTTCATTAGATACACCAACTCTTTGAGTTTAATGTGTACCAAACCTCACCTCTCGGTCTCGGGTGGCGCTTAATTGTTGTATTTCGTAGGGCATGACTTTTTTCTGGGTGAACTCTAAATACAGTGTACAGAAGGATATATAGATTTAAGTTATTAATTAACTATATATATAAAAAAAGATAACATATTGAAAACTTGAAATAAAAAACCGAAAGTGACTTGAGAGAGAAGAGATGACCAGACGACAACCATTGTTAGAGTCCACACGGTCGACAAACAAGTGTGTATGTGTGTAAGAGATATTAGTTCTCTCAAGGAAACAGTAGCGTCCATAGCTTAGCTGTTCCATGATATAAATTAATTATAAATCAAACACAATCCAAATTATTGGTCAAATAATTTATAGCCTTTGACTTTTTCCCAAAGTCATTAACAAAAACTATAAAGAAAATAAAAGGGGGCAAAATAATCCGAAACCAGCCAAAAAACGACCCCTTAACCTCACGTACAAATGGGGAAGGATCTGACTTTCAAACCTTTCTCCCCGCCGCAGCCTTTGATCCCTCTCCTATATATAAATCCCCACAACTCCCACAGCCTTTCCCCATTGGCCTTTCCCTCCTTTTACTAAGTCAGCGCATTAATCAAAAATCTTAATCTCTTCCCCTTAATTCTATGGGCGAGTTTGCATTCATGGCGGATTGGGATCTGGACGCCGTGGTCAGAGGCGGCAGCAGCTGCAGCCATATAATAAACGCCCCCGCCGCAGCAGATCAGATTCAGCCTTCTTCCTTCAACTTCGACTTCGACAGCTTCCACGACGAACCATTTCCTTTTGCTTCTTCTTCTTCTTCGATGGAACAAGTGATTATTGATGATGATTATACCGATTTGGATGGGTTGCTGGAAGGGCTTTACCAGCCCTTTTGTTGTAACCAACCGTTGAGTATCCTCACCACCACCAACGCCGCCATGGTTGCTCCTCCTCCACCAGCCTCCGCCGCCGCAGCCATCTGCAGACCAGAACAACCGTCGGCAAAGCTTCCAACTGTAGTTTCCGATCTGTCGTCTGCTTCTTCTTCTTCTACGGCCGCTCAAAGTAGCTCCGCAGTCAAATTGCGGAAAAGGTTTGTTTCGTAACTCGTTGTTGATCTCAATAAGTCGAGTGGTTTTGAGGAAGTTTATATAGTAACGTGTCTTTTACACGAAAACTCATTGTTCATATGGACTTGAAATTTGTACAGTACTCATACATCATGTGCTTCACTAGTTTTCGGACAAAATATCTTTTAATCACAAAAAGCTTTATTACCATATCAATAACCAGTTGATTCCAATAACTTGAATCGTTGAGAGAGATTCAGTATTGGATCTTATACCACATAGTAATGGTATACTCATATATTGTTTACTTGTTCTTATTATCAATGAATGTTTAGCATCGATTTTTAGGTTATCTTGGAAAAAAAAATTAAAGTGGATTTTTATGCTTAACACAGGAGGAATCAGCAGAAGAGAGTTGTTCAACAAGTAAGGGAAGAAGGGATTTCGTCGGATAAATGGGCTTGGCGTAAATACGGGCAGAAACCCATCAAAGGATCGCCTTACCCTAGGTATATTACCAGAAAGTTCATCACTAACGGTTACAAGAACCAAACCTTTTTTTGCGACCAAAATACTACGTGTTTGCAACGGTTTTGCTGAGGCTTTCCTCTTTTGCCGACGAAAAACAACAGGAGTTACTATAGGTGCAGCAGCTTGAAAGGCTGCCCGGCGAGGAAACAAGTGGAGAGAAGCACCGCCGACCCTTCGGTCTTCATCATAACATACACGTCGGAGCACAGCCACGCGCATCCCACGCGCAGGAACTCACTCGCCGGCAGCACCCGGGTGAAGAATTCCATCTCCGTCGTCGCTAATGGTGAGGGAGCTTCTGCCACGGCCTCTGTCAAAGGCGACGAGCACTACTCTCCTTCCGTAGCTGAAGACGAGCTGATGATGGTGAAGGAGGAAGATGAAGGTGGAGTGCTCTTCCAGGATGTGTATCAGAGTAGCAGCAACGATGAATTCGTCGGCTCCGGCGATTTAAGTTTTAGCGACGCATTGTATCCGGGCGGTGAGGGTTTAGATGTTGACAGGATGTTTCTGAATCCATGGTAATTAACGAAAACTGTACTTTTCTTTGTTTTACCTCATTAATCCATTTTTGCTATCTGTCATAATTTCAAGGCTTTGTATAGTTGAAGATCCCCATTCCAATTAAGTGTGCCAAGATGCATGCCACACATATAAGTTAGGCCATATGTTGTATGTAGTTTTCAGGAGTAAAGAGTAAATGTAGATCTATATATGAATTAGCATTGTTGTAATATTGTTTCTAACCATACAATATTACAAAAATTGGATTGGGAGTAAATTTGGTGATTTCTCTCTTCATAAGAATTGATTTATTCCAATCACCCAAATTGTTTAAAAGGTATTGTAAATTAGATCCTGTATTATTTTCACATATCAGTCGTTAATTTAACTTGAAATTTTCATATGTGCAGCATACTAGTACTTTATGTTAAAATAAAACATTAGTACATATAACATTTACTAGCTCGAAAGTCAGAAACTGAAAAACAAAACCTATTCAACGAAAAAACCCTATTTTATTAGGTAAGATTCTTATTTCATGTAAAAAATGAATTCATTCTAGTAACTAAAAAAACTTGCATCCACAAAACCTAAACCGCCCAAAGGGGTAGGATAGTATGCTAACCCCTAAAGGGGTAGTGATTTTTGACACCCCCTTTATGATTGGCCAATTTTATTTCTAATCATTGGCAAGTATTAATTAAACTGGTTTTTTATTTTTTTTAATCTTGTAATTTGGGGTCTCTCACCACATTGGAAAAGAGAAAGAATCTGGGGAAAAACGAAATCACCCCCATTAATTACATAATTAATTTCTCTCACTGGTACATTAATTACACGTACCACTCTACTGGTACACGTACCACTCCACTGGTACACGTACCACTCCACTGGTACACGTACCACTCCACTGGTACACGTACCACTCCACTGGTACACGTACCACTCCACTGGTACACGTACCACTCCACTGGTGCGAGCAATCCACAAGGTAGGTTAGAGTGAGAACAATACCAGTGCAATGATATTTTTCATAACAATGATAAACAATAACGGAGCAACAATGCAGTACCACTTCAATGATACAAATACCACTCCACTGGTACACGTACCACTCCACTGGTACGTGTACCAGTAGAGTGGTACGTGTAATTAATGTACCAGTGAGAGAAATTAATTATGTAATTAATGGGGGTGATTTCGTTTTTCCCCAGATTCTTTCTCTTTTCCAATGTGGTGAGAGACCCCAAATTACAAGATTAAAAAAAATAAAAAACCAGTTTAATTAATACTTGCCAATGATTGGAAATAAAATTGGCCAATCATAAAGGGGGTGTCAAAAATCACTACCCCTTTAGGGGTAGTCAAGCTAACCGATCCCTTACCACAATGTTTGCTAAATTGGGGGGAAAATCGATGTATGGGGATCGTGCATAATCAACATAATCATTTTGGGAATTCCAACAAACGGTCTCATTTGTTATAAAAAATCGACTTGATTAAATGTTTTTAAGTCTAAAGCAACTATTAATAGAGATGAAACAAGCTTTGGAAGAAGAGTGTCATAGCATAGTGATCATAAGTTCATAACTAGTTAGATTGATCTTAAGTATCTAAACTAGTTAAGTCCTTACTTTTGGACTAATTAAATATTAGGGTATGCCTACTATGACATACATGTCACCGTGACATGGACTTTTCGGTCGACCTAATCCTGAAGGCGGTCGACCAAATTGACTAATTTGGGCAGCACGAGAAAGCATTGCGGTCGACCTCAAAGACCACCTGGTCGACCGTTCTTAGTTTAAGTTTTTATTTTTGGTTGACCAGAATAAACCTCGGTCGGCCATTTCGTTGGCGTCAGAAACAACATGGTCGACCAGATAAAGAAAGAGGTCGACCAGATAGACGATAAGTGTTCTATCAATTTATCCAATCATTTGACGTAGAATGAAGATCAAGTGTTGGTGTCGAGGTCGACCGAATACAAGAAAGTCAACCTATGCCCCGTGTCTTTTTTTGCTTATGTATGTCGATTGTGTGGTTCTTTTGCTCGTCTAAATTACGCTTTAAACCATCATAACTAGTCATAAATAATGATAATAAGGACTCATCAATTATGCTATGAATTGAGGTCGACCGCCTTTAGGATTAGGTCGACCGCAATGCTTTCTCGTGCTGCCCAAATTAGTCAATTCGGTCGACCGCCTTTAGAATTAGGTCGACCGAAAAGCATGTCACCGTAGCAAAATCCTAAATATTATAGCGAGATTAAAAGGAAATGAGATGCACATTCCCGAAAAAAACTCAACAGTTTTTCCGGTGAAAATACGGAAACAATAAATTATTCTTCGACAAGATTCACATGTTGTATTTATTGTGTATGGATATATATAAAAAAATAAATGTAATGGAAATTAAGTATATTTTTTACGCGACAATTTCTTGTAAAAGAGGTAGAATGTCGTCGTTTGAGTGCTGTTAACACATGGGGGATGACGGGATCTCCTGTTTTTGAGTAATGATGATAATAATGGATCAACTGGTTACGAGGCGTAGATTATTCAAAGCCAAGTTGCGCATTTCTACAATATAAATTAACGATTTGTTGGGTATAAATATGGTGTAATAATAAATAAAATCAAGGTGTGAAAAGAGATCCAGCCAGCCCGTTCCAAGCTCACCGCCTAACTGTGGGGAAAAGGGACAGTGAGCGATGGTGCAATATTTTTTAATAATGGAGGAAAAGGATGAGCCCCCTACACCTACTTGATTAATTAGTTTATACAAATAATAATATCATCGAAACCTAACATTTTGCCTCCAAATTCAATTCCCGGCAAAGTCCCTTTGCTTCAAGCAACGAAATTAAATGCCCATTTCAGGACTCACTTGACTTTGTCTCTGTAATGGGAGCACACTTGTAAGTTATTAATGTAAATGGCATATGTAATGCGGTTCCAATATATTTTATATACTTTGGAAACCAAATTTATAGTTTTTGTTCCAGATCTAGGTAGTATAGTATTGTTTGGGATAACAAGTTGGTTCGGTTCATATGACAGAAATATGAATCAAAGAGTTCGTATGAAAAGAACGCAAATGGGTAGAGCCAGTGACGAAGTCAGAAATCTGAATTAAAGAGGGCTAAAAATTCACGTTCAAGGGGAGGGGCTAAAGCCATACTACATATTCTATTTTTCAAATTCATCACAAAATATGTAGACGCAAATTTACACAATTTTAAAAGTTGAGGGGGAGGGGTGCTATAGCCCGTCCTGGCTATAACGTGACTCCGCCACTAGGTAGAGCCACTGGCGGATTCAGGGGGTGGCCACCTCGGCCCCGGCCCAGCCCTCCTCTGGATCAGTAGTTAGTATAGTACTTATGAAAATTTTGATTTTAGACATTCGACCCAGTGTTATTTTACGATATGATTGGGTTTAACTAGAAAAATTATCAAGTTGAACATATTCAAATCACTACTCTACATTTAGCCTAGAAATTTTAGCCCCAAAGATTATGCATCTAAAAAAACAAATAAACCTAAAATTCTAAAAAGTTTAAAACGTAAAAGACTAAAAGAAATATGAGGTTTGTTCCCTTAAAAATTTACTAGAGTAGCTGGTGTGCAGGGATGAACACACGGTGCAAATTGATTAGTCGATTGATTTATCTATTGTTGATGCTGCTCGTTTCAACAGCTACTACGAAGAGAACCTTTTCAACAATGAAACATGTGAGAACTAATTTGCTCAACAAAATGAGCGATGAATTTCTCGCCGATTGCTCAAGTATTTTATTTGAAACAGTGTATACTATTGGTATGGATGTAGACTCCTTGATGCATTCCCTAAATTAAAATACAGTCGTGTACCATTTACATTGCTAAAAACTATAATCATTATATTTTTTTTACGGTTCTAATTTTCTAATGAAATGCGGCCCAGTGCTCTTCTGTGTTCTGGATCCGCCGCTGGGTAGAGCCCATCAAAGTTAAAAGTTGAGTGAAACTCTGAGAGATTCATTAGAAAACTGATCAATGTTAAAAAAAATCATAATATTTCAAAGTTGAGATGAATTTCTAGGCATCCTAGCTCAATAGTGACTAGCAAGGGTAGTCACCTTAACTCTAAGACCTAAAAACCTAAGACCATTTACTCGATTCCAGACCTAGCATTTACTGTTAACACTATGTTTCCTGACACATCGTCGTATATTTCTTAAGTGACAGGGACGATGATAATCTACTCATCTTGTATAATCAATTTAGTATAGCAAACACTATTACATCAATATATGTTTAAGATACTGATATTTAATTATCTTTCTTTTGGAATAGCCGGAAATAAGGATTGAAGAAAGTCGTTCAAGGTCATTAGCAACTGGTGGTGGTTAGTAGCGGAAATTGAATTCGACGGCGGCTGAAAAAATGATCGGGGAGTCGCAGGAGATGTAGCAACAATAGCATTTCTTCTCCTGTTGTGTTTGTTTCTTTTTACATGAGCACATATATTGTATGTAATATATTATATGAAACAATAATAGCATATATTGTACATGAACAACAATATAGATGGATTTATTTAATATTTTCTTCTACTATTTGTTTATTTGGGGTTCCAGTTTTTAGTGGCCAATTGGTTATATATGGGTTATCTATGCCAATAAAATTTGAGAAAATCAAAATAATTACTAGCCTCAAAATTTTAATTTTAGATTGAGAATGATCTCATCACAATTGAGAAAACACAACGATAATCACAAACAATTTGTCACAAGAATGACATCATCGTCGGGTTCATCAATATGAAACTATTATTGACTAGGCGACGAGTTTATTAATTATTGTGATGGTTCTTTGCCGTCACAAACAAAAGTTTTCAGGTTCGTCAATTTTAAAATACATTAGTCACGACCATATTAATTGTAGAGACAACTTTGAGTCGTTACAAATAGTTTTTGCGACGGCTCGTCACACAAAAATTATTTGTGACGCTTGTATTTGGAACGGCGACGACAACATGACATTGCAAAAGCACATTTGTGATTGAATTAGAGCTTTACGTACGGAAACATCTGGTCACTAATGACTGTCTTTTTTGTAGTGCCTCTATAGAACTCTATTTTCATTTAAATTTATGTTCGGAAGGACTTTTTGGTTTCCTCCGATTTCTCATAAAAATAACTATTTCCCTAACTCTGTCTTTCCTTTTCTAGATCTTGGTATTTATTGATTGAAAAAATCTCGTGAACGTGACTTTCTATAATAAAGAGTAGCCAATTATATTCACACCTCATGCTTAAAGCATTTATTTGGGAGAAGGAAATTCCACTCATGCTATATTCGTATGTTATTGATAAGTGATCACTAATCACAACTCATAAATCATGTTTTGAATCACAACTATCTTATGTTAACATGAATTATCATTTGCCGATGTTCCATATTTTTCAATGAAATTAATATAACGAGTCCAAAATTACAAGTATTACGTAATCTTCTTAGTTCAATAAATGAGTCTCTACAAAGAGGGATTTGATTTAGCGAGACTGCCTATATTTTCAACCTTCAAATTCTAAGTTCGGATCCCATTGTTGACTATGTATATGCACTAATAATAATAAGAAAACAAAAATATTTATATCTAGCACTCTGTAATCAAGGAGATATAAGTTGATATGGAGATAATAAGTTGATATGGAGATAATATGCATAATGGTTTGTCCATGTTACAACTCCTACCAGGGCTGGTTGAGTATTATAACCATTGTAGTAGCCTTCCATCCACCTACTATTTCAGGTTACAAATTAAGGAGGACTGCCTAAACTTGTACACTGGTGTGTTCTTTTTTATATTTACACACACGTACGTTAATTGAAACGGACTAAGAGATTAATCCTCACTAGTCACTAATATACATGTGCATGTATGTAAATGCAATCAGAGTAAAGCAGCCACCGAGCCGATAAAGCCAGCATTGATATAAGTCGTGGGCTCAGCATGCGAATAGTCGGATCGCTGATCAGGGTAATTATCAGACGAGTCCGGCCCACCCACAAGGGCTCCCACATGGACATTTGGGTTGGGCTGGCTCGAGGAGTAGTAGTGGTCGTAGCCATCGTTGCAGCTGATCTTGGGCTTGTGGGATTTGATCGAGGGAAGTGACGAACCTCGATGGTGCAGCTGTTGTGGGAACTTGCTTCCGTATCCAACCATGTATGACATCTTCATCGGATTTTCCCCCAGTATATAGTCCACCTTGTAAAAAAAAAAAAGAATTAGAATGTTTAAATTAGAGTTTTATTTGTTTAGCCATGTAAAAGAAATGATGATGTTATGATCTGGAGATCCTAAATTCGAATCGGTTATCATATACCTGAGATTTGGCAAATGCACGTATTTGAGATGCGGAGAAATACTTGGAGTTACAATGAACGCCATTGACATGGGACACAGCCAAGTTCTTGGAGTAGATGAAGAGAAGCATGCTTGAGCTTGTCACGTACTGTAGATTTGAACTGTCCCTTGTATACATTAGCCCTCCTGATGAACAACATATATACCCAGTAAAAAATAATTTACTCTGTTCGTCTTTGGTATAAAAAAAAAAAATCACATGTTTACACGTACCCGGTGTAGTTTGGATTTGTTGAGAGCCACTCCCAGGCATGAGTGCACAAATGAAAGATTCAGCATCGCTCTTGTACTTCCCCAACTCCTTATCTCCACCGTTGAATCTCTGCATCCATCCGACCATATAACTAATTACTTTAAGTATATGTTTATCTTAAATTATATGTATGAATTAAGTTAATCAATTATAATGTTACCTTGGCGAGTAAAGTTTGGACACCAGCAAGCTTGTTATCCCAACTGAACTCACTAACCGAACCACTCCAACCCTGGTTGCTTGTGAGATAACCGTGGTACTTTTTGTCACCGGTTGCCTCGTACAGCCACGTTGCCCCCCACAACAACTCATCCTATTCATAAGCATGCACGTCCGCACGCAATTAATTATTTACCAATAATTAAACATCGATTTAACGATCACAAAAAGAGACATTAATTTAATTAATTAATTAATTTCAACAACCACCCTTCAATTTGGCTCTAATCCTAATTAATCACCTGGTAGCCGGAGTAGGAGCAGTAGAAAGGGCAGGAAGCACCGTAAGAACCCCTATACTTGTCCGCAAATTCAAACAGCTGAATGCAGGCAAAAAAAAATTACGGGCTGCAGTTACGTACGTACGTTTTAGCAATTTAATTAGGAACGTGATTATAAATTGTAGTTAATTAAATTGATTACTGATTTGGCGTGTTGGAGTAGCTTGGAGGAATAAGCAGCATCGACATGCTTGAACACCATGGAAGCGGCGGCGAGCGCGGCCGCGGCGTCGCCGGCGGCCTCCGAGCCCGGATTCTGGGAAGTGATCTTGTACAGCGTACGAGGTGTGTCCATGTCCTCCGGCCGTTCCCAGCAACTGTGGTCCTTGTTCCCATCCCCAACCTGCCGCCGCGCATGACGTCATAATTCCATTAAACAACTATAATATTTTAATCGATCACGGGGATTGCAATTTTCGGAGATAAAAGAAAACAGAACATATATAGGTATGTAACAACTTATAATAACAAGACCTCTATATAAAGATTAACCCTAATCAACTTGATTAATAGAAAGAAACCTGAGTGTAGAAAGTGGTGGAGGAAGTGTGGGAACGGAGGAGGAAATCGGTGGCCCAGCGAATGGCCTGCCGGAGGTGCTCGATCTCGCCGGCGGAGGTAATCTGCTGACGGTACTCGATCGCAGCCCAGCACAAAAGCGACGTCGTATAGGACATCGTCCACCCGAATTTCACGTTGTCCCCCGCATCATAATACCCTCCCACCAAATTCACCTTTAACAAAAAGAATCGAAAATGAATACATATGATGTACGTACGATTTATCATGCAACGAAGAACTGCTTACGTTGTCGGGCTGGCCGTCGGCGAGGGCGGAATCCCCGCGCCACGTGACGCGCTGGTCGGCGGGGAGCTTGCCGGACCTCTGGCCTTGGAAGAACAAGATGGCCTTGGAAAGAGCGTCGTTGTAGGCTCGGTTGACGTGGTGGTGGTCTTGTTGTTGTGCATGGTTGGTGGCGGCGACGAGGGATCGATGGAGGTCGTTGGGAGCCAAGAAGAGAGAAATGGCGCAACACAAGAAAGCAATGAGGAGCCCCCAAACTAACCTACGCCCCATTTGCATGCGCACGCCCTGATCTCTCTTTTCTTTTTGTGAAACCCTAAATTGGCTGCGAGGTAGCCGTTTGGGTTGTGTGGGATATTTATACACGGCGCCCCATGATCTCTCGTTTCTTTTCGGTAAGTGTTTATTTACATCATTAATTCGTTTTTTTTCCCGTTTGGTAAAAATTGGGGGGAAAAGGAAAAGGAAAAGGAAAAGGAAAAGGAAAAAAAGAATTCGTTTTGGCGGTATCCACGTTCTCGTATTTATGGGATTGTTACCGCAAATAGGGTTTTGTGTGGGGATAGAGAAGTCGTGGGCTGGAGGAAGCAATGCTCAAATTGAATTATAGAGATGAAATAATGCAATTTACGTGAATGTATAGTTTTGATTAGGGTTTCCATGGATGAGAGTAAAGATATGTTTGAATTATACCCATTATATTCGTATGACAAAAATGATATCGATTTCAATGTGATTTCTTAAAAATACAGATGTGTTGACAAGGAAAAAAAATGAGTGCAATATGGTATAAGTTCATTTCAAGAGCGGTGGGATCTGGGAAGTATCAAACTTGATTATGATTTAGATTGGGGAAAGGGAATATGTTCGTTCAAAAGTTTAAGAGATTGTGAAATCTATTAACCACAACATTAAGAAATTGGAAGAGCAAAAGTATTGGTTGATATATTTATATATGTAGTCACCATGCAAATAATCCATTCATATACTGAATGGCCCCACTCATGGATGTGCGAAATGCTACTTCCAATTAATCAATTTGTTTTATGGACGTGCAGCTCTCACAATTTGCATGCGGATACCATATAATATATACGGTGTATATATCTACCGTGTAACTTTTCTTTTTCATACACACTCGAAAAGGGAGAAGTAGATAAATATAGGATAAAATAAAATAGTTTGTAGGTTGATTTCCATATGAGCAGGTTTATTGTACCTGCTAAGAAATATAGTGGAATGATGTTCGTTGAAGTAAAATAAGGAGGACCTAGATTTTCGGATGACGATTTGAGTATGACTACCATAAAATAAAACATTAGTGATGAACAAGCAAGAAAGCATCTAATGACATTCCTAACAACCATAAGTTCAATGATGAAAGGTTCGGAACCCATTCCTCTGGGAAGTCAACAAAGCCAATCGCTCCTCCCACCAACAACCCAATCATTCAACCGAGAACAAACATCTTATAACTTACATATTACTCGTGAAATTACCGAAGGCTAATTTGATCACACGCTTCAACACGTAGCCACTGAATACCAACCAACAAATAGTTTTACCAAAGAATTCTGCGCAGATAGATTTCGTTTCTTACTGACCAAACTGGGTGTATTGAATCAATACACGCCAGCTTGACGGGGCGTGTGAGATGAGTAACCTGTATGTATAGCAGCAGCTCAACTCAACAGTTTACTTCAACTAAGAACTCCTGAAAAAAAATATTGAATCAAACAAAAGGCAACTAGTTTTAGTCCGTTACACATCTGGTTGATTTTTATTTTTTTTCCCACTAAGCTTCTGGTGTTGTAGCAATTGACCTTTCTATGCAGGCAACCGATCGAACTCAATCGATGTCGGTTTACAAAAACAGGTAACACTAGCTATTACCTGAAAAACAACTATCTAATCCCACCTAAAACAACAAGCTAGCTAGCTATCTAATCTATCTCCTCTGCGGTTCTTTTCTTTCCTGAAAGTTGAAACTGTTGTTGCGTGAATGCGGCTGTGTTTTCTGTTAACAGCAGATTATTCTGTCACGCCAATGCAGCATTACAAGCAAGCTCCATACTGTTTTCTCCCCCAACCCTCGAGCCAAGGAGGTTTCTTCTTCCTTGTTACCATTGATATCTTGCACATGCTATCTGCCTAAGTTTTCTTCCTCCCTTCTTTATTGTTTTCCCATCATATACATCTATAGGTCAATGTGCACCATTGTTATTATTATAGTGCGACTCTAGGGTAACTTGTTGACATGAAATAAAATGTGACATGAAACATGGTGGAGTGGAGCTTTGGAAGTGTGGGCGTGATTGGAGAAGATGTAGCCATGCCAAAGGACAAAAATAGGAAAAGGAAATTTCGTTGTAAAATGGGGAGATGATCATTACGCATGACCTTCTGTGGATGTAAGCAAAAGCCATCAATCCTAACTGTTTTGCTCTTCCTAGCTTCCATCTCTTTGATTATACGTTTTCCGATTTCGAATGTTTCAATCGGGATACATCAAAATATGCTCAATTCTTTTGGATGAATGATATTCATACACTCGACCTGCAGATGAGCATTGATTTCGGGTTGTTGACCTTTTCGGTCCCTGAGGGCGGACTTGAGCTGGGAGATGCGATCGAGTGAAGAGATGAATAGGGATCGATAATTCGAGATTGTTGTAAAAGAAAAGAACCATTTGAAGTCGATCAGAAGGGGGGAAAAACCTTAATTTAGTGTAAACTACTAATTACCAGTAAACTTTTATTACAACTGGGATATATTGGAGAACTCCAAACCCATTTGTGGGAATATCTATGACATGATGAATATATGTACAGAGGTCAGAGGAAATCCTCCACAACAGAACCGAAGCTCTAGTTTACGTGTCCAAGTAATCAAATGCCTAAACAAATCATTTGCTCCTTCAATCAGGAATTATCTACATATCTCCATATAAGCAAATAAACATGTAATCAAAACTCTAGATTCCACGCAGACTCCGACGACCCTGTAGTTGAATGAGACATGAGTATATATTGATATCATGTATTCAAGTCTTCCTGTGACCTCGGTTTCGAGTCCCTTTCTGAAATTCAAGCTCCATAGCAAGTGCAGATGCAGAGGATAAATAGAAAGAGCTTCATTGAATTACCAGATGAAAGATTAAAGAGACTGTCGCCAGATGTGCTGTGCATCTGCTGTCACAATCACCTGATTGGTTTCTTTGAAAGAGGCCGCTTTACAGGAGTCCATGGGTATGCAAGGGAATTGATAATGCCTAGAGTGGGAAGGTGCCTAACTCCTGGCCATGCCTTGTAAGATTTACTTTACGGTCACCGACCCATTCTAATCGGTAAGAGAGGTCGAAATTGTGCATCAATGGTCTGGGACTGTCGCCAACACCACTTCTAGGGGAGTTTTCCTGCAAAAAGATAATTCAGAAGGACAAGTGTCTTGAACATTCATATGCAGAATTCTTGATAATGACTTTTTGAAACAATGACAGAAACTCGCCTGCAGTTTGGTATCTGTATCATGTCCCATTATACTTGCAATTACGCTGGACCTGGATTTATGAGGTGAGAATCCCTCCCAGGGAGGAACAAAAATCACTTTGGTGCACTGGAGAGGGGCAACGTTCCTGCTCAGTTTCTCCCACCAAACAGATCCCAGCGACCAATATCGGATCATTAAACCGTGTTCGGAGAAGGCCACCAGTCCCTGAAATGTATGCAGCAAAAGTAACAACATAAGAAAAAAAAGTTTCCAGTAGTCACAAGGTGCTCGTGTCAAATGAATCATATACATGAGACCAGGAATTCGATATAAGTACCTCTCCGTTAGGGGAAAAGCTCAGAGCGGAAACTAAAGTGGTGACTGTTGTTTGAGATGCTGACAGCAAGTTTGGAAGTCCAGGAGGCCCACTTGCATCCAAAACTCTGATCTTTGCCACACTAGATTGAACAGGGAGAGAAGTGCAGGTTAAAGCAACTACGGTAACTCCTCCAAGTACATCAGATATAGGATACAAAAGTAGCCAAGGCAGTGAAGCAGTTAAATATGTTAGAACAGAATGAAAACCGAAAAAGACTTCCGGAAAGAACAGTATTTTCTGCTTTCCATCTGAATTATTGAGTGGTAAGCAGCACCTTTGAAGTTGGGCCTGAAACACGTCAAGTTCCTGATTTCTTTCTCATGATTGAAGTTGGTTAATGCAATGTATATTCAGAAATTACCCTCAATCACAACCATCAAACACCAAAGACCATATCAATTGTTTGACGTCCAAAAATGACAACTTGAGATGGTGAAACCAGAGGGATAACCCAATTCATAGTACTTCCTATACAAACTTGAGGTAGCGAGACTTGGTTTTAATTGGTATAAGTATATCTGAACTCAGAAGCTAATTTGCAAATGGAAAAGTACATGTAACAGTCTAGCAATGTGCTACGACATGTTTCCGTACTACACATTCTACCTAAGATTTCTTAGATAACTCTTCCAGATAAAACAACTTCTGTATGTTAGATAAATAAAATATCAACTTCTTTGCAAGCAATTGTCATAAGAAGATGACTATATTCTGCAGGGACAACCAAATAACCAATTGCATCCCCACATCTAGATTATTTTAACATGTAACATGACGAACATGTCAAATGCAAGGCCAGAGACAACTTGGCATCAGAAAGTTGTGTATTGTACCTTAGCATATCATATAATGAAATCTTAGCATTATTAATCTCGCCAATTGCATCCCCAACAGCCAAGTGTCTAGATGTCTCGTTTAAGGCCACCATAGGAAACACACGTGCAACTTCCTTTATGGTTGTCATAGAGGTCTGAAGGCAAAGTTTCCGCATCACTGAGTTACTGGGGTCAATTGTGTGCAGAATGAACGTAACAACCTGCAGATCTGTCCACATGTCAAACCGACATTCATATAATGATTTGAGTCTGAAATTGTGACCAATTGCAGTTTCACCTAATGAAATGTGGCAATTACCAACCTTTTCAAGGTGCTGAGCCAATTGTTTCGGAGAACCACGCAAAACCCTCATCAGTGTTGTAAGTGATATCTGATGAACAGGTGAATCAGATGCAGTGGACCAAATCTGACTCTCTATCACTGCTAAGAAACCTGGAACGTCGGCCATTGCTAAGCTTGGAAGAAGAATCTCAACTAATGTCTCTAGAATGGAAGGTGAACCCACTGCAGGATTTGCTGAGGTTCCACTTACACATTCTACTTGGAAAAAAATATCCCCAATGAGACGTGCTATTTCAGAACCACAGCATGCCTTCCATGTACTCTCTATACCTTCAGCAAGAAGCTCTGCAGCAGTAGAACTATATTTTTCACTCATGGCCATGACCAACTTTATTAGAGGATGAACAACAAGGGATGCAAGACTTGGCTTCACCATGCTAGGGTACCATACAGCCAATGCAGCTGCAACAATTATATGGGACGTCATTGCATCTTGACTGGTTCCCCCGACACAAGAAATCCAGTCCTGCACTTCAAAGGACTCCAGCCATGCAAGTACTCTAGATTTTTCTGTTTCACTAATCCGAGGTGAATCAGGTGAAGTCCCACAATGCTCTTCAACCTCTGTACTTGTTCTTGCTTCAGGTAACATGTCGGAAGCCGAACCATTAGTCGACTTGGAAGCATTGGGAACTTGACTATAATCATTTCCACTCAAAGATCTCAGAAACCTTGCATGGTCTACAGCTTTTTCACCACTTAGAGGAAGTGGAATTGCACGAGAAGCAGCACAGTGGAATATAGAACGTGCAGCCATACGGACATGTTCGCTTTCATCTTGCCAGAAACTTGCCAGAAGCTGTTTGAAAAGCAAAATATACAGCAATTGAGTGTAAAGATAAGCAAAGTGTTAAATATATCGGGAAACAAATCATGTGCTGATGTCACATTACTATCACAATTTTGGTTAACTTTTTTACATGGGAATAATAGTAGCTTCCCCGACAACTTTTTCTGTAGTGGGAAGCTAGGGATCACTCAAAAATCGTTTTAGATTCAATACAATGTCACTTTCAATAACCTCTGCAGTAAGTAGGACTGAGAGTTGGCTCAAGGATTCTTTCACTTGAGATAGTTTTGGTTCACAAAGAAGTTGATAGAGAAAGCCTATTAAATGGAATCACCCCTTAATGCAGCATATATGACTGAGAGTTGGCTTAAGGATTCTTTCCTTTGAGATAGCTATCATTCACAAAGATGTTGATAGAGAGAGCCCATCAAATGAAATCAACCCTAAATACTGAAACAGCATCTTAAGAGTGTTTTGCATCACTTTCACTTGCAAGTGCAGTCAGTATTGACTCTACTTCACCATAGCCGGATAGCCCAAAGAAAATAGCACAAGCAACCCAGGGTAAGTGGAGAGCATATAGCAGAAATCATATGCACAGCTGGCATCACCCGATCAAACATAGGATTCAGAAACAGATATAAGTAGCAAAAGATGTGACCTGCAGTAGAGGTGGCTTTGTATCTGGAACTTTGTCTGCAATACCCCTAGTATAAAATGCTGCTAAGGCACTGCTTCAATAAAATCAGAAGGAGAATCTCAAATTAGTAGCAGTAAGAAATGTGTGCATAAGTCATAACCAAGACCAATAATGTTGCGTCTTCTGACCTGCTGGCCACTGAACTTGACCGAGACAAACTAATCATGCGTTGAGCAATTGACACCATAGTCAGGGATCTCATAGCACAGAACTCCGAAGATGATTTCCACATCTGCAATATTTTTAGCCAAATTAAGCCAAATTTCAGATAGACTGCCAATAGAAGAACTAGCAAAATATGTCAAATTTCTTAGAGTTTCTCATAAAGATACCTCAAGGACACCACTAGATCCAGGAAAGGTCAGTGTCAAAGACCCTTTATCCCCCTGCAAACCAGAAGCCAAAATAAAATTGGCCGGTCTTCTTAGCTTCATATCTGCTATTAGCAGTCGGTCAAGGTTGCTATCTATATCCCACGAATGCAAAAATGACAAGCTAAATCGCAACAAATACACTTCCAGAGACCTAGTCCAGTTGTGCTCATCTTCAGGATCAGCAGAGACTGAACCCTTATCGAAACCATCATGACCAGATACATGTTGAGGGCTCGGAATTTCTTGTTCTTTCACATTCCTGTGTTCTTGATTACCACTGGTTACTGATACTGATAACTGCTTGTCATGAGAAGAAATCAATGTTGAAAGGTCAAAACTCAGGGACGCGATTCCAGGGAATGGACAAGTGCATCTGATTGGATGCTTGTTGCTTTGGAAGTGAAACAGCTTGGTTGGAGATAGTTTTGCAGTAGACTGTTTATTCTCTTGTCCTTCAGAAGATGCAGGGTTGGCTCTATTTGGCACAGTATATGATAAGGGCTTCTTCTCTGAATGATTTCTGTGAGATGGAGAAAAGCTCCCGTCTTCAATTATAGGAAATAGTAATGCCGACACAGAAGTATTTCCATTCAAAAAGGAACCAGATGTCGAACTTGCACTGATACCTTTGCAGAAATGATCCAACATTGAATGAGAAGCTGCTCCACGAAGGACTCGCTCTTGTGCACCACTCTTGACATCCCAGATATAGAGAACATCAACTGCATGTGATGTTGCTGACTGTTTGTGACAAAGAGAAGCAACATAACCTCTCAGACCATCCCACACTACCTTTTCAGGGTAGCTAGGATGCCCAGGAAACATTCTCTCTACCTTAAGAGTCTGAAGGGAAGCAAGAGCAATACAGGAGTCCTCTCCAACAGAGAGAAAACAATCACTCCATGGATACTCTGTCTGGGCAGGAGGGAAAATTATCTGCCGTACAGGAGCAACATGATGATGCATCACAATAATGGGGTTTCCGCCATCAAGATCCCAAATGCGAATAGTGCAATCACTGCTTCCAGAAACTAAAACTTGGTTACAACTGCATCCATCTGAAGGACGCCGCAATCGATGTGCAGCCAAACACAGCACAGCCCCTGTGTGTCCTGTGAAGTATTGTCTGGATGCACATAAATCAGGATCATGATGCAGGCTCTGTTCTTCATTATGGAGATCATGTGCTGGAAGCATATCAAAGCGTACAACCTCTATTTCACCATTGAAGTACCCATATACAATGGCATAAGGAACAAAAAGGTTTTCAGATATAACCATGGAAGAAGACACAGTTTGTACCTCAAGCATGGATCTACCTGTATGTTTATCCTTTAATTCCTTTTCAGGTTTGAAACTCGGGCTAGAGGTCTGGGAAATTTTTTTTGGAGTCCTCCTGCCATCGCAGCCATTCAGCTCAAACAATGAGTCAGAACCTGAGATCCAACCAGAAAAAGGATCACTTTCTCCACATTTTTGGCAATTTTTGGACCATTCTGCTCTTTCACCTTGCTTATCCAACAGTGACCAGACAGTAAAATGGGGTTGCCAATGCAGAGGCTCCTCCACATTAAAGCAAACTGATTCAAATCGTATAAGATGGTCCTTTAACTGAACAAAAGATATCATTAGCTTCGTATCAACTGCATGAGAAGCACCAGGAACTTTGCAGAGAGGTTCACATTTGAATATGTCATCCAAATATGACACAAGGTACACAATAGCTGCACCTGCACTGTTCCATACAACAAAGTTTTCAAGAAAGTTATCCTGGTTACACTGCAGACCAGGACTATCTACACTTTTGAGAAACGTACCCCCAAGTACAATGGAGTGGACATGATTGCCCTCAGTAAAGACCAGCTGGTCAACAAAAGATATTTGCCCTATGGTGATATTGTTTGTCAACTGCCTAAATAAGCAGCAATTTTGTAAAACAAGAGCCATAATGTTTCCATGAGTTGCAACCGAGACAACCTCTCCTCCTTCACCCAACCCATTCCCTGAAATAGCTTCCTCAAACAGTAAATTCTTGTCCATGGCAGTCTCTACCTTACTATCTGCGGGTGAATCCTTTAGAATAGGAGCCAATTGCACCTTTCCAGATGAGTCAGCCATTAAAACAGAATGGGTCTCTCCATCATCTCCTGAGAGAACTATGTCCATAAACTTTAATTGCCCAATTGATAGAACCCCATGAAATACAGTTTGCACAATCGTAAGACTATATGAATCAACAACTACTACGGTACACTTTGTGGGTTTTGAATGGTGAACATCCTCATCCACTTGAGGCTGGCTCCCTTCCACCGAAGTGGAATGACCAGGTGATGAGTGGGCAGCATCAACAGAACAAATGCATACATACCGTGAACTTGTGGGCAAGGTGCGAATAATGGATGGACTTCCAACCCAAGGAGGAAGTTTCCTTCTTCTTCTACAGTGTCCACTACCTCTGCTCCATACACATAACACACCATCCAAGCATGCACTAAACAAGGCACCATAACTGGTAGCATCATTACTAGAGTTGTCTGTTCGTTTATCATCTAGAGAAACAACAGGATGACAAATAGCCAGATCAGCAATCCGTGCACCATGACCGCATAGCATCGCAACAGGTTTAACTTCCTGCCAAGTAAAGCAAATCTATTGAGCTGGATACAAGTTACAAAGTAAAAAAAAAAAATGAAGAACCAGTCAATACCCGTCACAAATGCGCATTACATCACTAAACTACAGCCAAAATTGAATTGCATTAATGTGAAGAACCCACCATCAGAAATCGAGGAAAGTTTCAAACAACCAAATTGCAACTAAAGGAAAGAGAGAATTTCACTCAAGAAGCTAAAATTCACAAACAACACTCTACAACTTCTATGAACTCAAAATGTGCAACGAAATGGATAACGAGCTTGCGTCGATGATCCTGGGAATAGAGGTGAAGCTTCAATGAATTACCGAGTTGGATTCACTGGTGGAGAGTGTCCACCAGATGATGGAGCCATCTGATCCGCCGGTGTAGAGCGTCGGGGGATGGTTCAGAACCGCCGCGGCAGTAATTCTGTGACTCGGCGGCGTGATCGGCCATAGACACGCCACGGATCGGCACTTCATGATCCGACTAAAGCTCCAGGTGCATCTATGACCGAGTTAAGCGACCGAGTTGTTTTTGGTCGGCGAGAAGTTTCGAATCGGGTTCACTTCCGAGTCCCGACTCTGAACTGGAACTGCGGGGATGGCCGGACTCTGGGACTGGAGAGAGGCTCAAATCGAGACTCACAGGGCTATTGAAACTAGCCGAAAACCCGTTTAATAAGTTGGCCCAACAAGTTAGCCCATGTCAAAAGTGAGCCAACCTTGGCCCAATCAGGATTGGGCGAGCCTGGGCTGAACCCAACCGAGCCCAGGGATCCAACTCCTTTTCCGCATCGCCGTCGTCGTCTCCGGCTCTCCGCTGCCAAAGTCGAAGTCTCTAGACCAGAAGTCCAAAATCCGCTGAGGAAACGGCCAATTTGCTTCCTATAAATCCGTTCCGTTTTCTACCCTGGGCGCACATCTTGTTGACAGAAGGTAATTGAACAATGGCGGCAGAACTATCGGAGAAGGCGAAGGAAGCGTTCTTGGACGACGACTTTAAGCTGGCGGTTGATTTCTACTCAAAAGCCATCGATTTGAACCCTAACAACGCGGATTACTTCGCAGACAGGGCTCAGGCCAACATCAAACTCAGTCTCTTTACTGGTACTGGAGCTTGATTACTGTAATTTTCCTTCTTTAAATATACAGCTAGTGTGGTAGGTCTTGAGGTCGTAACATGGACGCTGGGAATTTGGTGTGAGTTGGAGGGGCAGTGTTTTGACTTGATGTTTTCTCGAGGACTTCATGGAATTGTGGTTTGTTTTGAACAGAGGCTGTTGCTGATGCAAATAGGGCGATTCAATTGAATCCTTCGATGGTGAAGGCATATTTGCGTAAAGGGTATGAGCCAATAGACTTGTTTATGTCGTGAACTTTCATGTTTTCTTGCCCATCAAATTGCCAAATTCGCGTGCTGCATTGAACTCCTCATTCAGCGTGGAATAGTATCAGTCTTATTGGTTGCTTTATGATGCAGCACTGCCTGCATTAAGCTTGAGGAATATCAAACAGCAAAGGCAGCACTTGAGATTGGTGCTACCTTGGATCAAGGAGATCAGAGATTTACCAAGTTGATCGAAGAGTGCAATCTAAGTATTGCGAGTATGTGTTAGTTTCTCAAATACGTTCATCTGGATTCTTCATTCCTGTAAAACCCCTAATACGATGCTTATGTATGGTATATGTGCGTATGTTGCTTTTATTTCAGATGAATCCATTGAGCTCAGCCATTCTGTTGCTCCAAATAATCCGCCCCCAACAAGTGTTGCATCTGCATCCGCTTCCGCTGCTTCACCTCAGGTGAATGCAATCCCCTCCAAGCCCAAGTATAGGTAAGTAGTGTTAGTTTCATGCCCTGTCCCAAGTTATTATGGTGCCTTAGGATCTTTTATAGAATCAGCATTTTTGCATTTGTAAATACGTTGAATTGTCCAACTTTTTTGGGATCGTTGAAGATAAAGAAATATTCCAAACACATTGTTCAATGTGTAGCTAGTTAGGTATATATCGATCTGTTATATTCCTAGTTGACAAGCATATAGGAGTACAACATGTGTCTACGCATTGTCATACTCTGTACAGCTAATTATCTGATAAAGGCAGAAAGAGAAATTCTGCTTTCCAGTAATCACTGCTTTCTGCAAACATTCTACTCTTTGTTGTGCTCATGATCGGTAGTGGTTGTTGAACAGGCATGAATACTACCAGAAAGCTGAGGAAGTTGTTGTAACAATATTTGCCAAGGGAATCCAATCAGAGAATGTCACTGTCGATTTTGGTGATCAGATTGTACGTTAGAAGTTCTTCATTTCTTTTTAATTGAACATTACTAATTGCTCGACCTTGTACTAGTAGCTCGTAAATTTTATTTGGCTCAATTTGCTAATGTGCTGCATTTAATTTGTTCGGGATATTTCAGCTCAGTGTGACAATTGATGTTCCTGACGAAGAGAGTTACCAACTTCAAACCCGACTATTTGCCAAAGTATGATAACTAATTGCAGCATTTAGATTCTTTTCATGTGATTTCCCACTATGAATCGGATTGCAGAGTTATACTTGTCTTGGGTTTGCTTGTAACTAACTTCCCCTGTTCCTTCTGTGGCTATAGGTGCTACCAGATAAGTGCAGATATCAGGTGCTAACTACCAAGATCGAGATCCGCCTTGCCAAAGCTGAACCTATTCAGTGGACATCTCTCGAGTATAGGAATAATGCTGTAGTCGTGCAGCAAGTAAATGCATCTTCAGGTAATGAACCATGCTTCTGACTCCCTCATATCCTTCATTTTAGGTACGAACTATCATATATTCAGATCCGAAAAGCAATGTTTATTAATTGATGCTGTTGAATGTTTGTTTTGCATGTGTAGTTGTCTCTCAGAGGCCAGCATACCCATCATCAAAATCTCGAGGCAAAGATTGGGATAAGTTGGAAGCACTAGTTAAGAAGGAAGTAAGTGGCTGCCTGTTTGATACAGATGTGTTGTACTTCTATATAACAACGTTCCAGAACTTTTAGTCAACACTTGGTAAAACCGTAGTAATGTTTGGTATTTTGCAGGAGAAAGATGAGAAGCTAGATGGTGATGCTGCATTGAACAAGTTTTTCAGGGAGATCTACTCAAGTGCCGATGAGGACATGAGAAGGGCTATGAGCAAATCTTTCGTAAGTTTAACGATTAACCTTCATTGTGCTTTTTCACTGCCATGTGCAATGGTCAGTTGATGTGAATCTTTTGAACCTGCAACAGGTGGAGTCGAATGGGACAGTGCTGTCAACAGACTGGAAAGAAGTGGGTGCGAAGAAGATAGAAGGCAGCGCACCTGATGGCATGGAGATGAAGAAGTGGGAGTACTAGAAATTTCATTTGCCTTAGCTGTATTTTGGGGTCTTTTTTCTATTCGGTTTTCCTTTCCACTGTTTCTTATGTGATTTTGTGAAAGATTGGAGATCCACAACCTTACTGAGTTCAAAACTTCTTTGGAGGGTTTCTCCAGTTCTGCCTAGCAGATGTAACCGTAGTTTATATGTTAGAAGGAAAGTAATCACAGTGCACAGAATGACCCAAACTTTTCATGCTTCTATCTGTTTTGGGCTTTGGCTTTATTTTCACTCGGATTCATCAGCTAGCATGTTTAGCATTGTTAAAGAGGACCAGAGTTGGGGTTTTTTTTTCCTTTTATCATAGATATGCACATATATATCAAACTGGAGCTAGAGATTAGCATAACGAGTCGACAACGATAAACATACTACTAAAATCTTCCAAATCAAACTTAAGTTAAGAGAACAACTTAAAGAGTCAACTGCTTGGCTGTGGAACTTTACAAGGACTTTGGAGCTCACGAAAAGAACAGCCGATGCTCTCTGTACATTAAATATCTTAGCTTATCTTGGGCTATTCTCGAATAGACCCCGAAGGTGCGGTGCTATGGTGGCCTCAGACAGCATTGAACTCGACGGTGTTCCTCCGGTTGGTGTCTGTTGGGTGGTCTGAAGCAAGCTCATAATTTCGTCCATGTTCCGACCTTGCAGACTTCCACGCATTTTGCCACTTGGCCGCCAGCTCTGTTCGGTTGATGGGACAGTAGGTGAGGATGTTGTAGGAGTAGCTGTTTGAGAATGTGCTGCATGTGGAGCTCGGGCTGATTGCATTTGAACCGGGACTACTGGAGGCTGTCTAGTAGGTATCATATGGGGTGATGCTGCTGCTTGCTGCTGGGAACCCGCCAACACCGGCCTGGCTTGTGGTCGTGGAACAGAGCTGCTGGCTTGAGCCGCTTGGAAAGTTGAAGCTCGTGATAAAGGAGATGGTGTCCGGACAATAGTGGGATGACTTGCGGGTGAAGGCATCCGAAGAGGTGTGGGTGATGATGATACTCTTTGAGCACCTGGGATTGAACCAGAGGTTAAACCAGCAGCTGGACGGGGAAGAGACGTGGGTGAGGATGATACTCTCTGACCACCTGGGAGCGAACCAGAGGTTAAACCAGCAGCTGGACGAGGACTTGGACTGTTGACGTACCTTGCTTGATGGTTCACGTTCTGCAAACAAAGACTGTCAGGTATCGAAAAAATCAAGCACCATCCCATCTATGAGAGGTTGGACAGGAACCCAGGGCATCGGTTTCAGCTTTTCTGAAAAATAAGTTCCCTAAAAAATGGAGTTGCTGGAATGACAAGCTTAGTAAAAAAGAAGCAACGAGTAAGATGATAAATAGTTCAATAACAAAGAAATAGTGTAGTAGGGGAAATGACTATTATAGAAATATAACTTCAAGGACAAATTCTTAGTTCAATCGGGGTAAAGTTACAAACGAAATTTCATGGATGAGGTGACTAAGGTGTTTAAATAATTTCCCGAAGCCAAGTTCAATGAACTAAAAGCTTTAGACGAAACAAACACACCCTTTTAAGTTTGGTAAAGAATAGGGATACCTAACCTGCAATGGAGTTTGACGAAGCATAGCTGAAGCAAGCCCAGAAACGTGAGGAAGAGCAGTCTGGGATCTAGAGAACCGCTGGAACATGTCATTAGTATAACCACTTGCAGATGCTGATGGAGGCAAACTAGAACTGACAGATGACAACCCGCCCGTGGAGTTCACGTTGTTTATACTATTGTTCATTCTCGGTGTTTGATGGTGCATAAATGTAGCTGGGAGGGCCTGAATTGCTGTTGGGACTCTGTTGGCAGGTACCCCAACATATCTCATCCCGGTGTTATTCTCGGTTGCTAGAGGAGCAAGCTGAGCACTGGAATCCATATTAAGCACAGTGGAAGATGTATCCATTATCACAGGGGAAGTTATGGTAGTGGCAGGGAAATACGCATTGGCCCAATCTCCCATTTGAGAAGTAGAGTGATCGTCCAAATGTGGCAGAGTTTGACCAAGAAAAGAAGCCGGAGAAGGTTTATGCTCTTCAGTGTCACAATTGCTTAATAACTCATCCATTAGATCATCGCCTTCAGTAAGATCCAGAATCATGGGAGTGGCAGGTGACTCCGCATTGGAGGATTCTGGCTGCTCAGGAGTTTCTCTCTGTCTTGGAGGTGCCTGAGGTCCGTTATCATCAGTTTCCATGACAGCCTTCCAAGATCCATCGGCTGATATGTTCACATGAGTGATATTCTCCCCCACTTCTTTTAATACCTGCAAATGGCATGATTGGAAAGTTCAAATTTGAATGTTGATAAGATAAACACAGGAGAATTTGACACAAAGTTACTTGCCTTAAATATGTTCTGATCGACGCGAATATCGGCGTAAGAGACATTTTGATTACAGTGTGGGCAGCGCCAAGATGGTCGCTTTGAATTTATCTCAACGTAGTTTCCAAAATCGAAACACTGATACAGAAGTATTAGCAAAATAGAAACTCAGCTAAATTACGAGAAATAAGCAGAAAATGCAAAATGTCAGAAACAAGAAAAATTCAGTCTTGAAGTCCATCTATAATTATAGTACTACGTTGCTCTGCTTTTAGTTCGAAAATTCTACATTACCAGCTTCCATCGACTCAACTGTCTGAAGGAAAAGCAGCAGAGTCCAATGCACTCACCTGAAGATGTTTACACGAACTCCCTTTGATTGGAGTCTTGATCCTTGAAAAGCTGTTGAGATAAGTACTAGTTAACAACAGGAAATTTCTGATTATTGAATAGTGACAACTACATTAAACAAGCAATAGAACAGAATTGTCACGTGGGGTAAGTTACTCAAAAAATGAAAATAAGCTACTAGCCTTCCCTTAAACAAGTTGCAAGAAGTAACTAGGAATGTGTGAATCCCAAGGATAAAGTAAAGGAAGGGATTAGTTCTAGAATAGGGGATAAGCAAGTTATATTGTTAAAAATATGAAGACATAACATACCTTATGGGGCAGTTAAGTGAAATCCGTGAAGGCCCCTCGATTATGTCAGAGTCTAGATCCATAAAAATAAAATTTGCATAAGAATCTAGGACAAGAGAAGTAAAGTCATGCTGAAATGTATCATAGTAAACGCATAAACAAACAGGCAACTTCAACACAGAAAGAAACAATGTATTTTGAATCCCTCTCCATCTTCCAACACGCTGGTACCTGGATCTGACAGAGTAGAACTGGACTGGACATAATCTAGCAGCACTGGCGGATCAGGCAATTGCACAGTACTCATAAAGGCGACAATTATTACATAATTTCCTATAAAACAGCTGTTAGTCAATGTTACAGTAAAAACCATAGTAATAATATACTACTTTTATGACCTTGCAACCAAGCATACCATGGAAGGTGCCAACAGCTTGGAGAAGATTTGTTCCATATTTTAGCATTCCAGTCACATTAGTTGGCAGCTGTGGCCCGGAATCCTGGGAGTGAAAAATAGTTAAGTTGCAGATGTTCACTCAAATGCTTCACAATCTCCAAGCCAGTCCAATAATCTTTACTTACCAGTTGAATGTTGGTTCTTCTATCGACTCCTTTTCCATTCAATAGAAAGCTACAAAAGTGTTGAGGTCAAAGATGACAATATATACCAGAAACTAAGGCTATAGGAAATGAACGAAAAACTATGCATACTTCACTTGTTGTGGACTTATAATACAAGCTGATGTGTCCATGCCATCTGTCTGGGCCACAAACAGCCGCTGCAGGGAACATGTTGAATCAGTATTCAGCAGCATTCGCAAATAATTAATTAAACCCAAGGGATGGAATAAAAATTACTCACTATTTTTTCATGGGGGGAATGGTTTGACTTCTTTGAGATATGAAAATCCTGAACATATGCTCCAAAACCAGGCTGCAAGACGGAAAGGAGTTGATTAAACCAGTTGCAAAGTAGGATTCAACTGTATATAAAGTTATAAACAAGAAGCAAAAAGTAAGAACCACCTTCACTTCAAGGGATACAAGAATCTCTCCCATTTTCATCTTAGGATAGTACCTGCATTTATTAAGAGAGCATGTGGGGTGGTCAACAATGTTGCAAAAGATTAAGAGTCATGCAATGAATTATAACGACTTGACCAATTTCAATAGGGTATCAGTTCAAAACATCTCGGAACATTCACAAGATATAGCAAATAATTTAACAGAAGAGGTGAGGGGAGATCATGTTACGGTTTTTCCTAAGATTTTATTGATAGATAAGCCAATGGCCAGCTCCAAGTTTACATGGTGTAAATTGAAATCAGGAAGAGAAGGGCAAACGATTATTTCAGACCAACAACAACCCCATATGATAAGAATCAATGGAGTCTTACTACCACTATACACGAGGCCTAACATGGCCAAACACGTTAGAGAAGAAGAGATATACACAGCAAGGAACTTCTACACCTAAGGTCAAGCAAGAAATCAGCTTATAAACATCTTCCTACTCCTCCAAGGAAAAGTACACTGGCAATAGAAGCAAACTGAAAACTAGCATTTTCTCTCTGCATTGAATTGATCTATACACCAAGAGAAACGAACAGCTTCTAATTGAAGTAAGGAACCATAATGTTAGAACAAAAACCACAAGGAAAGAATCTTCAACCCATCAATGACTTGAGGCCTAACCTGGATAAAACTGTAGAGACAGTGGAGTGAGGACTACCAGAGGCATCCAGTGTATCTCCAAAACTACGAAAGCTGTTCCCAATCTACAAAAAAAAAAACTCAGGGGATTGAAGTGCCAGATGGTGATTACGTCCACCAATTTGTATAAACTTTTTTCTTTATAAAGGCGAGGGGGAAAAGGAAGGTGGGGAGAAGGGACAAGAGTGAACCTCACTGGACAGAGAAATGAGCTCTTGGGTCTCTCGATCTGAAAACCACCCAACTTTACAAGCATTCTGAAGGAATAACAGAGATAAGAACAGTCCTCTAATGAAATACAACAACAAACGACACTCCAAACAGTGGAAAAGGAAAGTGAAGTTACATTCAGTGAGAGACGATGGATAAGCAAGTTCCAAGAAAATGAATTGGCTAGAACTGCAGTACACTCCTAATACCTCCCTACAACCACTACATATTTTGGCAAAAGAGTTATCATACTATAGACTCTCAACAGTACCAAGTTTCGGATCACTCAAATGTTCTTCATTACTTGATTCCCAGCATCCAAATAAACCACGGCTGGCCTTTGAAGGAACACAATACAGACTTGGAATCAATTATTGTTGGCATCTACGGCATACCTTGACTGAAATCATCAGCACCATGATAGCTGCCTCCAGTAAGGGATCATTCTTGCGCCTGCATACCTGATTATTGAGGAAACATAGCATAAAGTTGATAGTTAATCCATAACATGACTCCCTAATGTCCCACAACCAACTCCAATCCTGTTAGGCTGTTAATCCACTGAATGACAAACTCAGCCAACTAGAAGGTCTAAGTTTTCCTTTCCATAGTGGTTTGATAATGCTGGCAATAACCACAAACTAATAACTTCAAACAAACAAAAAATCATAGGATAATGGTTTGCTAATGCCGGCAATAACTACAAATTTTCCATAATCCAGAGACTGCAATCACCACTCTGAGACTCTTACTATGGTAGGGGAATCGAGTATGTTCACTGCAAATGTACTCTCAATCTCTTGTGCCAATCAGTAACTCAGTATCATTTGTGAGTCTTTCAATAACTTAACCGCCAGGCCGAATATCAGTACTTAATTGGTCAGGTTCTGCTCCAATAGAGGCTCAAGCAACTTAAAGAAAGCTAAAGTGTTCTAATGCAGGGAGGATATGGCATATGGCAGGAATCACCTGTTTCAGCAGCAAAGGTAGATCTTGAACTTTGGAGGGTAACTCATTGTTTGCCACAGCATAATCAATGCCTCTACATCAGCAAAGAGCACCGTAAACCACCGGAAACACAAAAAACAACTATTTACTATTTAATATTTATTGGGTTTCCATATGGAGAATGGAAAGTTTCAATTGAATCCCAGGAGCACATGAACTCAAGCTCACAAAAAAATTTACTTGTTAGGCAGCCCATGTCCAGAATTAGCAACTCAACAGCCAAAATTAACGCAGAGTATATGAAAATTCGATATGAAATGCGAAAACAGAGTTCTTTGAGGGGGGAATCCGGTAAGTAGCGACGGAGTTGCGTACCGAGCGAGGGAGAGGCAGAGGCCGAAGAACTCGCTGGAGTTATTTTCTCGGCCAGGTTGCAGATGCAAGGCCAATCTATCGACTACAGCTATTACTCTGAAGGAGTTCACCAACGACGCCGACAGTGTGGATTCCTCTCCTACAGTCAGCCCGGTGGCGGGAGGCACCAGCGGTTGCGCAACCTTCCCGGCCATCCTCGTCGTGAATCTTCTCTCCCCAAGTATGTTTCTGGTGTTTCCCTTTCCTGACTCGGTCGAGTTACAAAATGGAATAATTTGTTGGTTATCACTTATCACTGGGGTATTATACGGTACAGTCCGGTTAAATTTGCCTATTATCCGATTTTGGTTCGATTTTTTTAAGAATATAAGTATCAAATATTGGATTAGATACGGTACGATTTTAACCCGGTCTAGTCCCAATTCGGTCTTGATTTTAGATTGAGCTTGTGGGGATGTAAGTGGTTGATAATCGGATTGAACATATGGAATTTTTGGACTTTATGTGATTATCCATGATATGTTTAAGCCGATTGGTGTTATTTTAGGGCTCGCTAACCCGAGAATGGTTGAAAAACCATTACTGCCTAGTGCCATGAGTTTGATGTGTTACAGGTGGAGAAAGCACGAAAAAGAAGCGAGTGCACGAACAATTGATTGGGCCCAAATCACCCCACCTCGGGAAGAATTAATTTGGGCCGGGGACTTTGGAAAAGGCGTGGGCGGACTTTTCTTTTGGGCGAGACAAAGCCCAAAGGAATTGGACAAGAGATGGGCAATTAATTTTTGGGCGGACATCTCTCGGGGGAAGTGAAATTGCTGGAGAAGAAAAGAATTCTCTTTGGACACGGAATGGGGAAAGAATAAAAAAACAAAGAGGGCAGCAGCTTGGGGAGGACGGAACAGAATTTTAGAAAGGGAAGAGAGAATTCTTTGTGGAGAAAGGAAAGAAAGGGACGAAAGCAAAAGCGGAGCGCGCAGCTTGGGACGCGAGCAGGCGATTGTGAAATTGGCGATCAGTTTTCCAAGGCTACCTGAGCTGAGTTCAACGAGAGCGATTAGTTGGTTGGATTTTCTGAACCGATTTAGTTGTTTATTGTTGATTTAGAACATGATGAACAAAACCCTATCGATTTATCTTAATTTCGTCATGAACTAAACCCCTATTTCTGGGGGAAACACCATAGGATGTAGCTATTTCTTGATTTGATGGATTGATTTATGATTCTTTTCTTCCAATCTCTATTGCATGAAATTACTTAATGCTTTGTGTTGACTGGCCACCAATACAACGATTTGTAGTTAATTAGGTTATTAGCGATAGTGAAACCCTATTAACTGAACCTGTTTCATGTGACATAGTAACTTATCGAAGCGACAGTGGATTAAATAAGGTGCTATGCGGTCTTAAATAGGATATCGATCTTCAGGCTATATAGTTAATTCATTGAGCTACGACAGTAGGATTTGAATTGATTATTTAGTACGTAGTAATTCCCGACAGGGATAGCTAGCACAGTAGTGATATCCTGGCTGTAGAGGTATGGATTAAATTGATTGGAATATGTGAATTAATCTGGATAGGATAGGTAGTGAATCCCGGTGTTTCTCCCAGAGCTTTCTCCCATTGAATTTTCCTCGACAAGTTTACTTTGCTTAATTAGTTTAGTTAATTTTGCTTTTAGTTAATAATTTCATCTCTTAAACATTTTCACATATAGTTTGCTCGAAAGAATTGGTAAATCATAAGGTTGTACCAGTCCCTAAGAGACGATACCCGGACTTTCCGGTTTTACTACAAGATAGGATTAAGGCATACGCTTTTGCCCTATCAGTGGTCTCAGCCCTCAAAGTGTGAGGAGTTGGTTAAGTTTTGGGTGTGGGGTCTCTATTCCCGTCTTTATCCGATTTTTGGTCCGGTCCCGAACAATTTTTTACCTCAAATCTACACCCGAAAATGGGATGGATTGTTTACTATCCGGTCCCGGTCCGGTCTCGATCCGAGTTATACAATTTCGGGTAAAACCAAAAGGTCTGGACGAAATAGACACCTCTAGTTATCACATAACTTATTACTTAGTACAAACTAGTTAAAAAACTGTTGCAGTCCCTTGTCACTGTCGATTGTCGCCCTTGCAGCGGTAGGCTCGAGTCTTGACCTGCTCTTCTGCTCTGCTCCATTCGCATATGCTTCTGCTCTTCTCATCGCCTCTCTGCTCGTCGACCTGCTCTGTTCACTGACTCAGACTGCACTCTCTGCTCGTCGCTCTCCACATCGACTCTACTCATCAGCCGTCGATCTCCAGTCTCCACATCTGCTCTGCTGCCCCGCTACCGGCCCTGGCGGTTTTTTGCTTAACCACGGTTAGTCACACTGATGCGATTAAATTGGTTGTTACCTCCAGTAACCGCGGTGCACCGTTAACCATGTTTCGCGGTTAATGGTTAACCGCTAACCGTACAATGTGCGATTGCGATTGGTGAATATGGATACTTTGCGGTTGCGGTTAACCGCGAATTGCGGTGCAGTTAACCGCAATCGCACTGTTTTCCACTCCTACCAGCGTTGTGATAGTAAAGAAAAGAAGCGTTGTGTCATCAAATTTATATATAGCATAATTAACCATTAATTTTATTGAAAATTGTCATAACTTACGACCCATTTTATTCATTTTTCATTTTTGTGATTCGGTGGACGCTAGCACGAAGATGCCTAGTATAGCAAAGGATTGATACATATTGAGAAAGTATGACTAAGAAAACTCTCCAAGCACAGTGTAACTAACATATGATGAAACTAATGACTATGGTGTTAACTTTTAGGGGTCGTTTGCTTCAATGATTTGCATAATGGATTTGGTACAAAAAAACCAATTATCATGGATTTACACACAATCCGTTGTTTGCTTTGTCAAAAAAATGTTTAGATAAATCTGTGAGCCCCACGAATTTGGATTTTTTTTGCTCCAAATTCATGGTCCCCACGATTTTATAAATCTCACTTTATACCCTGAGATTTGAAGACAAGCTGAAAAATCATGCCCACTTCATCAAATCCATGATAAAATACCTCAACAAACAAAAAATTTCCTCAAATCCATAGTACCCAAAATCTCTAATAAATTCCAAAGTTTTTAATTAGCAAATCCATAACAAAAACCTCGTTATACAATCTTTTATACACTCTTTGAAGTAAACCACCCTTAAAAGATCAAATGACCACTGAAGCATTTATTATTAATCCCAATGTAATTTCGCTGAGTGGGTATTACTGTCATTTCCTAAATAGAAAATGTCAGAATATTTCTTTGACCGATCTCACTTGCATCTCTTTTCTCATCCTCATTGTCTATCGCCTGAAGGAATTCCACGCGCTGAGGGTGCGTGTGGCCCGCAACATCAGCTATTCTGATTGGATAAGCCGACGTCAATAGGTTCAAAAGACCATTTCGCCCTCAAACAACAACCCCCAGGCGTTGTAGATAACGCTGCCGGCCTTCACCGTCGGCGGGGATATTCCCACCGTCGGCCGTTATCCCGAACATAACGTCACCAAATCCCGAAAACTATAAATACTTCTCTTTCTAAGTTCTAACCACCAATTCCTTGCCCTAGAGATTGCACGCCCCTCTCTTCTTCTCGCCCCCTCTCTGAAGTCTCTCAGCCGCCGACAAGCTTCCTCTGTCAACGCAATCCATTTCCACTCCCGCTGCTCTCCCGCTCTTCTTCCAGATCGTCGATTCCCCGTCTCAATTTCCACCACTGGTCTTCCAACCCGCGGCTTCATCTTCCCTGAACGTCGCTGTCTCAGATCTCGTCGAGTGATGCTTGCCGGAAGCTTTCGGTTTTTTCTTCTACCTCTGGAGAAAGTTTAGTTCTGTTGGTTCATGGATGCGGTCGAGTTGAACTATCCAGTGGGTGTGGCGGCGGCGGCAGTCGGGGCATCGAAATTGGTCGGATCGGAGAGGGTTGGTAGAGATAGGGTTGCGGTTTTTGGAGTGGAGCCTCTGGTGAAGCCGGCGAGAGGTCTGCGTGATGCAGGTAAATTCTTCACTCTTTCATTTACCGTTAATTCGTGAGCTTAAGGTAGGGCTGCCCTTGTTTTGCTTGCATAACAAATGATATATTGAAGTTTCGATTTTGAACATGGAGAATGGTTGTTGAATGGTGGGAATAGTTTTGGATCTATTTCTGTTCGTGCTAGGCGTAGGCTTTCCGAGAAATTGAACATTTTGTTGAGTTCAATAAGGTTCGCCTCGATATCTTATGTTCCGAGAGGCAATTCTGTTCTTTTTGGGGTTATGCGTTGCAGTATAGAGGGTTGATTAGATTTACCTGAACAAGTGACAGGTTGAATAATCTGAACAAGGTTACAAGGAGGAGAGAGCTGGTATGAGATCGTGAGATAAGTGCTAAGTTAAGGAAGGCTTTAGTCTTCGCTCATAGTTTTTTTTTGGTTAATTTTCTTCTTACATTCGGGCTGCCAGTGGTGGACTGGTGGTGGGAAGTCCAATTCTCAGACACTGCAATTTGTGAAAGTGAACTGCAAGTTCAGAAACGGCACGCTGATAGTTTTGCTGACGTTTATTTTTTCTTCTAATAAATCTCCCAAGCTTATGTTTTATAGCTGATGTGACTCTGCAGGTGAAGGAAGTTCAGTCAATGCTTTGATTTCTGCTCCGTGGAATAATGGTCCAACCATTGAAGTCTGTAAGAAGAATAATGAAGCATCCAACAATCATAGAGATGACTTAAGTAAGCACCTCTTTAGTAGTGAAACGAGTAGTCCATCGTGGTTGCTGAAGTGTGACGAAGTGAAGGTAAATAGAAAAGCTGGAAGAGTGTCAAAAGGTGGTAGTGGTTCTGCTAAAAGACCAAGGACATCTCTGGTAGAAGATGCTGCTGGTTTGACTGGGATTGATGATACAAAAGATTTGTTAGGTAAGCTGAGATCATGTTTAAAAAAGTGCGACTCTCATGGTAATTCAGTTTATGAAATCTTCTCTTGAAAATCCCTATCTGCAGCAAATTCTTGTATGATTGGATAATGATTATGCTATCTGAGTGTTATGTGATAAAGTAGAGTAAGTCAGTATAGCTCTTGTATGATTTGTGCTTGTATTTCTAATTGATCGCAAGCGACCCTGCAAGAGGTGCTGCTATCTTGACGATACCAACAGGGGCAGGATTTGATTGATGGATAAATAAATTTTACTCTTTTACGATATAGCAGGGGATTGCTTATACTTCCTTGAAACTCCTATTATAAATATTGCTGTTGACAAATTACATATTGTAGACCTGTGTGTCCTAGATCTGTGTGATGTGATCTTGTAGTCTTTTTAAAGTGAAGGCTTTATGCTAATAACTCCAAGGTTTTGTATGTATGCTGCAGATAAAACTCAATTTGCGAGACAGAGGAACAACAGTAGCAGTAGGCGAGGTGACAGAAGAAATTCCAAGATTTCGCCGAAAGCAAAATATGATCCATTTTCAGTGAAAGGCAGTTTCCCAAGCTTTAGTTCAACTGCTGGTGCTAACAACTTTTCAGGTAGGATGGAAATTGTTGTGATAACCTGCATCATTTCAGTTCTTGCATTTTATCATTGTATATGAGATCTTAGGAAAGTACAAGAAGTGAAAAGGATGGTTTATGCTAATTTTGGATCGTCGCTTACCATGTTATAACACAAGTCATTTATGTTTTCATGAATTGTGGGAGCAATAATCAGTCTCTATCTTTTCCTTTTTTTTTTTTTTTTTTTTTTGAGTGGGTGGGGCATTTCATATATATTTGGGTTTGATTTTGCATTTTCAAAATTTGGAGTGAGATTATTGAACAAACATTTATAATGGAGAAGATGGGGGAAATAATATCAAGTCCTTCGGAAAGGTGCAAGTAGCATTTCAATTTGTTATATCCTTCTTGATCTTGGCTTTCCTTGTAATGTTTACATTCTCTGCAATCCTACTCTTTCTCAAGAAGGAAGAATCAGTTTTACACATAGCTGAACCTATTTGACATAAAAAAAAAAAAAAAATGAAAAGTGACGAGAGGCACGAGTAGGAAACTTCCTGTATAGCTTGTACTTCCTCCACTTTCCACATGGCGTTCTTGCAACTTAGTTTGCCTTTGTATACTATCTCTTCTTCCTTTCATGTCTTGCCATATGGAACTCATAAGTGTGCATATTGAAATGATGGCAGTGTTATATGGTCTGAAGACAGATGTTCATGATATCGCTGACCTTGTTGATGATTTATCATTGAATGATCTCCTTTCGGGCACTTATCAGTGCCGCAGCTTAGGCAAAGAAAAGGGAAAGAAACCAGCAAATTCCACAGAGTGTCTTCTACAATCACTTAGAAAGGCTTGTTCCATTCTTCAGGTCCCTAAACCTTTCCCAACCCAAAATGCTACCGTGATAGACAACTCTTTGAATGATACCACAGGAATATGTCCACCAAATTCTCTCCCTCGTAGTGTAAGTGGAAATACTGCAGAAACTACCCCCACAGATTTGTCTTCTTCCGATAAGGTAAGCTACTTGTTGAATAGAATTCCACAAACTTTTGTTTGAAGTCATTTGCTGTTTTCTAAGAAAAGGGATATTGAATGGTACTGGTACTGAATGAATGCTTCACTGCTGGTCCTTTTAACCTTGCAGGATTCTTGCAGCAATCCCGAGTCTTCTGCTCAATTACTAGATTTCCAATTTGATCAACCTAAAGATACTTTACAAGGCCTGGCACTTGGACCATCGAAGGACTTGGAGTCTTTGCTTCAGGATGCTGGGAAGCCAGCTGCATCTTCTAGGAGTACTGCACCTGACCCACGTCCAGGCCAGCAGTTGGCAAGCCTAGCTAGCTTGCCCCCTTTTCCTTGGTCACAGAATTTTGGTGGACATTGTAGGGCCTATTCTGATTCAGCTAAGTTGTTAACAAGTAGGAGCACATGCCAAGGTAGATGGGCAAAAATAGACAACTGTATTAGGTGTATTGGTGCTCCTTCAACTAGCTTCACAAACCTCGAGTCTCTTGCTTATGATGAGGCCTTAGTTCCTTCATCTGGCCCAAAGCCAGAAAGTGATTATAGAAGTGCTGCTGCATCAATGTCTTGTACATGCAATCACAGTTTATCAACAACTTTGACTTCTCTGACATCCCAAGTTTCTTCAGGTAAATGATAGGTTGGGGTATTAGGAGGGAATATTTAATTTATAGTTACAGAAGTTACTATGTGGACAGAACATTTACCAGTTGGCTTTGCTCTTGTAATTTCTCTTGTGAATGCAGAATCTGGGGGTGACATGAAGACCATCGGAAAAGGTAATGACTGCCCCAACTTTTATGCTTATGTATTTTGATTTGCTCACCTATCTCTTTGTTTTTTGTGGATTGTTGTATACGTGCTTTGCCTGTTGTTTTGCCAAGTAGAAGGTATAAGATTAACACATAATGGATTTTTGATGGATGAAGGTATACAATAGTTATGGCTTTTGATAGATTTTGCTCACCAATCTGTTTGGTCTGGCCGATTTATATAGCACAATTCTGTGTCCTTTGTCGAGGTGGCTAATGGGTGGGATTCATAGGTTCAACGGTTGGGGTTAAATGGGCTCACAGGTTTAGGTACTGACTTATTGTTGATGGGCGAGCTTAATGGGCTTCTGGGTTGGTGGGTTGTTGGGGATTAATGACTTATTGTTGAAATTTGACGTGGTTGAAGGATATTTTTCGATTGTCTAAACGTTTAGGTACTGGATTTAATTTTAGTGCAATGTTTTATCCTTTACAGCCGAACATTGTCCAAAACTTGTAGCAGCTGCTCAAACCCTGGTAGACATTGCTGCTCATGGTTCGAAAAGCCTAATAAACCACGAAAAAACAATGAAATGGCCAAAGCAACCTTCTCAGAAAGCCATGAAGGCTTGCAAGTTGAAATCCAATGAGAAGCACGACTTATTTATAGCGTCAACTTCATTAGTGGTGGGCCTGGTGGCATCTGACCGTATGATCAGAGGCGGCACAATGGATCAAGTGATGCCCTCCAAGAGGCCTAAGCTGTCTACTGTAGAGAGCAAAAGGTACCCTGACCACATCAATGGTAGCATTAGAAAGGGATCTTCATTGCTTTGGTCTACCCCCAAATCAAGTAGGTCTTCCTCCAGCAAGCCACTCGAGGACTCCATTACTGGAAGTAGACATTCAGCTGCCTACGTTCTACAGAAAACGTGCATGATGCCACCTCCTGCCAAAGCTTTGGGGAGAAGTTGCGGCAGCAGCAGCCAACCCAAGGTTCGTAAGTTGATGTGAATGAATGGTTTTATCTATCCAAGGTGAACTCCAGCCCCAACATGGGGTTGGTTTTGTAAATATGATTGTGGGGATTGTTGTAGGGGGGGTTTCACAGTGTAGGGGTGGGTATTGGGAAACAAATGATTTGTTGTATGAAGGTGTAGGTGTTTCACCTGGAGAATAGGTTGAAACCTGCAAGTGTTGTAACACATAAAAGAAGTCACAAGCCACAGTTGTAGCAGATTACATCAGGGGGGAAATTCTTTGCCTTTTTCTGTAGAGCGATTCGATTGGGGCAATAGAAATTTCGGCTAGTAGTATATAATGATGTTATATGGGCTCTCAGTTATGGGATGCGCCCCCTGTTGGAAAACAATGGGGCTTGCTGTACTGTTTGAATTGCAGGTTTGATGAGTTTTCTTCTCTCCTTTGATCCTGAGAGTGGTGAAAGAGGGTTCCTTTGGAAGAGTACTGATTCTCTTTCTGAAGTGAAAGTTGTCGGTGCTGCTGTGATGTGGCCCAGAAAGGAACAGGAGTAGGATACAGAGAATGCAGTTCCTGTTGTTTGTGAGTAAATTGTATGTGGCTATAGAAGCATACTTGGGTTGGCTTCGTCAAGGCTCAAGTTATAGGACGGTAGGGTAGGATAAGGAAGGAGACCCATTTTATAGCACTAGTAAAACGGTTCCCTTTGGTCGGCTGGGGTTTGTTATCCTTCCTTTTCTCCTTGGTCTATGGAGAGTTTCTTTCTTTCTCATTTCTTGAGTTGTTAAATGAGGTTTAAATGCAAAATTTTAACGTTTTGAATCAACATAATAGACATTCTAATATGTTCACGTTGAGAAATTAAGGAAATAAGAACTAGTATCCTACCTACTAATAAAAAAAAAAATTAAGCAGAAAGTAAGGAAAAGGATTCACCTCGTTGAGATGTTGGATCTGTGGTTGAGTTGATTATAGTTTGTATTAGTTTTCCTAACTTGTAAGGATTGAACTGAAGTGGTTTGTTTGTTTCAAGACCCGGACACACACAAGAAGATTAAGGAAAAGTACAAGCGATATTGTAAGCAACAAAATGAAGATTGAGATTAACAAAATCATTAATTAAGGATACAAAATTGAGATTAACAAGAAAAACAAAGTAAGAAAAAATCGATGGCAATAGGCTAGGAACGGAAAAGCCAATGGTTTAATTTTGCAATAGTATAACAAATAAAAAAAATGTGAATTACAAGAGAATTTTGATGTATGGGTTTCGGTATAAAATTGAAATCGGTTACAACTACAAAATTTCATATTTTATTGTCCTTGATAAGAATTTTACCGGTAATAATAACATACGAGATTTTGTGGGTTCTGCAAATTTAAATTTAAATTTTGTAATTTACTCCTTATTTAATTTAGTAGTGAAATTCTCGGTGGACGCTCATTTCGAGAAGTGCCAGATCCTGTGGTCGACCCTCACCGAGGCCTGTTATAGTGTTTGACCCTCATCAAACAGGTAAATCCCAAATTTCTTAGTTAAAAAAATTTTGTTCTAAGTCGGAAGGAAAAAAGGTAGAAACCGAGGCACTAGCTATTAATTAGGAGTCACTCTCATGCATGGCCATGGAAATAAACTATTAATTAATTATTTAGTTGGTTTGGTTCTCTCACTAATTTCTACTAACCCAACTTATTTTCCGTGTTCTATTTTATCTTGCCGACTCTTCATTTAATTGCCCACCAAACTATTTATGAAGTGCATAATAGACCATATAAAATAAGACTGCTGGTCCAACTTTTCCCAAGTAGCATCGGCATCTAGCCATCTAGTCTAATCTAACTGGCCGCCAAATATACTACATATATCACATATGGGCATATGGCGGCAAATGAGTCAAGCCGCTTAGTAATTTGATGTTCGATTCAAAATTAAACGAGTCGGTCTTTATTTAACTTGTGAGGCTTATAAGGTAGTTCAATTTGGTGGCTAGTTGAGTTGATTTATTTTGAACTCATTAGCTAGCTCGACGGTACGGTAGTCTAGCCGCTTGACTAACGAATTAATAGCAAATCGATTTATAGCTTATGAGTTGGCTTATTGAGTATGTGACGTTGAGTATGACTTGAATCGGATTATCTTACTTGAATCGGATTATCTGTAGTCGACGGGAAGTCACGGGGTCTATTACCTTATTCTTAACCATATTTGATTAATGTCAGTGAGGAATTTTACAATGCTTTAAAGCCCTTTATGGTACAACTTGAAGTTGTACCTTTAACGTTATGGTATAACTTCAAATTGTTTGTACATATACTGTTTTGTAAAATCCCTTTATGGTACAAACTAGAGATGGCAAATTACCCACCCATGGGTAATTATGCCCAAACCCAAGTAGACCCCATTGATAATGGGTTGGATATGGGTGAAGTGCATATGGATTTGGGGGTTCATAGATGGGTTTGGGTTTGGGGCTTCCATAATCTAAATGGGTATGGGTTGGATATGGATATCCATTTACTTGAGGGTGTTTTAACTACACATGCAAAAATTGGACCTATTTGCAAAACTTGAAAAGTTTAGGTACCAAAATGTAAGACTAAAAAATATAGGTACCAAAACGTAATTTTCCATCGATATTTTGAGGACTTATATGCAAAAAAAATTAAATTTAGGTACTAAATATGCATGTCTATTAAGTTTGGGTACCAAACTGTAATTTGTATTTGGGCATGGGTACAAACCCAAATCCATTTGATATAAACCCAACTCAACCCAAAGTAAATGGGTATGGGTACAAACCCATCAAACTCTACCCATATCCATCTATTTGGATTTCATACCCAACCCAATTGGGTTGGATAGTAAGAAACCCATGGGTATGGGCAAAGTTGTCATCCCTAGTACAAACTTAAGTTGTACCTTCATGTTACTTCAATTTGTACATTTAACGTTATGGTACAACTTCAAATTATACTTTCAAGCATAGTAGAAGTGTTCTTAGGTTAGGCCGGGTATGGAGAAGTATTACACATATTTCTCAATCTCTCTACAATTTGTATATCCTCAAGTATAGCGAAACTGACTTTTGCCTGCCTGTGTACTAACACACATTGTGTTAGTGAAACACATAGATTCGTGTGTTCTTTACTTTCTTTCATTATCGATTCCCCGATCTGACCAAATATTTCACACTTATAATCTGAAAAGTTATAGATTATTTAGATACTAAAATACATTATATTAACTAATTAAAGTTTATGAACTAAACATAATACGAACAAAAGTTCCAGATTTAATAACCTAATTAACTTTTCCAAGCTTATTAAGAGATTCAGCCAGTAGTCATGGATGATGAAACGAAGCATATTATGGGTAACGGGAACGGCTACGGTGCTAATTATACAATAGTTAGCACCGTCCTAACCAAGGGAAAAACTACTACTATAGGGAACAACTATACAGCACATTGGTTTAACTTTTTCACCCACAATAATTAAAAAAAACTCGTTCATAATATCGCAACTTATTAATTGTTAGGAATTATATTTATCAACGTTCAAAGATTTGCTATAGGAGCAGTTTTACTGGTCAACGCCCTGCCTGCCGATGAGGTGGGTAAAAAACAAAATAGCAGTGTGCATGGGCTGGCGCTCGCCTCGCGAAATTACAGCTTTCCTCTCTCAGCGAAATTTCACCTCCAGCCAGCCAGCCATCAAGTGGTCAAAAGTGGTCAATTTCACCTAAATGATTTGACTCGGAATATAATATGTTAAGGCCCACACATTTTTCTATCTTTTGCTCAGATGTTTCATAGCATTTTCCCCCAAAATATAAGATTTACTAAAAAAAATTCACATAATACCACACTTATACTAAAATTTCACAAAATAAACAAGTTTACGGTGTTCATTACATTGTCAACCGAACGAGCTTATTGAGAAATTTTAGTGTAAATGTGATATTGTGAGAATAATTTTAGAAAGTCTTGTATTTTTTTTTGTGTGGAAAAAATCCTCTTTCATAAAGGCCTCCCTTATCATAAATAATTTGAACTAAAAGGCGTGTCTGAAGTACATTCGTGTTTTACGAGTGTATAGAATGCACCAACCACAAAAATTAAAATATAATTGTCAACTTTTAAATTTTAATCATCGACCTTTGGTTAATGTGATGACACAATATAGCATTACATGTAAATTGTAGATGATCTTTCATAATTTTATTCTTATAACCATAATAGGTTTGTAATTTCAGAAATAAAATTATACATGTAAATTGTAGATGATCTTTCATAAATCTTATTATTTTTTGTTAATTGTTATACAATTGCATGGCGGGAGAATTTGGAGGGTAATCAAATGATAAAGTAAGGATTTTGAGACTGTTTCTTCCACACATCAGAAAAAGGGTGTACCCTAAAGCGAAGCAAGTAAGTTGGTTCAATAATACACACGCGTTTATTTATTTGTACAGTAATTCTCCTCGAGTTAATTAACCATATCTCAGTTGTACTTGCTCTGGTTCTTGAACCCTAGAGTTAAAACTAGGGATTAGATTAGTGGAACATTTACGAACATATATCTAATAATTAAGGTTTTAATAATCTTATCAATTCTCCTGTTCTTTTGTCCAAGGATAAAAACTACGTACAACCGCTAAAGTACACCGAAAACAACAATCCTTGATCCAATTAATATATGCAAATCTATGTTATCTTACATTATCCCGAAGACAAATGCCCACATCATATATAGAGTACGTACATGCGTTCCGATTAAGAATGAAACCAAGCGCAACCATGCCAATTAACTCGACAGAAGAATTCTTTGCCGTAGTTGAATATTCAACATTTTCTACATGTTTTTTTTTATATTATATTATATTTATGGTGTTTTTTTCCTTCTTCTTTTTGTTAATATTGTTGTTGTGCTATGCCTATTGTTGTGTTTTGATGGGCAATTTTATGGTTGTTTTTTTGAGTGTTTGGTTGACTTTGTCAGCAGAGTGTCGTCGCTGTGCATTGTGAGTCTTGGGATGATTCATGGCTTGGGATCCATCGTTGTTTTCGGAACATACGCTTAGAGTGTATTGCTTGTTTTTTGTTATATCTTCTGTTTCTTTCTCTCTTGTTTAATAACATTCTCTGATTTGCACAAGATTAATTAATTGATTGGTTACGTTGTTTGCGTTCGGTAAAATTACGAGTATTAACTTTTAAGTATATAGAGCGATATTAATACATTATTACAAGAGCTCAGTCATAAATTCTTCATTGTTCATTACTAAACAAGGGGCTCAAGTTTCCGGGTATTATTCTTTTTCTTTTTTCTTTTACCAAACAACTCCAGTTATTGCAAGCAAAACAATTGATCCTTGACATGATATCAAGTAATTCTTATATTCAGACCTCAACGGTTGAGAGATCTTATATTCATACCTCGACAATCTTATACAAAGTAACTCTTGACATAGAATTCCCTCGCCTTATTTAACCATTCTCGAGTGTGTCCTGGCAATCAGAAGGCGAGGTCCATTCATAATTAGGGACGGACACCCTTAATTAACAACCATTAGATGATTAGAAAACGAAACATCTTGTAGAGTCGGCTGGAACAGGTCTCGCCTAAAACAATCGGAAGGAAACAAAAGGATGTTTCCTAATTCCTAGGGTAGTAACTTGCATCTATATCTCACGCTGGAAAGACACGTTATTATCCTTCAATTGCCACGAGCCGAAATAGAAGTGCCAAAATGAAAGGGCAAAAGAACATTCACTAGTAGACACTGCTTCTTTGGGCTCCCCCTTCGTTATTTTTGCTTTGAGTTTCTTATTTGTTGGATGCGTTGATTTTTGCTTTAAAGTTTAAAGGAGGAGCTGCATGCGAAAATCACAAAGCTAAGGGAGTGAAAAGAAAAGGAAGAACCGGAACTGCAAAAGCGCGGCCACTGGTGGAGTGGACGACAGCTTTAGAAGAAACCTACCTACTTAAAACGAAAGTGTTAGTTCGCGAAAGTGCATGTTTAGAAGAATTATTCGTCAACTTATATGTGTACACATTTATCTACGGTATTCGTAAAGTTGGATTGAGTTTCATCTTCCTAAACTTATTCCTAGTATTTTACCAAATTTGTCTGACGACACACCCATTAAATTTGGAGAAACTAATCGATTGAAGCCGACCTACTGCTATCCCTACCCTAAATAAATGAAGTTTAGTGAAAGGAAATCAAGGATTAAATGCTTGTGAAAAAAAGGAAGCGGAAACTTCGGTGCGATCCACTGACAAGATTGAAAATAGCTGGACAAGGAGAGAACTCACAACTCAGTGGATTGGGCGATAATGCACAAGAAGTTGCTTGCTGAGTCAAACGTACGTCCAATCCTTTCCAGCCTGATTAACATTTAATTAGATTAAGTTAACGATAATTAATTAATGAGTTCCTTTATCTATATTATATATATACCATATAACGTCAAACTAGAAATTCCCATGACAGCACGCCTCTTGTTTTCTGTCAGCAGTAAAACGACAATTTGTTGAATTCTTCATATACGATAAATTAATCCAAAAACGTCATTGGGTATATGTAGGTGTGTCGGGACATATCGCTGAAAATTCGAACAAGGTAAAACCTGTCATTCACCTATTAGCCACACAAAATTTTGCTTCATCAAATAATACCCAAAATTGTTTTTCAACAGGAGACATTGGTAAGAACTAAAAAGTAATTAACTAAGTGTAGGATGTACAAGAATTATGATGAGTAGAAAGATATGATTTCGACCGTATGCTCCAATACCGTGTAAAATTCCACGGGTTAGTTGGGACTTGGGAACGGTAAAGAATAAATTCAATACTATTCTCTTACGTCGAAAAGTTTGATATACCATTCAAATTTCATTCTCGAGAATAAAAACTAAAGTAGACCGATGAGAAACAAAAAAAATTGACAATCCAAAGTATAACAAAAAAATGTTTCTTCATATTAATGTCAAGTCCGTTGATTTCAATTTATTACAACTAAGTCGTCGGTGCCTTGTTGCAACTACAATTACCAGCTGGTTATTTGACTTTTTTACCATTCAAAGAGTTTCTTTGGACATTCCAAAGCTTTCTTACCATCACAATTCACAACCTACGTAATATTAATAAATGTTTTTTCATTTATTCGAACAAAGAAGAGAGCAGAAGAAAAACAACCACTGGATTGGATCGATCTCCCTGTGATTCATGATCAAGTAAATCCAAAATCTTGTATTTATATTACAAATAAACTAAACTGCCGTATCAATCAGATTCGATCGAACAAAATTGCCCGCCCCCACTAGCTTTTCATCACAAGGATATATGGCCCGTGACCTCTCTCTCATTCCACATTTTCCCCACGGCTAGCTTAAGCTAATCACCATTATTACACACTTAATCAACAGATTAGTTAATAATTCAACACATTACCGCAGGCCTACTGTACACAAGAAAAAATCTAATAATTATAAGAACACCAAAAAGAAAAAAAATCATCACGAGAACATCTGATCGAGAAGCAAAACCAGAGCCATGGCGAAGCCGGAGTCGAACCCTGACCGTACGGACAGAACAAACACCTCCGCCCCCAGCGAAACCCCTCCGACCGCCGCCTCCTTCCGCCGTATCTCCGCCACTTCCTTCCTCGACTCGTACTCCACCACCTTGCACGATCTCTGACCGTACGACCCTTCGATCGCGTACGACCAATTCCTCTTCCCCGAGCTCCCTTTGTACACGTAAGCGGCCACCGCATTACCTTTACTACTGCTGCTGCTGCTGCCCGCCGACAGCAGGAGGCCCTTCTGCTTCTTCACGCACCACATCGGCTTCTTCGGCACGAATCTCACCGCCTCCGCCGCCGGGTTCTGCCCCGCCACCACCGCCGCCTCCGCGTCCCCCTCGTATACTAGCCAGCTGTCCACCAGCCCAAACTTCTGTGATAATTGATCGACATACATACATCAGTCCAATACTCCAATTTATCGAATCTAGCTACACGACAAACAAATTATATATATTTGATTTATGTAATGGTTAAATTATTACATGAATCAATTGGTCTCAATAATTCGAATTGTTTACTTACATTGAAACAGAAATATGTTCATACGAGCTTGAAAATTGTACAAATCCGTACATAATGTGTGGAATTAGTCGATATTCGAATACAAAACCTCACAATAAAAAACTGTGATACTCTATTACAAACCAATTAATACTAATAACTACTTTTTTAAACTAATAACTACTCAAATTGTTGAGAGAAATACACGTATTATACGCAACCATTTCCTTACCATCTTTAATAATAAATCTGAGTCAAGACTCGAGAGCTTTAGACCGGTTAGATTTGCTAGGAATTCAGCAATTTTCTCACCGAGACTTTCTTAAAGCGATTCGTCCGCGTTTCTTTAATCATGTAAAGGTGAAAAAGTGAAAAAAGCGTGATTTGACTGAGAGGGCGGTGGTACCTTAGTGTGGTGAAGCATTGTGAGGACAGACTTGCCGGCGGCGTCCATGAGGGTGAGTTCGTCGGGGCGGCCGCAGTAATTATCCACGCGGTAGACGAGATTGCCGTCGGAATTTATCACCGTGAAACCATGGCAGTTCATTACAAGTGATTTTCTCCACACCGTCAGCGACGTCGACCATCCGCCTCCGCCGCCGTCGTCGGTAGAAGAGCTGCTCGCGCTCTCTGGTGGCGACGGAGGGGCCGGCGAAGGCTCCTCCGCGGCCTCCTGATCTACCGCTAATTTGTCCTGCGGTGGACGAATAACCACCTGATTCGCCGCTTCTTGCTCGTCGAATTCTTCGTCGTAGACGGTCTTTGACCAGGATTTCAAGTTGAATAGCATATTTAATCGGCCGAGCCAGAGATCTGGAGTGAGAAAGAGAGATAAAGAGAGAGAGAGAGAGAGAGAGATTTGATCGGCGGAGGGATTCGGCTGCCGTGTGATTTTTTTCCTCTGAATCGAAAAGAGACGCCGACGGGATATTTATAAGCGGAATTATTTTTGTTGGGGGTCAGAAAAATGTTCAAAGGACAGAGATGCAAGTTGCCGTGCTTGGACGGCTGGTAGGTGGGCCTATCTTTGGGCTTTTTTTTTACTTCTAATTTTCCCTTTTTTTATGTTTAATTTTCCTTTATTTTGCTGGTTTGCTAGGAGACATATATGGCGCGTGTGGCTCACTTTTGAACAGTGCCGTTATTCCTTTGCTTATATTTTGTTTTCTGGGGTAACATACTGCTCATATGCGACCCAAATGCTGAAACGGATAAATGAATAATTACAGAATTCTCTTTTGATTTATATTACCAAAGGATATGATGAATATTTATTTATCTTTTCATTTTAAATTGTGAAAGTTATGATCAATTCCTAAGATTATTGTAACTTGTAAGTTGTAAGGGTCTATCTATTATGACTTAAATGGTTTAACACCAAGTAAAAGTTATTTGAAGTCTAATTGACAATTTTGATGGACCGCACTGCTGATACGATCCATCACGAATCAATGGCAATACAATATATTTAATCTGTTAAATTATATTATTAACTCCAAATCACTTTTACTTGAAGTGAAGATGACCTAGGTGTGTCAACAAAAACACCTCGGCCCGACATTTTTGTGAGACTCAGGTTTCATCGGTGTAAAGAATTGACATCGGGACCTTTGACACACCTCGGGTAATTGTAATCGAAACACTTCATTACATTACAAGAAATTAGTATTCATTAATTTATTAAAAATATGTGAATATAAGAGATATGTTAGGTAGTTTATTAGTTGGCTATTGTATGAGAGTAAACAATTAATTTGCTAATTATTAAGTGAGTATTCAAATAGATAATTATCATCTTCGAGATGACCTTGGTCGTTTGAATGAGAATAAAATTGATTACTAAATGAGTTGAGTTAAGTAATTAGTTTGTGAGTTCAGGTTGCCTATCCCAGAGCTTCTTCTCAATTCCCATAAACTTTTCTTGAAGTCATTTTCAACTTGCTTTCTAGTTTAGTTATTGATTTATATTTAATTTACATAAACCACTTTTTTTTTATTCTTCAGTTTCTTAATTTTAATCCTCAAATGTAGAGTTGTAATGATACCTGTGGAACGACAGTGTACTTCTGATTATTACTCATTCGGTAATTTGCATACACATTTTTTCCATCACTTTCCCTTTTTTTGATTGGACAAAAATGAAAAATCCATATCCGCTAATTCTAAAACTCGTTCATCCTCTTACCCCTTTTAATTTGCAATTCTTCCCCTCTTTTTTCTGTTTGTTACGTTGAGTGTCGAGAGGGGAAAAAATCCCAACCCCTGCCTCACATCTCTCTACCCTCCGCTCCACCCTTCCATTGCCGCCGGTGTCTCCATTCTCGTTCAAGCTTCCACGTTGCTGCCATCCTCCAGCTTTCCCTTATGAAATTAGTATCGATATCTCTTGCAACAACAAGCTACGTAAAAAAGTGACATTTATCATATATGAAGTTAATCTTGAACGATTTTTTTAAAAATTGGTCAACTAATCAATTTATTATTAATTGTTTACTTGTATACACAAAAAAAAAACCTTATTTTAGCGCCAATTACATCTTTAGCGTTGCATTTCCACCTTTCTATTTATTTCATTACAAAATATAAAGCAAAAGTTGCATAATAATCGGGTATCCATTTTTTTTTGGTACTTAATACAATATCCAGTTTAGATATTCAAACTAAAATATTGAATACAGATCTCTCATAAATAAAATCACTCAAATATAATTTTGACCCAAACTAAAATGGGTTCGGGCAATATCCAAATGTCAGGATTTTTTGGCCAGGTATATGAGCGCACGAGAAATGCTGAACTGAAGAGTGAAGAGGCCAGCCCCTAAGAAAGAACATCATCAATATGCTCTATAGTTTCTTTCGCACGAAACCGATCAAATGTACCCATCATCAGTAATCACTTTTGATGATAATTATGCAAACAACGCAAAACTTCGACTAATCACAAGTTAATTCGTTTTGGACCGCAGGAATTTGTTTTGGATGTAAGACTAACAAAAATTCGCCTTATTCTTCTTCTTCTTCGTCTTGTGGATGAGGCGGCACTGTTCCCTGCCACCTCATTTTGTGTACAATTTGCATCGGTTCTCGCGTGCCAAACGATTATTTCGAAGACATTCCAGTTTCCCAGCTTTTTGGTGGCATTGGCATTGGCTGCTAACAAGGTTGTCAACCCGCGGGTTGACCCGGACTCGGTTGAGCTAGTAGATCAAGGGTTAATGGGTCAATCGTTTTAGCCCGGTTTGGCCCGGAAATATAGAAAGAGTCATTATATTGTACTTTTTCTTATAAATTATATCAAATTTAATCTAACATATGAGTTATAACATATAATATTACACCAAAATAACATATCGTACTTAGATCTAGCATAAAGTGAAAATTCACACACACTTATATACATCAATATTCAAATATTCAACTTAGGATTCCAAAGATTGAGTTAGGCGAAAAGAAAAATCGGAAAATATGCACATTTCGCAAACCAAAGAAATAAATGACACAATTTGACCTTCAACCCAGTACCTTATAGCGGTCGACCCGGCGGGTATATGCGACTCGTTTTTCTCACCAGGTCAGGGTCAAAGTGGGTCGACCTGCGGGTCAACCCACGAATTGACAACTTGGCTGCTATGTTTCATTTGTCTGCCTGAAGTGTTGGCATATAATAATGTCAACTTATACATAGAGGCTAGAGCGGCAAAACAAAAAGAAACAATTGAACTTTCCGCCAATTTCTTCAAAAGTTCCGGAATATAGCTGTGCCTGTAAACTGTAATTGGCATTCATAAAGAATACAGACACCTAACAAGGATATGTAATGTGTCTCTAGGCACTTTTAGGTAGGTTGGTAGTTCCGCTCATCTCTGGACATTGATTCAACATCAATTCTATATATGATAGCCCGTAATTTGGTTTGTAAATGACTGGAGTAGAGTAGAATCGAGTCGAATTTGGCTTATCAAATTAGTTTACAAGCTCGGGTGAACGCAACTCATTTATCATTCTTAATAGTTGAACTTTTCAACTAAATTATAAAATAAGTTAAAAATTAAATAAAATAATATTTGTATGTGATTAATTACATTATGAAAATAATAATTATCAAATTTACACCATTAGTTGATATCATGTTTATATACTTTGTTGGTATCACATTATTTAGTTCGTAAAATTCAACTAATTCATATAATATTATTCCATAGTAATTAGTATGTAAGCAATCTATAATACATAATTTATCTTTCAAACTAAATACGAGATATATTTTTTCTCATACTCAAAATCTTAAACATCACATGTCGTGAGATATATAATCTGACAAACCTATAAAGTATCAACAAGCCAACTCATAAGATATTAATGGATTTATCGTCTTTAATGAATTTTCCTTGTACGCATAAAAACATTATATTAATTAGTTTTCTCCCTCTAATCCTCCATCACATAGAAGAACAAATCAGAGAATGAGCAAGAAAGCTCCTCAAGGTAAGACTAATGCTACATGCTGCAGTCTCTGGGAAGAAGAGATATATATATATATACGGCATAATTACGTTCCAAATCAGATACACACCAAATCGAAGCATATATGACCGCAAGAAAGAAAAAGCTTCCACGCACGACGTGACAAATAATTCATAACCTCAGGCCCTTAGCAAGAATCCAGCACTATCGCCAAGCGAAGCTATGTGTGGGAAGCCACACATTTGAACATCGATACTATATATACAAGAGTTTACCAAAGAGAAGACACCACAAATTCCAAAAAAAACTTATAATAATATATAAACCCCGCAAGCAAAATGAAGAGAAATAAGGTGGTGACAAATTCAAACACGTACGTCGTTGTTTTAGTATGATATGGATGGGTGTAGTAATAGGTAGCGAGAGTTATTGGATCGAGTGAGTCACTCAATAATATTAATACTCAAATGAATAATGGCGATGATGGGGAGAGGGATACTGATTAAGTACAACGAAAGGAGATGATAAATAATACATATAGATGCATACATTACCCACCGCCCTGAGGATTATATAAATGACCCTTGTTTTCATTTTGTTTTGTGTGTTAATTATCTAAGTGTCCCCAAGTGCATGTCGCAATTAATCTTATCACCTTGTACTTTGCTGGAGGTTTGGAGAAGTGTAGATAGGGCGGCAAATGAGTCGAGCGGAATAAGTTTGATCTAATTCGTACTCAACTCGTCTACTAAAATTTTGGCTCGAGTTCACCTTGTTAATGAGCTCAAGAGTTTTATTTGAGTTCGCCTCGTTGATTAGGTTTGAATCTCAGCTCGAGTTCAACTCATTTATCATTCTACATAGTTTAACTCCAAAATTAAACTCGGTAATAATTTATAAATTAGATACCTAATATCCTTATATCATGTATAATTCATGTGTTAATTTCATGATGAAAAAGGAATAATAGTAGATTTTTTTGCCATTAATTTATCTGTTGTTTATGTACTTTGTTGGTATCATATTATCAAGTTAATAAATTTTAACTAGTTCATAATAGTAATTAGGACTTAATAAGCATTCTATGATACCTGATTTCTCTTTTAGATTAGAAAAATGATGTACTTACTCAAGTGCTTAAATTCTTAATTATTATTATATATATAGTGAGATACATAATCTAACAAATCTATGAATTATAAAAATCAAACTTGTAAAGCTATAGGTCGATTTAGACATAAGTCGTAAGTTGAGTTGGCTCGCTAGCCACTCTGTCAAACCAACTCGTGAGCTCAAAACATGCCATCTCACCAGTTGAGCTCGACAAACCACTCAATCACGGAGCTCAAATTAGGCTCATTAATAAATAAACTGAATGTCGAACGAGTTTTTTTCGAGACAAACTTTGAGTAGCTTGTGAACAACTCGACTCACTTGCCACTCTAGACGAGAGATAGATAGTATGATTGTTCATTAGACGTGTAGGAGAGGCCTAAAATGTTGGATGTTAGATATACCCTTCAATTATAATACTACTACTACTATTATTATTATTATTATTATAATATAGCTAGTAGTAGACTTTCTGAAATTTTGCTTACAAATGCATCTATTGAAAATTTATGATCTCACTAACCGGGGCAATACCAACAAAAAAAAACAAGTTTCGATCTCTTCTCCTATCGGTGTTCAAACGGTGTGGTTACCATTGTAATCGTTTTAACCGGTAATATTTGACTAATTTGGTTTGGTTATTTGTGTAATTGGTTTGGCTAAAATTTTAACTTATTTGGTTTATGTGGTTTGGTTTGGTTCAGACACTCTTAACGAATCAAACCAAACTAACCAGTTAAGTAATTATCCATATATCTAATATATATTATATACATATACTTAATACTTGGTAGTTGGCACTTGGCATAACCACTCAAGAGCCAAACATTCCTTCCTCTTAGACTCATCAACAATAAAGCTCAATATTATTTCTATATTGTATATTTGTATTTGTAGAGTGTAGACATGATATATAAAAACTTGAAAAAAGTATTTTTCAAATTATGATAATTGTTAAGAGACTAATTCAAGTCACACAATCACAACAATTAATTAACTCCATACTGTTGACATATATTTTTTTATTGGGTGAATACTTCTATTATTATTATTATTATTATTATTATTATTATTATTATTATTATTATTATTACATGAAAAGATAAAATGGGTGGAGGTTTGGTTTGAATTATTAAAATTTTCGATTCTCCCAAATCTTTGAAAATCTTACATTAACCTTACACGTACCCCCCCTCTTTTTTCCCATGAAACCCAGTGCATGGGGTGACGATGATGAGTGAGTCAATGCCGGATTGGATTTGGTTTCCAGAAGTAGCAACCGACCATCACCCATCTCCCTCATTACGTTTCAGTTTCACCACTCTTTCTTCTTTTAATCAACACTTCACACTTGTATATATTATATTATTCATCGAGGTTGTCTTGTCTACATGATATTAATGATTCACGCACTCGACCGAGCTCCCCATGCAGTTCAACTCACTAACCCTGTATATATAGTAATGGATGCATGGTTTTCGATCGACAGAAAAATTAAACCAACCGATCAACCACGGTCCACGCTAATTAATTAAATGTACATCTATGTATGTCATGTGATTCTTAATTATAATGCGATATGACATTATTATGTTGGATGCGAAGTAAGGTTTGGTCTCCGATATCGACCGTTGATTCTTAGTTTGAAGACTTTAGATCCGAATTTTGCATGGCTTCCACTCGATCTCCTCACGAAATGCCTTCAATAACGTATAAAAACGGAAATGGAGTAAAATAAGTCGCAATACAATCACTTCATTAGATCATTGGAGGAAAAGTTATATAAGAAAAAATTAATATTAATTTTGGTCACTCTCCTGTAGCCTCTATCCAACTCCACTCACTCGAATTATTGAAACAAGTCACATTTAGTCACTCGAATTACTGAAACATGTCGATCACATTTAGTCACTCTCCAGTTAGTCAATGGAGTTGGACGGAAACTAACTGGAGAGTTACTAAATGTGACTAGTTTTAGTAATTCGAGTGACCAAAATTAATATTAAACATTTTCTAATTTCTAAACATGACACGATTTAGTAATCTCAGTGATCAAACGGTGGCATTTACCCAAAAATTCCATACGACAAACTAGCTAGCTAGTAAATGCATTTTGCACTTTTTGTTGAGCTTTCTTTTCTGGTAGTGGCCGGGTCTTGTCAACTGTTAACCCACCCACCGTGACCCCGGCGGTCAAGCTAATTGTTTCACATGGGACGACCATCCAATCCAAATCCTCCACGATCCATTTTTTCCCCCATCTCCCACCAAATCTCAGATTATCTAATTATACAATGTATCTGATCATGATGAGCGCCCACCTGTCCTTTTGGGGATCTGTATCGCCATATGTATGCATGCTCCCCAAATTGGCCGCATTATATTATCATGTCTCATCGATCGATCTTCACCAAATCATATCTCTGCAGAGCAGAGATTGTTCCTCACACGCAGCAAGCAACAACTGCATGCCACCTCCAACTTACACAATGGGTCATATACCACAACACTAACACGCCCTCTCAAACGAAAGCCACTCACAAGGGCTTGGAGTTTGCATAGGTCTGAAGACAAGAATACCATGTGCTTAACAAATGGGGGTCACCGGAAATCGAACACAAGACCTCTCGGTCACAGAAGGCTCTGATACCATGTCAAGAACCCGTTGATCCCAATAACTCGAGTTGTTGGGAGAGGTTCAATCATGAATCATATACCACAACACTAACACTATGATCCATAACAAATCGTGAAATTTTCATAAATGATTGTCACTGCATGCATGCGTACTTCTAACGGTTGTGAATCGCGAGTGATCCCACAGTGTATATGCTGGAGGTATTGAGATTGATTTGACTACTACCAGGTAAAAAAAAAAAAAAGGAAATCAAGAATATTTCTTCTGGAAGTTAAGGAACTGATTAATTAGTTCGGATTGTAATGAAATGGGGATGGGAACGTGGCCATATCTGTAACCAGCCTGCATATAGAACAAAAACATCACAGAGACACACGTACACAACAGGGACAACAACAAAAAAAGTCCCTCCTGATGAAGAAGAATGGAATGGGTGGGTTAGTTTGGTTCATGGGAAGCGTCAAATTAAGGTACGTGGTTCAACACCACGTGCACTTCGTTTAATTTCTAGGGTTTATTTGTTGAAGATCCACGCTGTCGACGTGGCGATTCCAGGTCCGTCCGCTTTTACTTTTACCATGATGCCCAATGCATACCCGACAAATGGTTGTTAATTCAGGAAGGTCGCCGACTTCCTTGACAATCCTCCCAAATTTGGTATGCTTTCTTCGATAGATATTGGATCCTTCTTTCTTGGTACTGGAGTCTGAACTCATTGATTACAAGTTACTGTCTTCATCAGCTTTCGTGTTCAATCTTAGCCATTATCTAAATCTATCTCTTACCCCTTCTTAACATCCATTATTATAAACGGGGCGTATATATGGTTGTGTTCTTAATAAGTTTGGAAATAATAGCGCTATTCATATGAAATTTTATTGGGTATAAATGATTGAAAGTTATTAGTACGGTATGCCTAATTGATGGGCCGAGTTTATTGAGCTTACCCTAGCTCAAATTTGGCTTGGCAAAGCGAGTTCGATTCAAGATAAAGTGGGACATGAAATTTAAAAAGATAATTCAAATTTGACTCATTTTTTAAATTTGTAAGTCAAGCTCGTCTCGAGCTTGATTCAACTAGTGAGCTTAATTATGCTCAAACTCAACATGAATTTGAATGCGAAATTGTATCAACCTTTTGAAATAAGGGATAACAACATAACCAAAAAATATTTTGAAGAAGAACATAACAAAATATTCATTTTAGTCTCTAGCATATTTAGATCTCTCTATTCAACAAAAGGGTGCTTAAATTTTTAACAAATTATTACTAGCTGTACAAACTCAACTGTTAAGTAAAAGAGCCACTTCAGAAGTTAGTTAAGTTTAATAAGATGCGACGAATACGTAACTCATCAAAAAATGAGTCCATTCGCGAGCCAAACTCTTCTGATAACGAACCGAGTTCTCTCGCATCGAAGATGGAACCGTTTGCGAAATGCGAGCAGTGTGTGATTAAGCAGTAAACTTAAGTGCTAACCGAGGGAAATGATTTTTCATTTTGATCCAAGTTGAGGGAAATCTTCTGTTGGCTGATATGGTCATACCGTCGCCGGCCCGTTTAGCCCACTTCAGTGTTTGATGATAATATATATAAGTATCCCATGATTTATTTCATTACTGAATTTGCAATGTATGAAGCCCAAATCCAACTGCTGATACAATAAACTTCAAAAGAAGCGAAATCTTTTCTCGGTCTATTGGTATACAGGAGCAGACTCTTACACCAAAATTGTGGCAATTAGCATCCGTCCATCCATGGTTAACATTGGCCAATATATGGGCCCAAACTCTGAATACTGGACACTGTAATCCACTAATTGTACCTAATGGGCCAATATGTTGGTTCTGCCGCTGAATGCGCGAGTATAAGCTGGGCTTCCATCTGGATCAGAAGCCTAAAAGATAGTGGACGTCAGTATGGGCTGAATGGACTGGCTATTGAACGCTATGGACTAGGGTACAGACTCGCTAAATAGAAAAATTACATCTTTATACCCATCTGCCTGCTAATATGCACAGACAGGCAAAGGAGGAGTAGAAGAATATGGGCGATCCCAGTTATGGCGACATAAATTTTCTTTGGATAAGTAAAACATAATGAGAAGTTTATCATCACCAAATATGTCAAAGGTACAAATATTTTGAAATGTTTCATTCTTTTATAAAAATATACATTTATTTCAAATGTCCAAATTTCCACTTGTCCTTTCAATTGATCGAGGTTCATTTTTTAGTCACTCGTTTACTACATTATACGATAATTTATTATTTATCACTCATCATATCTAGGTGTTCGATTTTTGTGATCATCTCCGGTAAGTATTAGCAAAATGTTAACTTCATGTTATTTCATTTTCTCGGGAAATTGGAAAGTTTTTTTTTATCAATTCCTTGAAAATCAAGCTCAGGTCTAAACTAATTGGCTTTATATTCAAATTTGACATGAAGAATGTATATGAACACACTCACTCGAATTTTCTGTTCCAAGTTACCAATTTCCTCTCCCCGGCACATGTCAAACACTGACATGGAGCTTCTCAATCCTCAGTTATTTTTCCTTTTTATAAGACTCAGTTATCTTATTCAACATTTGATGTCTGTGTGTGCTTTCACAGTGGTGGCGGTGGTTAATTATTAATAAACATTACAGCTTAATTTATCGGTAAGTACTCTCACATTTGATCTATTGCGACTAATCTATAACTGATTAAAATAAGTCCACCCGACCAACAAAAGGTGTCCATGATTTCATGATCAAGCCTAATTAATGTGGAATATCGCGGCTCAACTCAGAGCTTAGAGTTCACATCAATCATGGTTTCATGATATTGGGAAATTAACTGGAAAGCTCCTCGATAATGGAGAGATGAGTTCTAAAAGTAAAAGCCGATCGACGACTGAAAGCTTGTTCATACCTTAACAATCCTCATTAGTGCTCCCTTTTCTCCTGTACCTTTCGATCCAGATAACATAAACAACAATTGCTTCATATATATATTACTCGATCCTCTCCATCATCATTGCTTCATAACACTTTCCCACTTCCCCTTCCCCATTCTTTTGGCAGATGTAAATGACTGATTGGTTCCAATGATTAAAAGACAATCTAACTTGGCTTAGTGTCATTAAGTTGAAGCATCTCCCATCATACCATCAATTTTTGCTTAGGTACTAAGATGTCCAATTTTAGGTATGGTTTAATGTAAATATACTTAATACTTATGTCCATGCCTGCACGTGGGATAGCGTTCTTGTCAACAATAAAACTTGGAGGAGCCATGTAGAAGATAACAATAGCAAAACAAGACTTGAAGGGATAATTGGTTACTTAACAAAACCCTAATTAATAACGTACGAGAATGAATGTCAATAAGAGTTTGGACTAGTGGTACTATTACTGATTTCTAACTTGGATGTTATAGGTTTGCATTACCTAAGTGACACCTAATATTAAAAACAACCATGTGTGTCACCATTATAAAAAAAAAAAATTGACGATTCCAATTCACCAAGGTATATCGAAGTACATCTGATAGGTGTTAACGCATGTGTATATTATCCGTTAGGCGTACGCTAACTTTTGTCACACACACAAACTAAAGGATGGTGTGTACTTGAGTAGCATGTGGCTCTCGTAGCGATTTAGTTGTTGGATGTAATTTAATGTACTTTGATGAATCTGAATTATCGATTAATTTTGTTTATGATGATTATATTGATTTCTGCGTTTGGGTCTAGAGATGAGAATTAGGACATAGGTGGTCATCCAATAAAAGTTAGAATGTAGTACCATATCTCAAACTCTTGTTAATTCCATTATCCAGATAGTGTCAAATCCAATATAAGTATTAAAGTATCATATGCTCCCAAAATACTCGATTATGATCACGGATGGCCTTGATAGCTAATAGCTATGTTATTTAACTTACAATTGTGCATTCGGTACAACTTTAGTTGATAACTTTTTGTAGCTTACTTCACATTTTCAACCGTTATATCCTATCATACGTCTAGTGCATGTACCTCTAACCTTACATTACATTCAGTGAATTTTGTTATTTAGATTAAAACTAATAGAAATTTTGAGTATTATATAACCTCTAATGGATGAATCTCAATCTGTAATTTTCTAAAATGATTTTCTATTTTGATCATGAATAGATGTCGAGGGACTTGAGAGTACAGAAATATATGGACGATCGTATAGATAATGAGAAGACTGAGATTGATCATTAAATTCAATAAAAAACTTTAAATAAATCTCCATGAAAACTATTCGTGAATGGCTGAGAAGCTATCCTAGCCTGTTTCTCGATTGGTTACGTGGTGATCGGGATCATAGAAGAAGAATTCTGTGTGGTGGGGGGATAAATAGGAGAATGCAGTTAATGACATTTCGAGAAATTCGAATATTTTGGTTAAGAATGTCAGCAAACTGTCGTGTGTATCCTACTTTCCTTTCGGGCGTGGGGAGTTGGTGGGCGATAGACTCGTGGGTTTGCTGGGTTGTTGTGGGCCCAAAGTCGCACATCATCCGTGGGCTTTTCCTTCTAGAAGCCTGCCTAATCACCACCCAAGCCAAGTTCCTTCTTACCCCAAACTCCCAACATCAACATCTCCCCAAAAAAAATTATTAGCCTTTATTATTTTTTAATTGTGCGATTAGTCTTTATTAGTAGTATTGGTCTTAAGTAATTAGTGATCTACACCCAGCAGTCCAGTTAAATAATATTTTAAGTACTTTTATCTGAATGGAGTATTAATCGTCTTATGAATAGTAACCAACGTGAAGCATGTAAGGAGTATAATCCAATTTTCGTCGATAAGACTGTAAGTGAGACCTATAAGCTATCAAAGGCCTTCAAAGAATAACAATCACCAAGAATCTACAAGTCTCATTATTAGAATGCTTAATGTTTTTTTTTTTTTTGGACAAATATTAGAATGCTTAATGGATGAGAGGAAAAAAACAAGGTTATGAGGGTGGCATTGCTGATTCTGGTTTGAACTAGTTACATTATAAATTTATGTGTTTGTTTTTATAATGATGATATCATGTTGTTTATTATAAAGATGCCTGAAACTGTTGAGGCGAGTGTCCACTTTTCGGAATTTATGGTCTTATCGTCTGGATAAATATTTCAATATGGCTCTCACTTTATAGTCAACTCATTTATACAATAAATAAAAATCAAATGAGAAAACTTGAAGCCCCATTTCAAATTTCTTGCATCCAGAGGGAAAGTAGGAATACATTTTGATCTTCACAATTACTTTTTTTTATTCATTAAAAAGACATTTATTAGGATTCAAACCATGACCACTTCAAAGAAAAGCAAAGATCATAACCAATCACACTAAGTACATTTGTTGTATCTTTTTAAATTCAAAACATATAATCGCAGAGAGTAAAAAACCCTTCCCCCATTTCAAATTTCCTACTCCAAGAGCGTTTGTAGGAAGGGTATAATGGGAGTGTCGATTTTTTTCCTTTTTCCTCTGTGGAACAGGCCAACTTACCGCACACATGCGGATTTAAATGGGTCTAGGAGTGTCAATTTTTTTTCTTTAAGTCCTTTTATTTCTCCGTGGTGTTAAAATATATATGAAAAGGCAAAAACAATACTCCTTTTTATTGCTAAAAATAAAAAAATTTAACAATAAACTAATGCATGGATTCTAATGGGCTAACCGCTAATCATAAAATAAAAGAGTTGAATGGGCCTGAACTACACGGGATTTGCCCATCAAATAAAACAAATGAACATCATGGGTTTGCCATTCTAAAACAAGCTATTTTCTCTAGCATAATATATATTATATTATTATTTTATATCTTAGTGGCTAAAATATAATGTATTTTAGAGTTATTCAATGGTTCAACCTCGACCAACCCAATTAGTCCAATTTTTATCATTTCAAATATATATTATGTAATTATTCGATATCATAATGATTAAATTATAGTGTATATTATAGGGAATTGTTTGGTATTTGTTAGTAAAAAACTAAACAGAAAGATCTATTTGGTTATTTTTAACATTAAAACGATCCTAAACATTTTCAGTTTCCTTTCGAAATTCTATAGTTTTATTCCCGAATCAGTGATGTGCAAATGGCGAATTGCAGTCATCTCTTTTCTTTCATTATTTTTTATTTTCAAATAGAAAGTTTAAAAGTAAAGAATCATTATAGTTTGGCATGGGTCGGTCAAACAGGCTGAATTTCAAGTTTTGAACCGTTTTGATCAAGTCTAATTTATAATCACATGGTTCCCTGATACCCGATAAAAATCTCAATCCAAACCAGTTTGGCAGGTGAGTCCGTGTTTACCATCATTTTCTAGGGATACAGGAACGGTGGTTCCTATCCCAAATCGTGTTGTTCATTCTTGATTTCTTTAGATTTTATCATGGCTTGGCAAAAAACTAGAAAGCACAATGATGACAAGATGAAAGTTTTATAAAGCAAATTAATCGACCAACGGGCCGAGTAAAAGCTAGCAACGATTGTGAGATGCTCATATCCCGAAAACCGGCGGGATATGCGATTTTTTATTCGATTTTCTGGAATTCGGTTTCCATAAAACTTACTCCACCTCATCATATTACCAGAAACAATATTGTTTCACAAGGTAACATGTACTTGACTTTGGTTCATATGGCTGATTTTTGATTCGTTGCATCATTCATGTCTCTTTCCTACTAGAATTCACTATTTTTATCACGTGTTTCCCACAAAAAAAATTATACACCAATAAGCTATACACTCCATTACATTATCAAATTTCATACCTCACATTCCTCCGGTCAAATGGCCGGGGCCACGCTAGTTTAAGTATTAGACAAAGATAGCAATACAAGGGCTTTTCTGCTGCTGGCAAAGAGACCTAATGGAAGTATTAGCCAAGAGCATGAATATTTGGTTCAAGGGCATACCAGGGCTGCTGAACGTGCCTTCGATCTCCTTCTGCTTTCTTCGATTATATTCTAGTATATTGTTCTTGTTCTGGGTCTGAGATCAGGCTCGTCCTTAAAAGGCATAACCATGTCTCTGGCTCTCTGCTACTAATTACTATGAACCACCAGGAAAATACGTTACCAATTATCTGTTGTGAACGATTAGCATGCCTTTCTTGTGATACTTGAATAATGATAACAATATGACTAATAACAGAACAAACAAAAAGAAGGCACAAATACATTGAAAGATATAAGATTCATACTTTAATTTTATTCAACAATTCTGGTTATTATGACAATTAATACTTGACATAGTATCAAAGTCTTCAACGAATAGATCTCTTGCTAGAACTCTCATGACCCCAAGTTCACCATTAATATAACCACAAAATATAATTAATATTAGTAAACTTTTATGTAAAGGAACATGTCATATATGTAAGAGAGCTACATAAGATTCTCTAATAACATTCTCCCAACAACTCGATTTATTGTAAAAGGTTCAATATGAATTTTATATATCGATTCCTTTTCTACAATATTGTGACCAATTCTTTATTCCCCGGTACCAAAAACTTGTTTGTGTTTCACCCGGTAGTCGTATGCTCGAATCTCCAGGACCCCTACCAACATTAACAATTGTTTTGCACATTGTATGATATACTGGTGCAAAGTTCAATTCATTAATTGCATTTCCTTCAAAAGAAGTATAAAATTTATTAATAACCTTCCCAACAACTCGAAATTATTGGGAAAGATTTTCAGAATGAATTTTAAGTATCTTATTCCTTTTTACAACATAATAACATTAATATTTAACACATATAAGCACACATTTGAGGGACGTGGGCCACGAATCTATTTCGCCAGTAATAACAACATTTGTGGGTATTTGATTAAGATGTAACACAGAATAATTCATGCCAATACAGGGGAGGTGGGTAAGGGGGGAGGAATTTATGATTCTGGGTTTGGTGGCATCTTACCCCTCCAACAAAATGGATTTTTCTTCCATGTAAGTTAAAGTTAGGACATGAGAAGAATAGATGATCGATTAATTATTGGACTCATCATTATTTGAATGATTGAATTTGTTACTAAGTTGGGCAGTGCCAACTGTGGCTCTCAGAATTTGTATTGCAGCCTCACTGCAGCCCCTCCCTACCTACGTGACTTCTTGCTGCAAGTAAGAACAAGGCGGTTCAATGAATCGTGGTGGCACTATTTAAAAATTGAGATGTGAACTAATTTTCTTTTAAGTATGGTAAAATTATATATCAGTTCTTCGATATTTATATTCTTCGGGAAATCGATTTCGGCATACCTCATGTATATACCTGTGAATAATAATCAATAACTAGCACACATACTAATTAATGTCACAAACCCCAATAACTCGAGTTGTTAGGAGAAAGTTATGTTGGATCATATACCACACTACTACACGCTCCCTCAAAACGAAAGTCAACTCGGGTGCTTGAAGTTAATTTGCACAGGCGATCACCATAACTTATGCTTTAATTAACTGTTAATATTGGGGGTGATGGAGATTCGAACACACGACCACGTGGTCGAACCAGCTCTGATACCATGACATAAACCACTTGATCCTAATAACTCGAGTTGTTGGGACTTGGGAGAATGTTATACTAGATCATATACCACACTCGAGTTGTTGGGACTTGGGAGAATGTTATACTAGAAATTCCCTAATATTTGAATGCCTATATTAAGGGCTTGTTTGCATGATGGACTTTGTGCAAAATTTATTGTTTGCTTCAAGTATTTAAAAGTAACAAATTCGTGGGAACCATGGACTTTAAGAGTCCAAATCCGTGGGCCACACGGACTTGGAAATTCCACCTCTTTAGGTGGGAATTGATCATTGACTTTGAATTCCATCATTTTTTATCAATCTACCCCTCATATTTCCTTTCTCTTCTCATATCATTTAGGATAATGAAGGTAAAGTTCAATTCATACATACAAATTTAATTAACAAAATACATAATAAAATCTATGAAACAAACAATGGTCTTTTTCAAATCCATAACGAACTAAAACCCATATATATATATATATGGTTTATCAAATTTCAAGTTATTACCAAAAAAAATATTTTTCAAATTCACGATACAAAAGATCCCTAAAAGTTCTCCTAAGTCCTAACACACCCCATTAGCCGGACCTAACCGAGAATCATCAAGATCGAGACGTGTTTTTGGCTTTGCCTCCAAATACATACACAGCTCGAGCATATTCGTTTTTTGAGACATAGTAACTTGACCAGAAGACGGCAAAGAAACCAGAACACATTTGATAATTGTCGTACTTCATTACAGTTATCCTCAACCTTCGTCTTCTGACGCCAGCTCCAAGCATTTGTCCATTAGCAGGTTTTCACTGCTGGACTGGTAAGTCATTATTTTTTTCTAACAAGAAGCTAACTTTTAAAAAACTAACCGCGGCAACAATCCGAATCATAAGAGGAATATATGGGTGACTATTGTTCGGGTCGGCCGGTGGTGTCTTCGTTACTTTCTTATTAACTAAAGATTAAAGAAAGAAAGAAAAAATAACAAACCAGGTTTTAATCTTGTGTGCTAATGAGTAATGACACATAATTCACATGAAGGAACTAATTAGTACTAGACCGTAAATTCTGCAGATAAAAAGTCATGCCGTTTGGCTTTTCATATTGGGGGTACAATAGTCCGTGGAGTTACGTGTATTGTAAAATGGCTTGTATTTGTTAAGAAACAGTTGCTCTAAAAAAATTGAGTTGTTAGCGGATTTTCAATTATGGATTGTATATAATTTATGAACATTCTTCTTCAAATAAAAGTCAACTTGTTGATTTGAAATTTTTACAAGTCCGAATATCATGTGCTTAACATTGAGGGTCTTCGACTAAAGCATATAAGAGATTTAACATGGTTTAAATGAGTATCAAAACTAGTCTATGAAAAAGATAGAGCTCTCCTAGTGAGACTCTTACAACTATATATAGAGGTTTGCTAACACAAATCATACATAGGTGGCTATCATGATATCTACATAATGATACCTATACTTAACTCCTTAAAATTTATGTTCAGTGCACAACATCAATTTGAACATAGTATGTACCAATGTCGATTAGATGTCACAACATTGGTCAGAATATTTGTTGTGTGATCTTTAGGGAAAAGGTACCCAACCCATATAGTTCCCTCAACTTACAAATGTGTTAGACCATCTCCAACAAGAAATTGGGAAAATGCTAGAATGCCAAATGGTACATTTTGGCATCCCTAAAGTTATTTTTGCTCCAACAAGAAATGCCAAAATGTCAAATATTCTCTTTTTGTGATAATATAGTTTAGTGTAGATTTCATCATTTTAGTAAGATAGTTTGTAAATTCTTTATATACAGATAGTAATAATTAATTAAGACGAACGTTTTGATATAATTTTTTATTTTGACATAAAAAAATTTATCATTAAATATGATGTTATTAATAATCAAAGCACAATAATTTGTGCTATAATTTTACCACATGCGTTTTAACACGTATTTGAGTTTTATTTTCTTAAACTATATTTGAAGGAGTTTGTTTATGGCACACATTCTATTTGAGTGCATATTTCACAATTATTATTTTGATTATCTGATTTGTCTTGAAACTCTCCTATTTTTCACGGTAGGGAAATGAAGGGGGGCCCATTATTCTGGCCACTTTTCCGCTTGTGCGGGTCTGATTCGTGTAGAAAGAGGGGTCCATTATTCTGGCCAGAATTTGGCTTTCTTTGTCTTCTTGTGTTGGGTATTTGGCTAGGAAATTTGGCTTTCTAGCCGTTTAGAATTTTTGTTGAAGGAGAGCATTTAGAATTTTTGGCTTTTTGGCCTTGTTGTTGGAGATAGTCTTATATAATGAACATGGATCTCGATATACTCTCTCTAACCATGTAAACTGGATTAATAACAATCTGTATGGTCCTCATATAACCTCCATAAACATGAATTGAGACTCTACATGTAACCTCAAACTCTCCAAGTAGTTGTTATAACCAAACCTAATGAGAACTTGTATCTGACATCGAGCAATATTCCACTTCTAGAGATGTCTTCGAAATCGATCATGCTTCCTGCATCTCCAAGACACAAATGATAGGCCAACTCGCTTATGTATACAGCAGCCAGGAGTTGACTATCAAGTTTCTTTACAACATGCATAACCATCATAAGCAAAAGCTTCGACATGAGGCTATCCTTGAGATTGGAAAATAAGCCAACATCTTGTGTTTTCCTTAGGTATTGCAAGAGTCGAAGAACAACAGTCAAATGCATCGTTCATGCCACTTTCATATACTCGCGCACAACCTGAACAACATTAGCAATATTTGGACGTGTATGAGTAAGATAGACTATGCTTTCAACCACATTCTTATAGGCTGACTAGTCCTCCAATATATTTCTACTATCCTGCTTAGCTTCAAGTTTTGCTTTATAGGTATAGAACTCAACGTACAATATGCAAATTCCGCAATATATGCTTTCCTTAGTATAGTCCATACATGGACCTATGATTCTCCAGAGGAAGAAAATTTGATACATTTTCTTAGCTCATTTAAGTTAGACAATTGTCGAAATGATGTTGTATCGAACAATTTTGGAATCGCCTCTGTCTATGAAATCATACTAAAATTAAAAAATATAGTCATTTTGAGAATGTTTATGGAACCATATAGAAAATTAAATGGATTAATGATTCAAAGTGTAACACAAAATTAGTAAAAATGTAAAATCGTAAATATGGAATCTTTTAAACTTCGAGAGAGAGAGAGAACCAAAAAAAAAAAAAAAACAAAGGCCCAGACCCATCAGGCCATCACCAGCTAAAAACTGAAGCACAGGTCAAGTTGACTCGAAACTATCCCTACCGTCGACTCGGCTCAAAACAGAAAGAAGTAAAATCCCTACCGTCGACCCTTTACGAAGACGCTAAACTAAACAAAACATCAACGGGCCCCACTTCTCAGCTCTCCCCCGCAAATCCTATAAACGCGTCCCGTCTCTTCCCCTGCAAAACAAAATAAAGTAGAAAGGGATCCGGATCCGAGCCAAAGCCACGAAACCAAACGGACCACAAGCCCCGACCCGAGCCCACCCACAAAATCTCCATCACCAATCCATTCACCAACACAGGTGGCTGGGCTTCTGAAATTCAGTTCAAAAGTGGGTCTCTCTCTCACCGCACTTCCTCCTCCACCACCACCGGTCCCCTCCTTCTCCGCCAATTCTTAGTATCCCTTCCCTTTCTTGTCTTCTTCCTCCAAAATCCCTCCATTCCCCATTTCTCTCTGCTTTTTTCCATTGCAGAGATTCCCTCCGCGTTGCGACGACCCGAGTCTCGTCTCACTCTCTTTCTCTTTCAGCTTCTCCTCCTCCTCCTCCCTCCTCTTCTTCTCCCTCTCTCTTTTAAAAATCGAAAGCTAGATCGCTCTCTTCCTCGCCTCATTCCTCTGCTTCTGCATTCTGTGTGTGAGAGAGATGAAGGGAGAGGCGAAGCACGAGAGGCGGTGGGGATCGGATTCCGTCCCCGCGAGGGCGGCGGCTCTCAGCAGCAGCAGCGCCGGGACTTCTCCGGTGAGCGAGGCGATGAGCTCGGTGGCCGGGGCGGAGGAGGAATTCGTGGAAGTCACGCTCGATTTGCAGGACGATGATACGATTATACTCCGGAGCGTGGAGCCGGCGACGGTTATCAACATCGGCAACGGTGGGAGTGGAAGTGGTAGTGGTGGCGAGGGAGACGAGAGCGGTGGAAGGGAGCTATTGCCTCGATCGAATCCGGTTTCCGCTCCCCCGTCCAGATCCCCGACGATCAAGCGGAGCTCGTCGAACAAGCTGCGGCAGTTCTCTCAGGAGCTGAAGGCGGAGGCGGTGGCGAAGGCGAGGCAGTTCTCGCATGAGTTGAAGGCGGAGCTGAGGAAGTTCTCGTGGAGCCACAGGGCGTCTCGCAACTCTTCGCAGCAGCCGCAGAACAATAACAATGGCGGCAGTGTTTCTGCTGGGTTCGACTCCGCCCTCGCCGCTCGAGCTATGAGGAAGCAGCGAGCTCAGCTGGACCGGACCAGGTCCAGCGCTCAGAAGGCCCTCCGCGGTCTCAAATTCATCAGCAACAGGAAATCGCAAGGCATCGAGGCGTGGAACGAAGTCCAGCACAACTTCGATAAGCTCGCTAAGGACGGTTACCTCTACCGCTCCGATTTCGGGCAATGCATAGGTTCTAATCCCTAATTCCATCGATTTACCCCAACTTTCTTTCTCGTGATTTTCCGGATTCGTAAAGTCAACATTGCAGAATCTCTGTTTCTAGTCCCGACTAAAGATTACACCCCTAATTGAAATTTTGGCTTAATGTGAAGGGATGCGGGATTCCAAGGAGTTTGCACTCGAACTGTTCGACGCGTTGGGCAGGAGAAGGAGGTTGAAGGTGGAGAAGATTAGCAGGGACGAGCTGTACGAGTTCTGGTCACAAATCACCGATGATAGCTTCGATTCACGGCTCCAGATCTTCTTCGATATGTACGCTCGCTCACCACAACAAATCTTTAATCAATTGATTTCTAGAATTAATTTGGGGAAACTAGTAATTAATCATGACGTTTAATTAATTGATTAACTAATCATAAGATAGCCAACATAATCCCACTTCATCATCAACTAGGATCATGCAAGCCAAGCCCCTCCCCCACACCCAGCCAAGCCAACAGTTTCCACTGTTACACTATTTTTTTTGTTTTTGTTTTTTTTGAATAAACAAATATTCATAGGACATGGCAATTATTTGCAGTTGACAGAGGACAAATTTGTCTTTTCAAACGCCTCCTTTTTATTTATTTCTTTACGTTTCTGATTAAAATAGTACACATGCAAAAGGGGTGTTTCTGAGCCTTTTCTGACAGTAATTAATTTGCTTTTATCCTTTATTTCTTTCTAATCAGTTTATTATATATTAAATTACCCAAAGTGAAAAGGTCAGTATAATTAATTAATTTATTTTCTCCCGGTGCTTTTTTCTTCTTCACCAGGGTGGACAAGAACGAGGATGGCCAAATTGGAGAGGAAGAAGTAAAAGAGGTACCTACCGAGCAAATCTTATGGATATCTGTTCATGTTCTTAATATTGTTTAATCACTAAGAAAATAATTAGTTTAGAGTATTATTGTCAATTGTGATCGTTAATCTAAAGGTATATGCCTGCCTAGCTAGTTGCATGAATTAGTCAAATAGCCACCTCCATCCTGTCAGATTCTGCTGAGAATTGTGCTTATAAAACTATATGATGCTTCTTTATATGAATTCGCCGACTCCAATTGCTCGAGAAAGAAAAAAGAGACCCACCAATACTTAAACCAAATTCAAATTTGATCAGTTGTCACAGGCTTAGGAAATAGGAATGGTTCATAGGCTACAGGGTGTCCATTTGGCTTTATTATTGATAATAATCTTACAGGTAAGAAGAGGATTCGGTGGCCTTATCATTTTCCATCCAAATTCCACGGTCTAACGACTCCAATACACTAATAATCAAACTGTTCCATTGTTTGCACAATACGAAAGGGTCTTTTCTTCCCCTTTTTCCTGCGTTTTTCAACAATTCCAATAATCTTTTCATGACGTTACCCATATTCTGACTTCTGTAAGTTTATCTCCAATATTTTTTTTAGTTAGGAATGCATTACTTGTTCAACAGATAATACCCGCGAATTGGATCTGTTCTTCTAAAGGGCTTGGAATTTGGTTGACGACATTCGGCATATCTGAATTTCCAAGACATTGCATTTTTAACTTTTTGGTGGCGTCAGGTAGTTTGCATGACATTTTAATTGTTGGGGTAGCCGGGTAGGTAAGGGTGGCTTTTGATTCCCGCTCTGATAGGTGTTTTGAAGTCAATTTTTTATGTTGACCTCAGTATTTGAATGAAGGGCCTGATAGATATTGTAGGTCTCGTATTATCACAAGACCAACATTCGATGTATTATCTAGATTAATTGATTTAACTATTGGTAAAAAAACCATTATAATCATGCTGAATTTATATTTTATTTATTTTTCTAGATTATTATGTTAAGCGCTTCGGCGAACAAATTGTCAAGATTAAAGGAACAAGCAGAAGAATATGCAGCTTTGATCATGGAAGAGTTGGACCCTGAAAGACTTGGCTACATCGAGGTGGGTCCTGCATTATTTTTTAATTTTCACTACTTGTTTGTTGATGTGAATTCCTTATATTTAACGGTTTACACCATGACACATATTTGCTAAAACTAAAAAGTAAACTATAATTCTAGTAGGGTGTCACTTTCAATCTAGTTTTCACATACTAGCTAAGTATTTTTTAGGGGGTTGGTTAACTATATGTTTAATGATAGCAAAATTTGACCATTCTTCCTGGATTGCAATTTACTATAAAACTAATTAATTAATTACCAAACAAGAGTTGGTTACAACATTTCTATCATTCTGCCTCTTCTTTCAAAGTCCATTAAATCTTCCTCCACTAAGTTTTTCAAAGTCCATTAATTGTTAGGCAACACAAATGACTTGCTTAAACTTCACCGAAGAACTGGGTCGCAGTGTTGTTCAACTGTGCCCGAAGAAAGAAAAAGAAAAGAAGCAACTGGTAGAGAAGGATGACTAAGTCTGTTAAGTAAGCTTATCTAAGTGGAGTTCTCCATTTGGTGGTTGAACCGCTCCCCAAGCTGTTTATCTGTTATTTTCTCCATCTTTCCCCTTCAAACATTAGTACTTTTACTATTTTCAGTTGATGCCGTGGTCATGCTACTATAGCACGAAAAGCTAGTAACCTATATAGAAATATCGGCATGTTTGTGAGCATCTATGAATAGTCAATTCCGGTTGGTAGAAAATTTAGAGTAAATTCCACTTGACCGTCTAAGAACATTCCACTTGACCCTTGAAAACTTCTTGGTGAAGATAAACATTATGAGAACAAACCAACATGATATCATCTGCTCACCTACTTAAACTACCAGAGAAAAATAGTCATTGTAACCCCTAGCCTTCTGCCTTTATTTACACTTGTTATCGGATTTACACTTTTACTCTGGGGACATAACATACTAGATTTGTGCAACCCATTGCATAGTGCATACCATGATTGCCATTGAACTCATGCATATTCCTGCCACGTTGTGCACCTGACATATGGTATTGGGTGCCCAAGTGGACTGGTGACGGAACATTACTAGTGCATTTGACGCATAAAGCATGATAATCTTGTCCCTCAATGATGATACTGCAAATAATTTTCCACGGCCATCTAATATCCTATCCGGCAATTTGTTTTAATAGTTCACTTGCTGATAATGATATGCAGCTATGGCAACTGGAGACACTTCTTCTACAGAAGGACACGTATCTAAACTACAGTCAAGCACTGAGCTACACGAGCCAAGCCTTGAGCCAGAACTTGCAAGGGCTAAGAAGGAGGAGCCCAATAGTGCGGATGCGGACAAGGTTCCTCTACTTTTTGGGAGAGAACTGGAAGAGAATCTGGGTGTTAACTTTATGGATCATGATCATGATCGCCCTCTTCACATGGAAGTTCTTTCAGTACAAGCAGAAGAATGCTTTCAAGGTCATGGGTTATTGTCTCCTGACGGCCAAAGGTGCGGCAGAGACATTGAAGTTCAACATGGCCCTTATTCTCCTGCCGGTGTGTAGGAACACCATCACTCGCCTCAGGTCCACACGGCTTGCTTATCTTGTGCCTTTCGACGACAATATTAACTTTCACAAGGTACATCTCCTTGCTAGTTTCACCAACTCCTCCTTTTTCCAATTCTCTCTTGCTTAAATTGTTTGCGTATTTTGGACGTTAATCAGTGGGGTCATATCATGGAGACTTTATTAACAAGTCAACGTGATGGTTGATCTTAATAGGCAATGATGGGATTTTTTTTCCCTTCATTAGATGCGCACTCAAAATAGTGATTGGTCATATACGTGTGGTTAGATAACGTTACCCTGTTCTACACGTCCACCACGCAGCAGAAGTTGACATTCACTTTATCTCGGGGATAAAATATAGGCAGAAATAATATTAGTTGAGCAAAAATCAAAAGTTGATACTTGCACTTTTATTTTAGCTAGTACATATGTAGTACAGGATTTGATTAGGTAGAAACTCTGGTGATCAGAATAGAATACTTGCTTCACCAATCACATTTACCATTCCGAATCATAGTGGGAAGTCATATGGGACTTACTGGAAAATTAATAAATTTGCTCTCTGGAAAACCAGATTTCATCCCCGAATCCATTATCAGACGAAAGTTTCAGCTTCTCGTGACTAAATTAAAGCCATTTCAAGTGCTATTACTGTTCTTATGTGTACAAATAGTGACATAACCTCGAATGGAGACAGCATGCATTCAAACAGCTGCTTAATCGTAAAACCTACTTGGGGGGTCTCATTAATTTGCTTCAAGATTGAACTCATTCCGTGATTGCATTTCTGTGTATATATCCAGACTGTCGCCGCAGCAATCGTAGTTGGTGTTATTCTACACGTTGGAAACCACCTTGCCTGTGATTTCCCGAGGCTGGAGCGCGCATCGCTGGTGGACTACAATCTGTACCTCAGAAATGACTTTGGAGACCATAAACCAAGTTACTTCAAATTAGCTAGAGGAGTAGAGGGTGTAACCGGAATTCTTATGGTGATCTTCATGATCATTGCATTTACACTGGCAACGACATGGTTCAGGCGCAACCTTATTAAGCTCCCTAAACCATTCAACAGAATTACCGGGTTCAATGCCTTCTGGTACTCACACCACCTATTTGTCATCGTCTATGTCTTGCTGGTTGTCCATGGTATATTCCTCTACCTTGTTCATCACTGGTACCAAAAAACGGTATGTACTTCAACCGAACTCTTTTTATAACACTTCCAAAGAGAATCATTGTTTCTAGAGTGGCGGCCTAACGTTTATATAATCTACAGACGTGGATGTATCTCTCTGTTCCCGTCTTGCTCTATGCCGGAGAAAGGGCCCTCAGGTTTTTCCGCTCTGGCTCATACACAGTCCGGCTTTTGAAGGTTGCTATATATCCCGGAAACGTGCTCACATTGCAAATGTCCAAGCCTAATCAATTTCGGTACAAGAGTGGACAGTACATGTTCGTTCAGTGCCCTGCCGTTTCTCCATTTGAATGGTTAGCATCCTTTCCTTTTGGTCCCTTTCTCCTCTCTTCTTCTCTGCATACTGCCTCAACTAAACCAGATTTAATTTGACCTTTTCAGGCACCCATTTTCAATCACCTCTGCTCCTGGGGATGATTACCTAAGCGTTCACATTAGGCAACTAGGGGACTGGACCCAGGAACTCAAAAGGGTATTCTCTGAGGCATGCGAGCGCCCTGTTGCAGGGAAGAGCGGCCTTCTTAGAGCTGATGAAACCACCAAGAAAAGGTCTGCTCATTTCCAGATTCGTATCTATAATATATTTCCTTTCTTTCTCTGCTGCAGTGAGTAACATCTCTTTCTATACGTGTGAAACAGTTTGCCAAGGCTGTTGATAGATGGGCCTTACGGTGCCCCTGCACAAGATTACCGGAAATACGATGTCTTGTTACTTGTTGGTCTGGGAATCGGGGCAACTCCTTTCATTAGCATTCTCAAAGACTTGCTTAATAACCTTGTAAAGGAAGAGCAATCGGTGAGTGATCAAACGGTTAAGAAGAGGAAAAAGAAACTGAATATATTTTCCCCATCACATTAACACAGCTGCATTCTCTTTATTTTCAGGATTCAATATCAGAAGTCAGCAGAACATCGGACGTTAGCTATGCCAGCACTGATGGCATGAGACGGAAAAAGGCGTTGAAGACCACGAACGCTTACTTCTACTGGGTGACGAGGGAACAAGGCTCCTTTGATTGGTTCAAAGGGGTGATGAATGAGATTGCAGACCAAGATCAACAGGTACTTATCACTCAAAAGTTAATTTAAATCACCTGTTTAGCTAGTGGTTTACGTAATTGAAATGTTTGGTGTTCTAATCTCTGTTTGTTAATGCAGGGGGTGATTGAGATGCATAATTACTTAACCAGTGTGTATGAAGAAGGCGATGCTAGATCAACCCTCATTACCATGGTGCAGGCCTTGAACCATGCAAAGAATGGTGTGGATATTGTCTCTGGAACCAGGGTAAGTTAACTCCAAAAAAAAAAAAAAACATTTTTCACTTATACTAATCTTCAATTCCCATATTTCCAAGCGCTAAACCGAGATTGCAATGTGCTGCGTTGATGTCCACTCATCAGGTGCGAACCCATTTCGCAAGGCCTAACTGGAAAAAGGTGCTGTCAAAACTAAGTTCCAAGCACTGTAATGCAAGGATAGGTAAATTCAATACATACATATTTTCATGCCACTTAGTTTCTTTAATCGTCTTGTACGCATTGGTTCTGATCAATGAGTTGGGTTGGAATTAATGCAGGGGTATTCTACTGTGGGGCACCTGTTCTAGCACAAGAACTGGGCAAGCTCTGCTACGAATACAATCAGAAAGGGTCTACCAAGTTCGACTTTCACAAAGAGCATTTCTAAGGGGAAAAGGCGTTGTACTAGGTGTCTCAGGTTGCACATAGACATCACTCCACTCCTTGCCTCTACATATACGTAAGAGCATTTCTTGCAATAAACCCAGAGTAGCTTTGTATAGCATCCAGAATAGTGAGATGAAAGAAAGCAAAAAATTCCAACAAAAAAAAGAGAGGAGCGAGCCAGAAGGGAAACAAAACACAGAATGTAGATATAGGTATATATATTACAGCAGAAAGCTGAGTGATTCCGGTCGGCGGACAGTCTGGTCATCAATCAGTTTTTCAGCCAGTAAATTAGTAGTAAGCTAGATAGGCTGTGTGGATGCAGCCAGCCAGCAATTGGTGCTTGGAGGAGAGTGGAATTACAGCTGCAATGGTGATCCAGAAAGTCTGCAGAAAGCTTGCTTGGGGGAATGGATGGAGGATTATGATTCAAGTGGACCAAGTGGAAGTGTCTTCTGTAGGGTTACTGCAGGAGGCTTCATTGGCAGACATTCTGAATGGAATGGTGGGGGAATATACAGTTTTGAGACGGGAGGTAGGTATTCAATATTTATGGGTCCTACCAGAAGCGTGGGAGTAAGGATATTGGAGATGGGAAATTAGGGAGATGAGCTAATTTTGTCTTCCATTTCGATTGGTTGCATATTATTATTTCTTTTTTGTCAAAACTTGTTTGTCCTCAATGGGAACAGCCGCAGCCCGCAGGCAGGGAAGAAGAAAAAGTATGTTACTCCTTCCTTACTACACAGAAAATGTGTATTTGAGATTGAGTATGAATGCTTGCTGGGGACGCACAGTGCAAAGACCTGTCGTCTCCATCAGCATGATTCTGCGCTTTCTATGCTATTAAAGCAAGATGAATTTGTATATGCAAATACCAGTCACTGTATTCTTGCTCCATAGATTATTATTTGGTTGGTTAGTTCAATTTGAGTGGACTGTTATCATATCAATTAGTACCTATTACAGGCAGCTAATTATCTCCTCAACAAACTTCATTTCGATTGATTGCATCGGCTCTATCATCTGGGTTTGACGACGCCAGTACGCCACAATGCAGCTTATTATAGTTCTAAACTTCTAAAGCCAGAGGGAAAAGAAGGCGCTATAAGGGCGGAAGGTCCAAGGAATTTAAAAGCCCTATATCAATTATAGGTCCATGATGTAGCTATGAGCCTATGACCCAGAACGAACCGAACTCAATAGCAGCCCGGCCCAGATGTTTTTCTATAATGGGCCAGGCCCGGCTGTTTTGCTTGAGGGGAAGATAAAAGGGTGGCTCTCCTTAACCTTTTCCTACTCCAACCTCGTGTTCGTCCACAGTATAGTCGTAACTCGTAATAGTTGCTTTCTGTGCTTACAGTGTAGGCAGTAGCATTGAGATTGAGCTCCCCCATTGATGATGTTTCTTTTGCTAAGATGCTGCTGGGTCACAATCTTAGGCGTGCAGGTGAACAATGGCTCGCCAAGCTTTGGCCATCCATCCTGAGCCTTCGAGCTACAGTGTTGCCGACAATTTGTAATTAAGCTCCATCTGCGAGCTGATGAAATTCTCTTCATAATTACGATTGATCTTCATTACTATTAGAATTAAAGGTTTGGTTCAGATGACTTCATCTTGTTCCTAATGTTAATAAATACCAAGTTAACCTGAAAAATATGCATGTACCTTTTGTCATAGAAAAATTCATGACAAAGATTTGGCATATATGGCTGTTTTTTCTTCTTCTTATGCTCTTGTTAATTTGGTCCACACTTAGGATGTCAATTAAACTCGTACATGTGGGGTACCCAACCCGATTAAAAAGGACAAAACCATGTTGACAAGTTTTGAATTGTGTGCAGGTAAAATAAGTATGTAGGTATTAGAAGGAATTATTCACAGTTATATTCGTGCATTCATGGGTACTCATGCACTAACGAGTAATATTCTTTCAAAATTAATTAAACATTTAACTTTTTCTTTTCTTTTTACTACTTATGCAATGCACATGCTGGATTGAATATGAAAGAACCCTACTCAATCAGACTCATTGTTATCGTTAGTCCACACGCACACACATCCATCCCATCCCTGCCGTACTTGTCTTGGCATTTGCTTGACCTGGTCCTGGGCCTCCCAATCCCATCCTACCAAACTTTTCGGACGAAAAGAAGAGAAAAAAAGTGGTCTAAATCCATAGAGGGCCCAATTGCTAGACCAATAATGAAGTCCAAATCGACTGCACGGAATGTTACCATCAGACTACCAACAGTCCATCTCTCCTCCCTCCCATCACGCCAGTCGCCACCACCAAAACCTAAAATAAATTAAAAAACACAAAAGCGAATAAAAGTACAATTAAAAAAATAACGAAGGCTCCGGTTCAAGTTAATTAAGAATATCCTTAATAATTAGTGTAAGACACGTTTGCTTCCTATGTCCAACTCCAACTGGACACGAAGAAATTAAAATATGAACGAAGGGAATTGAAACAAATGGGAAGCTTCTACCAATTACACATACTAACTAATAAGACTCATCAAGGGAATCAACCTCTCTCTCTCTCTCGTCTCGTGAGTCTTCCTTGAACATTCCTCGCCTCTACACTTAAAAACTAAGTCCCAATTCCCAAATAAGAAATTAGAAGAGTTGGGATGAATAGTTTTGAAAAGCTATAAATGAAATTCATAATTAATTATTCAATATTTTTCCCATACGAAAATAAGATGAATAATTAATAAAAGAAATATTATGGAGATAATTAGGAATAATTATCTTAATAGATTATATTTTAATTATGGGAGTTATTATCTACCTAATTAAAATGTGACTTATTTCCAAAGAAAGAGGGAATATTCTGGGTTTTCTGCTCCTATAAATAGGAGACGCCCAGACCCTCTAAACACACATCAGAGAGCAGAAACACGAGATAGAAAGTGAGTTCATAGAGCTCCGGTTTTCGCACAAAACCGATGAGCATCAAAATTAGAGTGGTTGTTTTATCCTGGAGGCGACCGGCTGATAGTCTGCCATGCGTAACGAAAGCAGTGCCGCGAACGTCTTAAAGAAAGCGACCTAATCCGCGACTCAGCCAGATCGATAACCCTATTTTTCTGTTCGGTTTCTAACAAGAAGTCCACCCTCTTTGTTTTTTTTTTTTTTTTTTTACAAATAGATGATTTCCACCCTCTTTGTTCGTGTGTCACATTTATGACACTCGGCAAATGCATTTTGAATAAGGACAAATGTAAATTGCATTTGAGGTCACTGAAATCATTTACGTAGTACATGCTTGCCCCCTGAAAATATAAAACATTACATTGTTACTATGTTGATGTTTCTATGCAAATCTGTTAAAATCGTTTTATGGGATAGTTAATTTAAGTATATTAAACATCATTTCGTGTGGAAATTTTTTGTGACAGTTTTTTTCGGATTCCAAAGGGTTACCATCACCGATTTCGAACGATTTTTTTAAAGGCAATTTTCTTTGGATTTTGAAAGTGATGGATCACACATTTAGCCTTAGGTTACTCTCCAGTCTCCACCAACGATGAAGTTTAGTAATGGCCGATTTGGGCGGAATTTGGCCGAATTATTCCGGAGGGCATTTTCATTGATTTATGCGATTTTTTCAAAACCACATTTTCCTCAGATTTTGAAGGCTGCAGATCACAGATTCTGTTTGAGGCTATTCTTTAGGGATAATAAGTCTATTAAACATCGATCGCTGCGGAAAATTTCCTGGGCAATTTATGCCAGATTCCAAATGGGTACCATCACCGATTTCATGAGATTTTTTTGAAAGACAATTTTACTTGGATTTTGAAGGTGATGGATCACACATTCGGCCTTAGGTTACTCTCCACCAACGATGAAATCTAGTAATGGCCGATTTGGACGGAAATTTGGTCGAATTATTCTGAAGGGCATTTTCATAATTTTTAGGCAATTTTCTCGAAATGCCATTTTTCTTAGATTTTGAAGGTTGCATATCACGATACAACATGAGGCTATTCTTTAGTGATGAAAAAGTCTATTAAACATCGATTCGTGCGGAAAATTTACAGGGCAATTTTTACCAGATTCCAAAGGGGTACGTACCATCACTGAGTTTGGGCGGTTTTTTGGAAAGGTAATTTTTCTTGGATTTTGAAAGCGATAGATCACACATTCGGCCTTATGGTACTCTCGACCAACGATGAAGTCTAATAATGGCCGATTTTGTCGGAAATTAGGTCGAATTATTCCATAGGGCGTTTTCGTAATTTTTAGGCGATTATTTCGAAACGTCATTTTCCATAGATTTTCAAGGCACATCACGGATTCAGCCTGAGGCTATTATTTAGGGATGATTAATTCTATTAAACACTGATTCATGCGGAAAATTTTCGGGGCAAATTTTCGCATATTCTAAAGGGGTACCATCATCGATTTCGTCGATTTTTTGGAGAGGAAATTTTCCTTATTTTTTTCAAGGCGATTGATCACAGATTCGGCTTTAGGGTACTCTCCACGAACATTGAAGTCCATTTTGGACGGAAATTTGGTAGAATTATTCCGGGAGGCATTTTTCGTAATTTTAGGCAATTATTTCGAAAGACCATTTTCCTTAGATTTTGAAGATTACAGATCGCGATTCAGCACCAGGATATTCTCTAGGGATGAATAAGTATATTAAACATCGATTCGTGCGGAAAATTTCCGGGGCAATTTTTGCCAGATTCCAAAGGGCGATTTTTTGGAATGGCAATTTTCCTTGGATTTTGAATGCGATTGATCACAGATTTGGCCTTAGGGTACTCTCCACCAACGATGATGTCTAGTAATGGCCGATTTGGGCGGAAATTTGGTCGAATTATTCCGAAGAGCATTTTTCGTAACTTTTTCGAAAGGCTATTTTCCTTAGATTCTGAATGCTGCAGGTCACGGATTCAGCCTAAGCCTATTTTGTAGGGATGAATAAGTCCATTAAATATCGATTCATGCGAAAAAAAAATTAGAGCAATTTTTGCAAG